ATCGATAAAAAAATTCAAATTGTAAACCAATTTTTATTAACATTAAAGAATTGAAAAATTGCAATCTCAAAATCACAAATACTTACTTCCTTTTTTTTTTTTTTTTGGACATCTATTAGACATCTTTTACAGAGTATTTTCAACTGTTCAACGGTTTTTTTTTGTTAAAGGAATGCACGTTATTAGTGTTACATCAGAATTTTTAAGTATTTTCCAAAGTCAGTTCACGTACAATATAATGCTCTTGTACCTATTTGGTATTACTTGTGTAGTTTCACGCGAGTTTAGAAAATACTATTCTTTGTTTAAAGTATTATATATCGTAACAAAAATATGATAAAGCTGTATTTTCTTAAACTTAACAAGTTTTAAAGGTTTTATTTATTACTGTTCATGTTATTAAACGCAATGTTTATATACATCGTTTTCAAATAGGATTAAACGGTTCGAATTTAGTATAAGTCTGTGGTCGAAAATCCTAATAGTGTGACAACTCTTAATCATCGTCAAAAAATATAAGTTAGATAGGTATACAAAATGCACACTTATTGAATAGATTATACTAGTGGTTCTTGGCCCTTTTTGTTTTTTTATACCAACTGCCAAATTTAGATGGATAAATATGGCGACAAACTTGATCACGTCCATCGGCTGATGAAGCGATGACCTTTTTTTTCTTATCTATGGTTTTAACACCATGTATTAAACTTTTTTCAATTATAAATAATTTATAATAGGTACATATTTTAATAATTAAAAAATAATTTATTTTATTTGTCCATAATAAATGTACTTCTTTTACATACACAATAAATAATGGATGTATAACGATGTGACTCACACAGTATTCGGTGATTACAACTGAGGACATCAAACAAATTTTTCATTTACGTATTTCATACCAAAATAGTTTTACATCAATAATTAATGAGACAATCTTTGAAATTGTGTTTCTTATCAGTGGTTTTTACAGTGGTATCATAACGCTATAATAATATCTTATATTTATAATTTGAACACGCACAAAGATTAATTCACTAATAAAATATGCAATTCATATTTAAATAATACGGAAATTCAAAAACAGTGTTTTTAGCGTTACACATCGCACTAACACGTAACACGCTAGTTAAGGAACACAAGTTTATACATTATTATAATAAGGATACAAACAAATAAATTCTTTCAAAAATTAAAAAACTATATTCAAATTATTTAAAATATAATTTGCTTATTTTTCAAATATCAAAAACGGTTGAATAATATTAACATTAAGTAACTATACCAAATTAAAAAAAAAAAAAATACTATTTAAAAAATTCCGTACTAGATTTTTTTATTTATGTGGTATATAGATACGTAATATTTTAATGTTCGTGATCCATTTTAATTTTAATTGTACCTACTCATATTCAATTAGGGTTGAAAACAGAGTAACAGACGTTTTTTTTTTATATACTTACACTCATAAACTCGCGGTAAATTGTATTTATAGTAATGGTCTAAAAAAAAATTTATAAAACGTTAAAAATTATAGATTTAAGATTTTTGTTTTTACTTACTATGTTTATGTGATTATAAGTATTGGTTTTAAATTTTAAATTTTAATATTTATCAACAACTAGTCTTGGTTGATATCAATCTCAATTTGTGTGTAGTTCACTAGTTTATGACATAGGTAGTGCATACAACATATAAAATTATGTAACACGTCATTTTATACCTTTATGAATAATGCGAAGTAACAATATAGAATTTCGCGATGAAAAATATAAACTATTAGTAGTAGTAAATTAGTGTCTTTTAGAGGGAGCGATCGTCACTGGGAGTACCTTTACCGAAGAGAGAAAAAATAAAATATATCACTCCGATGAATTATACGAGTAGGTAAACATTGTTTCAAAAACATTGCACAATCTTTATCAGTCGATTTTTCTTCCTTTCTCATCATTTATTAAAGCCCTAAAAAAGGAGGAAGTACCTGGAGAAGGGAAAAGCAAGAAAAATTTGTGTCAGTATAGCTCGAATGGGCAACGTATTAAAAATGGGCGGCGGAACAAATGAGTTAAAAGTCTTGAAAAATTGGGATCGTGTTTTTCTGGGAAAAAAAGGCAAGAAAAATTGAGGTCCGTTTTGTCGTTTGACAAATACCTTCGTAGACCTATGCGGGGGAGTCCGGTTAATCTTTTTGGTTTCTTTCCTCCTTCGTAAAAAAAAAAAAATCCAATGATACTTCGTTGAATAAAATTCATAATAGCCCTTCACGTTATTATAATGACCTTTCATTTTAATAGCAAGGATAAAATTATACATATAAAACAAAAAAAAGTAAATTTATTCTATACATTTTTTTCCTCCCGTTGCGGAACTATAAAAGCATATTTAACATGAATCATTAAATAAAATTGTATAAATAATATTGGATACGGAAAAAAAAATAATCAATTTAAGTTTATTAATATTGAGGAATACTAAGGAAATATATAGAAGAATATAACTAATATAGTTCATTACAATATATACCTAGTGAAAAATAAAAAAAATAATTAATATCGAATTTTTTATAGAGTTTATTTCAACACAACAGAAACAATAACAAAATAATTATAGATAGATAATATAAACATTATATTAAAATATTTTTTTCCATCAAAATTAAATAAGTCGGATGAAAAATCAAGGTCAAACGCGCGAAGTAAAAAATAACCGAGTTTAAACGTAAAAATTATAATCAGAAGTTAAACGGCATATTGTACACGACCACTAAGTCCACTACACAATATACTGTTATAATTAGACAAAAATCAGATTGCCATAACGCTTTAGGAGTGAACAACTATTTACGTTAACGTACACTATATGTATATAATCATATACTCAGTCTTCAAATAATATATATATATAGACAATCGTATCATCCCGCGGCGATGGCGGACAAAAGCTACGGGCTTTTGAAAATAAAGTAGTTGGCCATAAATGCGGGTTCGTATTAAACGCACGTATTAAAGCACTGGCCCAGCGAGGCGCGGAAGGCATAATAGAGAAAGATAAGATAAATGACCAAAGTACTGAAAATAAACAGCAGCAGCATCAGTAGCAGCAACAGAAGCTCGTAGCTTTTCGGTATATAAGAACGAGAATTGGAAAGCTCCGTATACATACACTGAACAGAAGTGATAAGAGAATCCTTATATAATGATATATATAGATCGGCGTACATTTTATAAACTGCGGAAGCGCCGTCGAGAGGAAAGAGTCGGAAGACGAAATACAGATTTATAGACTGAACTCAGAAGCACTCGGAAAAGGTTCCAAAAAAAAAAGTAAAGGGAAGCGACAAATCGAAGGACATTATTGCAATATCAGCTAATTATATAAACAAGGTACACAACAGTTATAGTTCAAGTTTTTTTTTTTTTTTTTTCTTATTATTTATTACTTATAAACCATAGTATTATACTTTTTACTGTTAAATTTCAGAAACGATTAAATATCGTTCTTTCTGAGTAGTTAACAAAATCTATTATTTTGACAAAACAGGTAATAATATGTCAACGTTAAATTTTAGAAAATGAGAAGGTCAGGAATTCGTCGGGGTATTGCTAAATGTATTGTATAAGATTATCGTTAACCAAAAGTAAAATTTAAAAAAACAACAAAAAATAGAAAAAAAGCTGATACGAGACGGATTTATTACTGTTGAGGAAAGGATGTTGGGGGGGAGTTAAGATATATAAATTTATTTAATTTATATTTGTATGCAACTTTAAACCATTATAACGAAAAGCAATTTGGAGAGAAGTTCGGTTATATATATTTTGAAGGGCCGTAATGTTTACGAATTTCGTCAAAATTTGATGGTTTTTTTAAAAACTTCTAAAAAAAATAAATTAAAAATACTATATGACATTAAGCTTATTTTGAAACTTACTATTTTTAAAATCAAAGAATGACTTAAATAATATGCCGACTACACTAAATTTTCTTTCAGAATAAGTGCTACACTTGGTATATGGTAGAAAAGTTGCTCAATGATACAAAAAATACAAATAAAATACACAAGTAAAACCAACGTTCCGGTCCAAATATAAACGCTGAGTTTATTGAACGAAAATTGGTTTTCTTTAATCTGGCTTTTTAATTATGATGGTTAGATTTAGGTGTACAATAGATGAAGATTCTACCGTTAATCCACGAATAACCGTAATTATTATTAACGACATCTCCTTTTATTGAAAATGCTTGGGCATGGTACTACTGAAATATCATCGGTATAGTGTGGTAGCACTCTTCCTCAGAACTCCCACAGAAAATTAAAATAGTCATAATCTTGAACAGTCACTAGCTGATATATAAAGGAACTGAATGCAATTCCCCGTACACTTTTGATCATTATTATATATACTGCACAAACAACTATACAGGATATTCTATTATCGTATATTCGGCAACAACGCACAGTTCAAGATTTTGGTCTATTATAATATTATTGCGTTGTATTCACGTATAACATTATAGTCGGAAGAGTCGTATCTTGTTAGCGTAACTGAAATCCTTTATTTTGAATATTTCTGGTTCGTGGTTTCCGAGTATTGTTATATTATAGGAACATTCGGCTTTTGCGAGATGTATACACGATTATTGTTGTGTATTTAGTATTTGCGTGATTATTATTATCTGTTTCGAGGATAATGTTATACTGCAAATTGTATTAATTATACATATTGGATGCTAATTAAACTGCTGTAGGTGATTTAACCCGAAAAATAATTATACGACACAATCCAATAATAACAATATCCTATAGACCGCACATAATTAACACTATTATCAGAAATAGAAGGTATAGGATAACGAAATACAACAATCCACCCGTGGTTATCTGCTACAGTTGTAGAGGCATGGAAGAATTTAGGTATTTTTGGAGTGAGTGAGCCAAAAGAACGTGCTTCTGCCGGGTAAACCCAGAAAAGTGGTGACTACTTGTAACGGTGACGTGCATGGCATTTTTGCACGCCGTCGAAATACTTCAAGTAGGTACCTATTATACCTATAATAATAAAACGATAACAATATATTTATGAGCGGATAATGAATATATTATAATTTTATGCATTACTTCACTCTCCTTCAAAAATAAAAAAAAATAATAATAAAAAGCTGATCTGGAGACGGGTATGCTACTGTTGTAGGTAAGGAATTTGGAAGGTAGGAACATAAAGTTATTTAATGTATATCTGTAAACAACCATAAACGAATGCTTATAAAACACGGTTCGGAACGAAACCTGGAACTTTATATTAAAACCCTTATAGAAAAAAAAAAGTATTAAGTATGATTTTTTTTTTTCGATCACTAAGTACGACTTATAATGAACCTCTTATCTAATTTTCAAACATTTCTAGCCGTTTAGCCAAATAATTGTATCCACAAATTATCTACCAAATAAAAATTACGTACAAATTCGCAAAATCGAAATGTCTATAAATACTATTTGCATTTGTTTTACCTTCAAAAGTATGAGATTACACATACTTTATAAAACAAAATGATTCAAATTTCAATTAACCTCGAACCGGTCAGTAAAATGATTTACGTATCTAAAATATTATTATAATTAATCGCGTACACTTATATGACTAGACGGATAATTACACTTACAAATCATTCAGTATAATATTATAATACTTGGCGATGGCCCGAGGCTGGAAAAATCATTTGGCCTAATAATTTTATCTGTCCATATCTCTTTCTTTATAGATTTTCCTATTTCTAACTCTCATTCACTTCCACTAATAAAAAATATTGTACTCACCCGTGTGAGTATACAAATAAGTATCAATTAGTGTTTTATTTTCATATATCACGTGCAATTAGTACAAAATAAAACTATTATGTAATACATTTATCTACATTATTTCGGTGCCAATAAATAATAATCCTAGTAAACGGAAATAATATTATGTCGCGCCCGTTGGGCTTAGCCAATAATCGCGGTAATTTTTCATTCGTATAGGGACGTTATAATACGTAGCCCATAATTTATCATTTCCGACCTAATTAAATAAATCAATTTTTTTTTCCGAAAATTATTTATTTCCAACTCTTAATAACACAATCAATATTTGGTAATAATTGGTAAAATTTAGTCACCCTACTCGTATAGTTACAAGTTTTACAATTCAATTCAATTTTAATTTATTTTGACGTATTTCATTTAATATTTTGCTTTTTTTTTTATTAAACTGTTTCATTTAATCTATGGTATAATTATTGTAGGTATATAAACTATATATGTATATACAATACAAATTCATTTGAATAATATTTTATTATCATTAAAATACCAAATTTCCACGGACGTAATTTATTTTGAATTTGGTTCCCTAACTGTAAGTAAAAACAAAATCGACCATATAATATTATTACCTATTTACGTTTGGATGATTAAAAAAAACATAATATTTTGAATTAAGCATTAATTTATAAAGCGATTCGTTTTGTGTGAAACTTTTCACTGATAATACAAAATATAGATAATATTATAATACAGTTTAATTAGATTTTAAGTTCCCGAAGTGAATCCTATAATGTTGATTTATTTTCATACAATGCACAATATATAAAAGTATATTAAATTATCACATCGAAAAGTATTGTTGAGACGTTTATTTTCTCGAGCGATTAGAACCGTATATTAATTTTATTTATTTTTTTCTGCCCCTTAAAAAACACGGACATATCGTCATCCACAAGACAATGGTAATTTATGGTGATCAAATCCATACGATTAATTGGACTATATGATGGGGAAAAAAGCTTAATTGACTATATGAATTCATTTGAATTTGAATATGTGATTTATCATACTTTTTTTCATTATTTTTTGCAGTAGTGATATTATTATCATTTTTTTTTTTTTTTTTTTTTTTTTTTTTTTCGTTTGCAATCGGTTCAAAATAATGACATTTGCCTTTTTGACACTTATCCTCGACGGGTCCGTTCCAACACGCCCCTCAACGCAGGACGATAATAATAATACCATAGTCTTTTATTTGTATCCCGTTTCATCCTTAGGACCGTAGATACCTATACGTCGACGACAAAGAATATAATAATAAATGGGGACCTTTATAGGAAGGAATACGATATTCTTAAGGGGGTGGCCATTATGTTTTGGGAAGTATAGTGTAATATGCGAGCAATAATATTCAGTGCCACTTGAAGTAACACACGAGACACGTCCGGCGTCCCGGCGTCAAGAAATAGAACCAATAGTTTTATCCACACACAAAATAAAGATAGTGATAAAAGAATTATCCGAGATAAAGATAGAAAATAATTTTCAACCATATCACTATTAGAAGGAAGTTGTTGACAACGAATAATTTAATCGATTTAAACCTAAAAGCCACACAGAACTTAATAGAAATTGCGTTTGACGAATTTCTATTTTATTTTCCATTTTTGGTTATATCAACAGTAATAAGTATTGAATAATAATTATTATACATGAAAAAACAATTTCTAGGCATGTATTGTTTATTTAATTATATTTCTTATACAAATAATAATTCTATTTTTGTTGTATTTTTACCAAATTGCAAAGCTTAAATTTAGTGTAGACTAGTATAAAATTTACATATTTTGCATCCTCCATCACCAAAAAAAAAAAAATAAAAAAAAAATACCTTGATACCTTAATAAAAAATAAATAAAAAAATACCTTTATAAAGCTTTGATATATCTTAAATTCTGAGCGAATGCAAGGAATGTATTGGGTTTTGCAATGATTTTTATTTTAAAAAAGAAAATGTTTTTATTTATTTTGTATACAAAATTTCAATCAGAAATCTTCCTCCAATTTTCAAGTGTAGTTTGTTTTCTGTAAGGAAATTTTATCTGAGAGATACTTTAAGGAAGTCATTTTTTTGATTTTCCAAGTGGTTTTCATAATAATTGGGAAGATTCGAAAAAACGAGAATATTTACGAAATAATGTTTTATTATGTTTATGTTCATTTGTTTGTTGTTTTAATCCAGTTAAAAAATATTCGTAGAGGCTTGAATTTTGACAGCAAACTTATGTTATATTTGACTTTTCTAGACAGTAACATTTTCAAAATAGTTTTATCATTTTTGAGCTATTAATAGACATTTTAATTTTGCTAGTTTTTATTACGTAGGTACTCTATGAATAAAATTGTAAGTCCAAATAGAAATGATTGAAAATTTAACACGAAGCTCATTATTAGACGTTATTAGTGGTAAAAAAAAAACCTTAGTACCCACAAATGTAAAGTTTTTTTTTTATAAGAATTTGTATATCATATTTTGACAAAAATGTTCGTAAACAGGCTAACCTATTGCAAAGAGCCTAGTCTTTTCGCAAAATGACTCATTTTCCATATGGCCTACGACATAAACATTATACATAATGTATTAAAAATATTTAAGATGATAAAGATAAAGAATTTAAGTTTTATTTAAATAAAAAGTAAAAGATAGTTCCTATCGTTTTTCCCAGATTATATTTTAGTTAATTGTGCCTGTCTACATAATCCCAATTATGTTAAATCGACATTTCACTGGACCAATTGGAACAACTATGTATAATTTTGCTGCGATATTTTATTTATTAAAACCGAAAAGTTTTTAGTTTTGGAGTTAGCGATTTCGTTTGGTACATACGCGGCGCGTATTATGCATAGTCAAACGATTAAATTAACAGTACTATGTGCGACCCCATCGGCCGCAACGTCGTTGTTTCACGAATAAAAAATGCGTTGAAATAATACGACGACGACCAGTACACTATACGTTCGGATACAATCAGTAAAAAAAATTTAAAAAACCCCCACTAAAAACAGTTCATTAAAATAAATAAAAGAGGTTTTGTTTTTATTTGTCTTACGAGTTGAACGAGTCCGAGTTGAACTCGTACCAAAAAAACGTCCAACGAATTCCACGTCGTAAATGAATATTCATATTTTTGTTCTAGTTTCGGCGGATTCGAGCTTGTCGCAGCAAAATGTACAACCGGCGTCACAAAAAGGTCCGCCTATACAAAGACCGCTTTTTGACGACATTTCACCTCACAATGTGACGGCTGTTGTCGGACAAACGGCCATTCTCCATTGCAGGGTCAAGCATGTATCTGACAGAACGGTAAATAAATAATTATACGTTTTTTTTTTTTTTTCGATATGAATAGAATAAATATATACTGCACAGATGTGTATTTGAAAACTGGGACTGAATTTGTCTTATTTTTTTGGTTTGATGTGCTCGTACTTATTATATAATACCTATTTATAATTTGATTGTAATTTAGATACTCAGTCGGAATATCATTTCATTTTTTTGTGGTATACTTTTATCACGGTAATTTACTTATTTTATTTTATTCGATATAATAATAATACAAAATAGTATGATTTAAAAAAAAAATATTACATTTACAAAAATAAAATTTATATTGCCTAGCGTATATTTTAGACGAGTTAACTATATTGTAACAACTAGGGCTTAGAATATAATGCTATATAAAACCCTAAAACATGATTTTATAGTCTGAAATTTCTAAATATTAGACTAAAAAAGAAAGTTTTTATTTTTAATGAGTTTGGTATAAATTATATTATGCATATAAATTTAAAAAAATTTATACAGACAGAACTGGATATCATCGACTTGGGATTTCTTGTAATCTGGAAAAAGTCGAATACTCGAGTAAAGTTATATACTCGATTTTATTTGAATACCAAAAAAAAAATTAGCAAACTACTCGACCAACTAAAAATTAAATATAAATACCATAATATATAATATAAGTGTTACAATAAAAATCTATATTTCTAAATTAAAATCGCCAACATGGTAATTTTATTGGAAATATCTAAGATTAAAGATATGTGAGATATTGGTAACTTATACCTAGATATTATGTTCATTTTTAAAATAAAATAGTAGATTATATACGAGTCAATTAAAGTACTCGACAAACTCTATACATAACTATTGTCCGATAATATCATACGAGTTCCTATTTTATAATTTGTTGGACATATTAAATTCATGTCAGTATGTTAGAAATCTGAAAACCAAATTTGTAACTCAAAGTTTGTATCGAAAAACGTCAAAATCAGTCGAAAAATGGTCAGTAATATTATTTTGAATGACTCCAACCTCTATATTAAGACAATGATTATTAGGTTCTTTAACAAATATATGATCTATACATGAATGTTTATGAACAGTAGGTGTTTTGGTGTATACGTTTATATACGATTTGAAATCGTGTTCAGAAAAAATATTTAAGTAATCATTATCAATGAAGTCCGTACCTATAATATTGGATATAGTAATAAAAAATAAATATCTCCGGCGCCGTTCACGTTACAATATTTGTACAGTGAGTATAATATTATGTACGATAAACCCTTTATATAATAGAGACATTTTTAAACATATACCTACCGACTCTAATAATGGTACTTGAACATTTCACCCTCTTAATAGTGAGCACATATAATGTATCGTCGGATCAATTTTCGTGTCCCGTAAGTGTCCGTTATGCACAATTGTCTATCTTGGGTATTAGATTTAACAACAATGTTATATTCACGAGTTAGCCTATGAAAATCATTTCCATAAACCTATATTAACTATAAGTAGAACGCACCCATTTATCTGATAAGAAAAAAATTGTACACGTGAAAAAAAAATAGTTATGTCTAGTTGTTTCAATGATATGATTTCATTAATACAGTTGATACAGTTTCATTAATTTTAAATAAGAATACCATAGCGATAATATGATTTAATTTTACGGTATGATATTATTATTTATGATTAATGCTTTTCACGGGGAAAAGAAAAAAAACACACGGAAAACCTCTGGTTTTTGTCCCAGATAAACCTTTTTCCTTATTAAGATTAATTTTTTGTTTTATCGGTGTCCACCACGAACCAAGATATACAGGACTAAAAACAACCAACTGCCAAAAAAGTTTTAAGTAATGCGGGGTGCGTGGTTATTTTCCCTTTATTGTACCCCTGCGCTGTCTTTGCAGATGATTTTGAAACTAGCATACTTAACTAGTACATATTTAGTTCAAAAGCACATAAAGTAAATGATGTCTCTATAGCCCGCATTACATATTACTTTTTTTCTATCCACGATATTAGTACTCGTTTTCTTATCATAGTACTTACTGTCCAGTAGGTGGTTATTAATAAACCTATGGCAATTTTGGTGTAATGTCACTGCGCTTCTCATACGAATTTCTGTTTTTCAATATATAATATAATATACTCAGTCGTAAATCCGTAGTCAATCGAACGGGGCATCATTTTTCTCTCGCCTTTTATTGCTGTACTAGAATAATTATAGTAGCTCTTGGTCACAAATCAATTTTACGGCTTACGAATTAGCAAATAAATTTCACCTGTCACTTTGACGAGTCTATATTATAATATCATTTGTGAAATCGATAAATCAACAGGTACCGCCTAGCCCGCGGCCGTATTTCTCAGTCAACATAATATAATATTAAAACATCGCTGGCGTACAATTGCAATATAATAACGGTAGCATTTCAAAAAAAAAAAAAATCGTACTCGAATTTTTTAATTTAAGCAAAAATCACGTCATCTCTAACGGAAAAAAAAACATAATAATAATAAATGTATCTAATTTAAATTCGCTGGATATTGTTAAATTCGCTGACATGACGTATATATATTTAGAATACGAAAAAAATCAATATTTTAATCATTGTAGAGTGGTTCCTTGACGTTTAAACGAAACGTTAAAAAATACAAATACCGTCGAAAGAGGTCTCATGTTTTAAGAAATCTATTCGAGGCAGAATTTTTCCAGAACCGTTGAAAATACTACAACGGTATAGAGATGTATATAAAATGCGCATATATTCGTCACCTTGCAAACGACTGCACCAGCAAATTTCGAGATCTTGTGTACGGATAAGTGGATGTTAATATGTTTGCGTATTAAAGAAATAACTCAGATTTATTTTAGAATATTATAATATATTGCATAAAAGACACAAAATATACTCGTATTAGTTTTCATAAAAATGCGATTTAGATTATATATAAATAAATAAGCGTATTATCCGCCGAAATTACAAAAACTGGCCCGTAAAAGAAATTTAAAATTTTCGAGAGGGGTTTTAAATTAAATCATCTATCATTATTGTTACAAACCAAACTAGTTATAACTTGTAAACAATAAATAATACTTTTGGGCGAATTTCAACAAACTACCGAATTATATATTATTTTATTTTGACAATTTCGGGAGTTTGGAACTGTCACAGAAAACATATTATCACATTCTTGCCTTATACTATGATTCATGGTAGGGTGAAGAAGATAGGTACATCCGACTGATCGTAAAAATATACACTATAACAATACATAATTATTTTAACTTCTTATATTTATTTAGTGATTCAAACATTTAAATATGCAGTAACTATAAAAATATAGTAAACATCACTAAAAAAACAATTATATGATAATTATATCATAGCTATATTTACTATACTTTGTTCTACTATAATTTTTTAGCAATTTTTTTTATCCGTGTAGTCTCACACCCATAAACTGAAGTTAGCTATAAGAATTTAATTATCCGATAAAAGTCCAAGCTAAGGTATCAGACACTTTGAAACTTATGCATAATCGATTGAATCCCTATTCATTAATTCCGGTGAACTTTAGGAGATAGGGCGTGAGTATAAGTAATGATTATTTTTCAAAATAACCGAGCTACTGCATTTAACAAATAATGCATATTATATTTAATCTAAAAATCATAGAAAAATGCAGTACAAGTAAATAGGCATTTTATGTTTTATTTTTTTGAACAAATCTGCCGAGATTTCCTTTTCAGTGATTTCGTTGATTGATCTTTTACTGAAGAGTTATGAAATTTATTCCAACTCTAGTGATGCTATTTTAAGAAGAGCTGCATTCAAAACTATATAGGGTATGTAAAGCTAACAAATATATGATTTTTCACTTCTCATTTTTACTCACAAAACAAAAACCTTAAAAAGAGGGACATATTTCGTACGTAGGTGGACCACTGTCATAAGTGAGAATTAGGGAAGGTAAAGAGGAAATTTAATGTATATCTGTACGCAACGATTAACGAAAAAACGATGCTGAGCAGAGGTCGGTTGATAGTGTCGCTTTGTCAACAAAATATATATATACATGTGTTAAATGATAAAATAATACTACAGTATTGTATTTTTTTTTATTTTTTATTTTTTAATATTATTGTACGTTGTTATTTGTTTAGTTGAACGTACTAACCGTTTACTAATTTAGTAATACTTATCGAAGCCTAGCTATGATAAAATTATTATCGACGATAACTTGTGGTGTATAATTTTATTATTCATACCGTCGGTAGATTTTCGAAAGTATTATGTTAATTGCAACAATGTCTGTTCATTTTATGAACAACTTATGAAAATGCTCTAAACACTAAGAAAATACACTAATATCGTCAAAAACTTCTCTAATAATTCATCAAAGGTCTATTTTGTCAAAACAAATGCAAAATAAAAATTACTTTATAATAGTAAGTATCGCCCAAAACACATTTTACACTTGCGGACCGACCTATCGAAAAACCAAAAAAAAAGATGCCTTTGCATCAAAATCCCAGCCCTAATTATGTATTATTGTTTAATATTTTAATCTAAAAATTAAATATTTAAATTCCTATGTATTGAATAATGCACATACAGAGAGATTTATTCTTAACCACAAAAAGGCATTTCTGTTATAGTTATTTTTCCCGAATTCCAAGTTATTATATACCTACAAGAAAAAAAACCTAAAACTACTGCTCTCTCATAATGCGAAAAAATATCCCTTCGCTTTATACATTTTCCCACCGAAATTTAGTTTAAAAAAAAATTACATAAAAAATCCAAACTAATACAGTAATATTACATTTTATTAAATATGTTTACGTCCTTCTGCATTCATGTCGAATCGGTAGTTTTATGAGGAGCATAGGGGGAAGGAGATAAAGAAATTTTTAAAATATCTAAAACTGGGTCAATTATACTGCATGCAATATTTTTCAACAGAAACATATCCGTGTTGTAAATTAAATTTTTTGAAAAAAAAAAGCTGTCAGAAAACGATTTTCACAAAGACGGTATATTTACTATATATTATGTATTAATATGTATTTATGTGTGTATGTGTTTTGTGAAATAAAAAATAAATAGGTTATTCTATGAGTTCATGGATGAACACGGATGGACGCATCGAACCACGATTTAAAATCGGTGCACGGAAAATAATCATGTTTCTTCATGAATCTAAATAATCGATAACAACATTGATAACTGTCCAAAAAGTGCCAACCTAAACTATTAACAGAGTATGAATTCATAAAAAAAAATATAGCTGTAGTTGAAAAACATTTAATGTGCAGACGATATTCCTGCACGAGAGGAGTATACTATATTATAAATTAGCTTATATTACGTATTCTGCACTTTTTGTAAATGCACTTTCATCACAAAACATATAGTTCGAAATTCAACTGTCAGAACACCAATTTTATATTTCGTACTGTGATGGCATCAACAAGATTTCAGCGAAATAACGATAAACTCACCCGACTGCCAGGTAAATTTTATTAAATACAAACAGCGTATAGTGTATACGTCTACAGTGACGTTTATTTTTATCCACGTCAGATGAGTTATATACCGAGTCCGAAAGCGTCTAACACAAATCTGCTTACAGTGGAATTTCATCTTCCCTCGTTCTATAACATCGCAGGCTACGGGAATCGTCGTTGTCGTTCGTATAATGTCGTTTAAAAAGTACTTCTCCTCTCGGGTCCGCGTCCTCGAAACTTAAATTTTACCTCATGCGAATAGATGTGTAGGTGTACTTCTCAGGATCCTCTATATTCCTTTTTTGGCCCACATGCATGCGTATCACTTGAACTCTATTACTAACTATTTATCGTGTTTGAATGCCTGAATCCTTTACCGGGAAAAGACGTCATAATAATAATATTAAGCAAGACGTCCACAATAGTTCCATGTAGGTTATATTAAATATAACAGGAAAGATCACTGTAAGCAATTTACTCGACAGATAATGCGTAAATTATAAATGATATTAATTATATTACGATCGTGCGCACCCTCAAACAACTGCTCTCTTCCGTGGTGACTTAATAATTGACGATCCGATTTGTTTGCGTTAAAAGAAATAACGGAAAATTAATTTCATATTTATATTTTCCACATTTCTAAACATGAAACTTAAAAAAAAACCATATACATTTGCATGTTCATTAAAAAATCGATAAATTCGTGAAAAAATGTGGATGCGTAAGGGTCCTTATACTTAAAACATTTATTATTTTACATTTTATTTTCATTTTTTGCACATGATTGAATATAAATTATTTGAATTTTTATTTTTCTACGGTACCTATCAAGAATTAATCAACAAGTTATATGAAATAAAACATATGTGACCAAGTAAAAAATAACAGCTACCCTAAAGTACCTTCTAGTATACCTTTACTTATAGTTTTGTGAATATCTAAGTTTTATTGTGAGTAAGCAAGTGTTTAACGTCAGAAAATAAGCTGAAAACGTGTATATTTTGGAACCCTGATGTTCATTTAAAAAAACCCTATTTTATTCCAAGTTTATCTTGCTGAAATGAGTTACGATTTTTGTGAATAGTAAATCTAGAACGATTTCTAAAGTAAAATATAATACTTAAATGATCAGAATGTACTTTACTTCTTTGCTATCCAAAAAAATAATAAAAATCATTATATATCTCGTCTTAATCAGGCCATCTAGTTAATAATTATTCCGGCGAATGTTTCTCGTCTCTATTTAGATATTTTAAATTTTAATCTTTATACAACATTGAACGTAACAAGCTCGGTTCGTTGTCGCGAGAATACCTGGAATATTTCAAATGGTATTAAGTATATACGAATGCTTATTATGTAATAACAAAACAAATATTAATGCGCTTTATGTAATATATTATATAATATCGATTTTTCCGAAAAAAAAGTGTTTGAGATAAATAAATTAATGGGAAATATTGACGTTAAACGATATTGAATGTTTGACGTTTCCGTTGCAAATCCTCTTATATTTTGGCGAACGGTAGTCGTCGATATCTTTTAATGCCTATACCCGACTATATCGTTTTCAATCATTCCTCTAATCCAGTCGATCGGTAGTCTTTTGCACTACTCTGCCGCAATGACAAAACGTTAGTTCGATATAAAAGAACCTCCGTTGGTTAATGGCATACGACACAATGAAAAATCGACAAAAAAATATATCCAGTTTCAAGGACAATACGATGGGTATTCGATTATGTTGCGCGTAAATAAACAAAGTTATCGTGATTACTGTGAGTTTAAAAAAATATCAGTAAATAAGGAATATTGATCGCAAGTTGGGCGATGGATAAAAGACATACATAATCAATAATAATTCAAAAAAAAAAAAAAAATAACAAAAAAAAAATAAATAAATTATATTTGTCTATATTATATAAAATTATATAAAAAATGTGTTAACCATACATTATATAGTTATATTGTTTACATTTTAAATTGTATATACGTAAACGGTACTTATCTTACAATGAAATAGGTAAAATGGGATTAAGTGATATCAATAGCATTTCAAAATCAATGTTTGTTTAAAATCTTCAGGATTGTAAATATTATAGGAACGAGCCTAAACTAGATTTTTTTATTACGTAATACATAAGTTTATTTATAAGGGAAAAACCGCAAATAATAATAACAAAGTTTAAGACTGTCGATAACACATAACTTATAAATTCAATATACCGAGTCGGATAGAACATCTTAACATCAATATAGATATTCAATTTAATAAAATGAAAAGCTTCTTCCTAACAACGAGGCTGATTTGTTTTAGATTGAAAACGCTAATAATAAAATGGATACGATCAAATTATCGTACCACAGTACAATTACGATTATTATTATCGTATTATTAGAGACCATTTCGATTTTTACTTTTTACTTTTTGTTATATTCTGAGTAAAGTGAGGAATATAGTAGTTTTGCTATGATGTGTACTTACCTATTAATTTGTATGTCTCCGAACAATTTTTTATTACTAAAAATCTTGCTCTAATAAAATAATAATAAGAAAACTTTTTTGTCGCATTTTGGATTTTGTTGGTGTATTGATGAAGTAATTTTTTTTCATTTTCATTGTTATTTGTTTAGTATTTGGGGAAAACTGGAAAAAAACGTATTAAACCCTAGAAAGTTTACTGCAATAAAAAACGGTTTCACTATATTATTTTCGATTAGGTAAGGTTTTTTGTTGTGATTCGGTTAAAAGTAATCATAGCAGTGTTTTCTAGATGTAGTAAAATGTTCGAACATTCTGGTAATATTTGAGCTATTTACAAGCATTAGAAATTTCAGAAATTTCTTTGTATTTTTTCTGTCTGTGAACAACTTTTCTACTAGGAATTGTGCCTCAAAGTATTAAGTGTAGCTTTTTTTCTTGAGGTGTTTTGGTTTTAAAAGGAGTTTTCAAAATAAATGGGAAAAACCGGAAAGAAAAAAGCAAAAAATACTATTTTGTTTCAAATAACGGCACAACGATTTCATAAATTCAAATTTTTAAGATTATATTGTCTACTAGAAATCATTGTCCCAATTTCAATAAAAATTTGTTTAGTTTGTGAATAAAAAACTTGTTGTTTTATTTCCCGTATAGTTTTCGTAATAGTTACAAAAAATCGGATAAACACGTAGGAAATACTGCAAAATGTACGGAATTTGAGTTTTTTGTCATTATTCAGTTACAAATTATTTTAGGGACTTGTATTTTGGTAAACTTAACCTGTGGACGTGTTTAGATTTTCAAAACACTCTAACTATTTTTAGATTATTTATAGGTATTTGATATTGGCGTGTGTTCCATTATTAAAGTTACATAACTTAGGATAAATGCTTAAAAATTTAATATAACGTACGATATAAGTTATACTCGATAGTCTAATATCAAATTTGAGGTCATTGCATTAATTTTTTTTTTCACACAAGTGTTTAAGATAAAATGTTAACAAAAATCGTAAATACTACAGCATTTCAAGATATGAAAACATTGAAACCAATATTATGAGTTTAATGTTTACGATACTAATAATAATAAACCTAATTTTATTTATTGTGATAAAATATCATGACAGATAACACTGAAACTTATACTAATTAGTAAATTACGAAAAACGTCTTTGTAATGAACCCTTTTTTTTTTATTCGTAAATAAAACAATTTTTTTTTTATCCTAAAAAAAATATATTTTCAATTGAGTATATAAACTAACGAAATTAAATTATATTACATACATAACTCGCTGAATTTAATTGTACCAAAATTAAGTTATGATATTTTTGAAATATTGAAAAACGAATTTTATTTTAAAGGTTGAAACATACTATATTTCTCTCCGGGTAATTTTATAAATTAAAAATTATTGTTTGTTTTAAAACCACCGACTAGAAACTATAATATAGGAAAAGTTAATGATTTAAATTATTGATTTAGCTACCGACAAACTGAATGATTATTTACTTATATTTAACTAAATAATATTATCAATTTTGCCGAAAAACTAGAAAATATAAAATATCGTAGGTATGTGAACAAATAATGCAATAGTTCTTCATTAATTATACAATACAATGCTATCTGTTTAAGTAAAATAAATAACATTTTTTCAAGTCTAATTATTATAAATCATGATGGAGCTATAATAGTACGTATTTAGAATAATAATAATAATATGCATTATTATTGTTTTAAACTGGGTGTGTTATAGTATATCTTACTGAGCAACTATGATATTGTTTTATCTATGCGATACGCTCTTCGCATTCTTTACAAACAGTTTGAGAAAATAAATTGAAATAATTATTGTTGGACAATGGACATCTTGAAAATAAATAATTGCATATCGTAAGCAAAATATATTTTCTAAAAGATTTGTGATATTTAAAATATATTACTGAATCTATTATAATGTTATACTGTCGTATACAATTTTCAAAGTAGGTACTAAACTTTATATTTATAATGAATATAGTGTTAATGTGTCATATACACGTAAAAAATAAATACCTAGGAATTCAAATTATATAAAAGAATATTTTTATATTTTATTTTGGTTCCACTGCGAATAAAACATATTTTTGTATATTGAAAATAAAAATCGTTTTCAATTCAATTTATAATTTATATTACATGACCGTTTTTTTTTTTTATCATTTTTAAAGCTTAAAATAAAACCACACTGACCTTTAGTTGAAACCAATAAATTCTTTTATTGTATCCAAATAAAAAACTTAAACAAAATATTTTCTTTTCCTTTCACATATTTCCTAAATATTTACTATTCCCTCTCATGCCAAAATAATTATTAAAAAAAAAAAAAAAAAAAATCAAATAATTTATGTATACAACTCAGTTTCATATATTTATTATATTAAATGTGTATTTTCGTTTAAAAAATCGTTTCAAGTAGTAAAAATTCCAATACATATATTTTTAACAATTTTGAGTAAATGAATTGATTGCATAATATAGTATTAAAAATTAAACAATCATACAGTATATTATATATACAATAAGATCTCCATAAAAAAAAAAAAAAAAAACAGTTAACACTGCTGACTGGTGTACCACTGTAATAAGGAAGAAGTTGGGGGAGTGAAAATTTGAGAACATAATTATGAGAGTGGTTCGATTTAATATGTTTAAAAATGCCATGATCTTTACGATTTTTTTTTGAACTTAAAATTGAATTTAAAACTAATTAATTGAATTTAAAACTTAAACTAGGTATCTTAAAAAGTACGGTAAATTGAGCTTCGCTCAGAAACGATTTTGTTTGCAGTGATTACAAAAACGAATCCAATTTTACTCTATGTACCGTATCTTCTCAACTTTCCACCGAAAAAAAATTGCACACCCATCAGCAGTTTCATTTATTTTATAATTTTTTTTTTTGTTTTTTTTTTTCTACGCAATTCGATAACAATTAACAATTCATTGTAAGATGAGAACGTATATATTCCACAATGATATACATAAATATTATTTTGCCCATCCGCGTGTTTGTAGCCATATAAATACGATTATTACCATTACTACTATTATCAATATTTATATTATATTCTACTTTTATTGGTTTAAAGACTCAATTAATTTGGAAAACATTTTTGCCCCCAAATTGAGGTGACATCCGTGGTCTCACACGTCTGCCTATATAATTATTTCTAAGTACCATAATGTACCATATGTAGTACCATAATACAACAATATTCCTAATCATATTATTATTACTTAAACCAAAATACAAATAAGGAACACGTGACATATATATCAAACATAAAACATTTAACAAACTATTTTTTGTATTTTTTTTTTTTTTTTTTTTTTTTTAGTTCTGAACCCTTACGAAAATAATAATAATATTAATGCGCGTTAACTAACAATAGCTAATTATAATAATAATAATAATAATGTAATATCTTATTACAATATAACATATTATAACATAATATTAGTATGTTATATTATTTTGATTTCTTGTAAAAATGTATTTAAACGATAATACTACGTCAAAAAAAACCACAAAGGGGCGCTGGGGAAACTTTTTTTTTATAGTACGCTAAAACATGTAATTAATTGGTCGACATCCATTTTTCACTATGATTGTCCAAAAAGGATTAACATTAAGTTTTATTTTATTTTTTTGTTCAAGTGGCGATGCAATTATCCGGGTTACTCATATACCTAAACCATGTAGGTTGATTTAATTGTTGAATACTGATATGGTTAACGGTCGTTTAATATCGATGTTAACCGAGTTTATGTACCGACCTAACCTAATCAGATACCACATTTCATGTACCTAATGCGCGACTGCTACTGCGCGTGTATAACTGTATACGCGTATAAATAATACACACATTCAATAAGAAAGTTTAAATTTTAGCTACCTACAACAGACCATATTCGAATGCCGTGTGTTTAAGTAAAGTATTGCGCATAATTATATCTTGTAGTTTTGAAGTTGAATGGTAGGTATATGTATATAGCAATAATATATGATGTATATTTATAAAGAGAGAGAGAGAGAGAGAGAGAGAGAGAGAGAGAGACGTTTTAGTTTCACGTGAAGTCGTCTATCCAGAGTTAATCGGAGTTATCACGTCGCATAACTATAAAATGTTAACTGAAGGGCTAAGAATATCAGAACGACAGACAATACACTAATAAACATATGTTTTATACATAAACCATACATAACAAGTTGATGTGTATTTAAAAATGTATAAATAGTATTCCTCGGTGTTATTGGTTTTAAATTCCAAGCGTAGCGAGGGAGCCATTGGTTTTACAATGATGTTTATTTCTTCTTCTTTTTTGTTCTAGTCTGTGAACACACGTTTTTTCCTAGTAAACTTGCTCCGATTTTTACGTGTAGCAATTTTTTTGAAAACTCAAGTTATCTCGATTGCACATTAAAGATTTTCAACGCCATTGTTTTAAATAAAAACGCTTGTGTGGGAAAAAAATGTAGGAAAACGTATAATTTCACGATTTCATTAAGTTATAAAAACACGTACGACGTTTTCTACCAGAAAAAATGATTCCACTGAAAAATTACAAGGTACCTTTTTTTTGCCTTTTGATTTAATTTCTTACGGTAAACCATAAGTATTGCCAAAACTTTTGAGCCACTTTTGAGCTTTTCAGGAATTTTAATTTTTAGGAGTTTTTTTTGTTGTAATTCAGTTATAAATACTCGTAGAGACTTAAAACCTAATAATAAATTAATCCTTAAATCCTACAAATCCTTAAATTGGGCTTACCTAGAAGTGGTAAAATTTCCAAAATTATCAGATGACTTTTTTTTTTTAATAAGCGTATTCAAATCAAATTTAAACGAAAATCGCAGACAAAATTACGGCATTTCAAATTGAACTGCGCTTGGAATCGTCTTTCGTCAGCAATAGTTTATTATTGCTTACAGATATAAATGAAATAACCTTATGTATCATACCTTCCAAATTTTTCACCTACAACAGTGGCCGTTCTCATCCCAGAATCAGCTCTTTTTTTAATATTTAATGAATTTACTAGATTTCGGACGACCCAAATATAATGTCTATTAGCTAGTTTGAATCCGCTCACTATGCATACCCGGCCCATTGTATTTTCACTTCTTCGATAAATTTTACAATATCATCTCTTTTATACGCGAGTAAGTTCGTCAATAGTATATTCGTTCTTATAGTTCCCATTGTTATGTTTCTGTATTAAACTTTGAGCCGTAAATTTTTCATTTAAATTTTTGTAGTTTTCTCAGTCACTTTTTCTTGTGGATCACGTGGCACATGCATAAGTCAATATTTTGTTGTATAATACTAGTCTAATATAACTTACGTACAGTTTTTCTTTGACCTTTTTTTTTTTTACATTATTTAAAATTTTAAAAGGTTGTCTATTTCAAAATAGTATTGGTTTATCCAGTTTAATAAATTATAATAAATGAACTTGTATTTCATTTGCTTTTCTGCGTTTAAGGTTTCAATAAACACAAATTATCAAAATAAAATTAAGAAGTTATTCTTGAATAAATTAGACTATTCGTATAAGTTCCAGAAAATAAATTTGTTAGAAATATAATTCTTCTAATTTTAATTTATTTTTCAAATCCAAGCGCAACGAGGAATTTATTAGATTTATTAATATAAGCATTTGTTTTCTGTCTACAAATAATTTTTCTACTAAAAATATTGCTTATATTAAAAAAAAAATATTTTCCGAAAAAAAATTGTGTCTGGTTGGTTCGCTTAAGAGGTTATTTTTAATATTTTACTTCAATTTAGTTAATAATTTCGGAAAGCCTGAAAAATGTGTACAAATTTACGGTTATAAGGTTTTTATTGTTTTAAATTTTATTTGGTATGTTGTAATAAAATTAAAAATAACCGTACAGTCTTGATATTTTCACAAAATACTTATATTACCCTTAGACGTGGTTAAATTTGCAATACATTAGTTTTTGATTGTAAGAATTATGACAATAATTTATCATTATGTTAGACATAAATTATAACTTTATGTATCATTCCTTTCAACCTTCCCGCCTATAATAGTAGCACGCATATCAACAGTATTAACTCTTTTTTCTTTAATCCTCATTTTTGTTAAGTTAGGTCGGTTCTAAAATAATAAAACTGTAGCATAATAATTATTACACTTGTACTGACCTTCGATAGATAAAATAATAGTTTATTTGTAGTTAATATTATGAGTAAGCATCACATTTTATTTACTTTATACCTACTTTTTTGAATGAGTTTTTTACTACATAAAAAATATAAGTACAAAAAATAAGATGTATTTTAATTCACTATTAAATTATAATACGAATCTTACATTATATCTGAAAATAATGAAGAAATTGTGTAACGATACACTATAATTTCTAAAGACTCTGGATTACTTAACTTTTTCAATCATATAATATATTTATTTTCAAAAGGAATGCAAACCAATCGAATTAACATTTTTATTATTTATTTATGTATCATTCTTATTATTATAATTATTTTATTTTTATTTTTACTGTATTTTAATTAGAATAACGATCGATAAAACCAAATGAATAATTTGATTTTATATTCGAGAAATGTGTACAATGGATGATTTTTGTTTTTTCATTTTTATTTATGACCTAGAACTATAATGTTTTAATCATTTTTGACCAAACCGCGTTGCATACGTAATTACATTAAATTAATAATTTATTATTATAAGAAATTGGAAAACTTTGGGAAACGAGCCTGCGGTATTATTATTGTATTATTATATTAGCTGCAGTATAATACAATACAGTTCATAAAATATTCATTGACCCGATATACTACACATTGGACTAGAACTTATTATGGTGCTCCGGTGTCCCATTATTATATAGAACCCCATTATTATACGAACTTCAAACTTTGTCCCGTTGACAATTACATTAACAAGTTGTAAAGGTGTTCCGTCATACGAGAAAGAGACCGCCATCGCCGCCTCCAATACATTCACAACTCGATTTCTCACGTGAATAATTTTACTCAATAATTTCCATAGAACGAATTTAAAATTTTCATTTTTTTTTTTTTTCGCGAATTCGTCAAACATCATAAAAACCCTGTCATTTTTCCCATAATTCGTTAAATATCTCGTGTACGATGCAAGTATATGTATCTTGCAAGCTGTTGATTACTGTCCCGGGAAAAACGCGACTCGTTATTGTATGACTGTTCTTTGAAAATTGAAACTTAATATGAAAAATAAAGCATTTCTTTATCGTTCTTGTTTTTGAATTTTCACCACTCTTGGGAAAACCAATAAGTAATTCGAAAAACCTCGTTTTTATAGTCCGTGTTCGATTTTTGAGCTCAAAATAATATACACGAACTTTCGAATACATTTTATTTCATATTATTTTAAATAACATTATGTAAAAAACATTTTCCATGAAAATCCGATAACAGCTTTTCAAATTAAATTTAACTCGATTTCACTAATAATAAATACGTATTATATAGTTTTAACTGACATGTCATCAAAATGAAAAGGTTTCTGTTTATTTATGCATTTTTTCATACATTTAAATGCAATAAAGTAAATTTATGTAACATTATTTACACCTCGGAGGATAAAAGCTAAAATTCCTAGAAAATTTCATTACAACAACTTCTCTAACAGCTATTAAATTAACGTATTGTAACGGACAACAAATTACTGGATTGTATATTCAATGATGCAACGAACTAATGTACCTATATAAGCATTTACAATGCAATATTTTCTCATGAAACGGGAATTAAGACTAACTCAAACCGATGGGAGACGCGAATCCAATTTTTCTTACCTTTCTAATTTCCGTTTCACAGATATGACGTTAGATAATTTAATAATTCCGGATATGGTGGTTTGTACTCGTGACGACGAGGGTGGTCGATTTTAAAACTGTCAATTTAACGAGCAACAGTGGTGGCGGCATTTTAGTAGATACCGTAGTATTATTATAATGTTACTTGTGGTTTAGCTATTTCTAGTTTAGCGTGAGTGATCCAATGCGGATTATGATACACAATGTTAATAAATCAATAAAAAAATTGTTTATAGCAAGAAGGGATATTTGCAAACGTGTGGAAATTAAGGAGGAATTAAAATTTTGAATACATTTTATAGTACAAAAATATGAAAAAAAAAATTATAGAAAAGAGAATAATAAGTAGTAATAAAAAAAATTATGGTGGTACGTTTACGTACTATAGTTTACATTCCATATTATTAACTGCTACAACCTTTTTTAGAGTTAGATAATATGACATTTTTATAAAAAAAAAAAAAAATAAGTAATACAAAATATGTGTAAGTATAGATTTTTGTACTTTTAGAAAAATTTAATATTTCATTTACAAACATTCACCCCAGAGTACTTTCCGAGTAATATACAAATGAGATAAGAATTAACAAAATAGATGTAATAAAAATAATTGTTGGTTAATTCGTTTTGCTGCAATACTAAATGCAACCGTAATATTGGTTTACTGAAAAATGATTCGAGGATGACAACATTATATAGTAAATACAGTTTTATAAATTATATTTTATTAAATTTGTTTAGTTTTTATAACGATTTATATCATTTTCTCTCTCACCTTAGTCATCCCGTGTGTTGTAATTTCTGTGAACTCTACATTTAAGAAGCCTGTTTGGTAACAAAAGAGTTTTTCTATAAGATATCGAATTTCGCTCAGAATCTAAAAGTTCAAATAGAATTACGTAGTAAATTATTGTATTATTATTACAATTAGTATAGTATTTTATAAAAAAAGTAATCATCAGTCAGAATATCACGAAAACAATTTTGCCGACAACAAAATACCATCTCTCTCTCTATTTCCCCGTTTATCAATTTCTTCCTGAAACACTATCCCATTTCCATTGTATCACGGGACAATTGAAAGAGGAATGATCGAGATTGGAACCGACGTTGGAAGGAAGGGCATACTACTCTGGGGTGTTGTTGGTGCCGGTGTCCTCGTGCTCGAGAATACTGCTGCTCCGGAATAGTTGTCAAAGTTGGTGAGGGGGGAGGGATAACAAAATGCGATTTACAACCATTCGCCCGACTGTGGCATATCTACAATACTATACACATTTAACAGAATGCTCCCTCGACAATAATTATTACTGCTGTGCCCGTATAGTTACCTACCGAAACGCAGTATAATCCGATTCCGACGACTCTCCATTTAAGTAATGACTCCCGGCGTGTGTTTCTAGCGTGACTCTTTCTCCTCCAAGAAAACGACGATGAAGCAATTCGCCAATGGGGAGACAACCTGCAATGCTGTGTGCTTTTGCAAATGTGATTGCTTCGCGTGCGCAAAAACGATCATAATAATACTAATATCGCGATTTGTCGGTTGTGATTTTATAACAACTAGAATTCGAACGTCCAGAATACAGTATGGTCTTGGAAAATAAGGTTGGGATATAGCCTATATAATATTATATCTCTTATTATTGTGAGCTCGTTTAGAGATACAATTTTGCCCTTATCAAACTTGACTAAAGTAATGTTATAAATATACTCTTTTGTTTCTTTTTTACCCATATAAATAACAATATAATTATTATTATTTATTTGAATTGATTATGATTACGATGTTTCAATCTTACTCTAAAATGTACAAATTTACGACGCGTAGGTAATAGTGGATAAAAAAAGATACTAAAATCGCCTCTCTAAGTGTACGCCTTTCAAATTCCAGTGGGTTTACCTGGTCTTTTAAGACCGCAGTCTACATGGTAATCAATCTATCATAAGACACCAATTATCTCGGAAAGTATTAACTTTTTTCGAAATAATGAGTGTCTTATGATAGATTGATCACCCTGTATATACAACCACGTAGGAACAATATTATAGTACTACTACCTATTATATGGTTTCCAGGTTACCTAACTGAGTCTATGAGTAAATATATCCTATTATCGATATTATCATAACAGAAATTTAAGTCTTTTGTCGACGAAATGCAAATCAATTATGTAACAATTAAAATGAAAATCTGCACAGTACCTATCACATTGGGACGTTGATTTTTTTCTATTTTAAATACTAATACACACCATGTGTTTATGTTGTATGGAATGTTTATTCTAAAAATGTACACTAGAATTTATTAGTTCAATAGCTTATGAGAAAGTTTATGTGTTTATGAATTCAAATTTTGAAATAACAGTATGTTATAGTATGTAAGAATGTTTAAAGGAAACGCGGCTCTTTTAATTGGTAGAAATAATAGGTAAGTGATAAGATGATATTGCTCCGGCTGCTGTCCCTAGACGTTCGTAACTCGAATCGCGTGGGAGATTACCTGCGGTTTAAACAGACGCCCGGTAAGAATATTATTTGGAGCGTGTTTGGTTGTACGATTTTTGTCTTTGGCTGAGTATAACAGTCGTGATCTGGACCGTCTTTACGATCACGGTATACTATCATATATAATAATAATAATAATATTAATTCTCTTTTACGCCCGAAACGATTTCGTTTAAATTTCACCAAAGAAAACTCCAGAATTACCATTATGGTATTATCATTGTTGTCTGTTGCCACGTTTTCGTCCGGAAGTAATGTCATTTACAGCCTAATAAATAACGAACAAGTTAGAAGTTTTTTTTTTTTTAATCATATTTAACTGTGATGTACTCTTTTTGTACTTGTATAAAGGTACGTAGAATAAAATATGATAGTAAATAATAAAATAATAATCTCAAATTGCATCATCATTATAGGTATAAGTACAGGTATATAGCTTGTAAGTCTTGTTTTTCATCGTAACCGTTATAATATTGCTTGATATAATTTTTCACAACGAGTTACTAACATAGTGATATATAGCTGGTCGATTTTGGTATAACGAAGAAGCCATTAGTTTTACCAATATTTGTTTTTTTTTCTTCGGAAAATACTTTTTTGGGTGAAAAAAATGTTTATCGTGTTTTCATACTGTACCTTAAAAGATGCGAAATTTCCGGCTTATGGTATTTTAACCGAAATACTTATCGAATTGTCGAACAGTTCATCTCTTAGGTTCTATTTTAGGTTTTTGATTTATGATTATTTCTGGATTACCTTGGTGGTAAGACAAAAAAAACATCAGACTTCTCAGAATCTTTTTTTTCGTTTTCAATTTTATATAATTGTATACAGTATATAAACTAATACTGTTTCAGGTTTTAGGGTCCAGACCCATCTTCCATAAATATAGTAAACTCTACTGCAAATATGTATATAGGTGTATATGACGCTGTATGGGTAAAACTATTATAATAACTATAAGACTACTATAAGTGTTATTAACCGTAATCTGTTATGAATCTAAACTATATAATTATACATATTAAAGAACAAATAAAATAAAAATTATGCCCCGCCTATAAAAAATTCCTTGATATATCCGTGCCGCATACAACAGTGGCTTACAAATGATCCTTGAAAAATGTCGACAAATATATTTGTTTATAATTCATTTTCAGTAATATACAAATATCAATAATAATTGTTTATTTCACATGTAGTTGTTTGAAACAACATTTAAATTGTAAAATTTTTTGTCTGAAAATGACAACAATAATAATTTATTTAATGCTCATAATAAATATCTATTGATTTTAATATGATCGTTCTTATGACTTTATTTTTATTTATGAGAATATTGTATACCTTTTCATAATATTTATACACGTATGAACAGATACCAATACAATTTATTAACAAATAATAATAATAATAATTTGTTATGCATTCAAATATTGCGTATAATATTTTATAGAAATGTATACAAACTTTAGGTACTTCATTCCTATAGTCTATAAGTATAGAACCAATATTTGCAAAATATTCGAGAAATTTTCGAAAAATACATTAAAAATTTAAAGTGATTATACGAAAATAGAAGCTGAAAATTTTTGGAAATTTCGAAAATATTTTAAATTAATAAGCACTGCATTTTGTAACATTTTTACTGCGTGTTTGTAAAATTGAATTATTATTTTAGTTTTTAATTGATTGCATATAAAGTATCAAGTTTATTTAAACACCTACAATCTAAGTATCGAAAATCTTAACATAAGTGTTTATGTTGAAGTATCATTCCTTCCCCTAAATATACTAAATTAAACATGGATGTTTTTGAAGTTCATTTTGACATCTCGATACCTGCCATTGAATTAAAATTTTCCAATTTTTTACTTTGAAAAACGAAAGTTGATACTGGATCTGAGGGTACATAAGAGGTAGCTTAGGCATAGCTTCAATAGTAGTAAAAATGAGAGAAAATGATTATCTCAACCAATAGTTTGAGTACACTATTTGAGTATCTTGGTGAGAGGAATTTGAACAGGTAAGAAATGTAATGAAAATAAATGTAGGAGAAAAGATGAGCAGAGGAAGACTGAAAAATAAAAGGTTGGAAGATATTTAGAATATGATGTATCCGGTATATACGATAGATGGGAGATCGTGTCAAATGATTCAACCTTAAAACGAGTAAATCAGTATTTTTTAAGATAGTGGTTACATCGTATGCCACCGTTTCAAGAAGGAAGTTCAAAAGGAGAATGTATAGAATAATTTAATTTACATTTGTACACAAATGTTATTAGCCGTATGTGAAAACATTTCTCTCGATTTCACGGTAATCCAAATAACAACAAAAAAAAAATTTTAAAATGCCATTTTTTCTCATTAATTAACACAACTAAGAGGGATATCAATAAATCAAATTCTTTAAAGCACCAATTTACATCGACTTTTTTACAATAATGCTCATAACAAAATCGAAATTTCTGGTCAAAAAGTTGTTTACGAACACACACACACAAAACTATATTTATATAAACAAAAACACCTAGAGCACCAAAGCTTCACTCTGAATATCTAAAACTGTTATATTTAAACGCCGGTGTATACCGGTGCGCTAGAATTGCTCGAAATGCGAAATTATAATAAAAACCCGGAACTCGTTCGTTACCTAGGTACGCGTTCTGCGAACAAACAACGATAATATTATTATAATCTGGCTAATAGGTCCCGCAAGATACGAAATATTAAACACGGATAATAACGAACCGCGGAATATATTGTACAACGATATTCATAATATTATTATGGTGTTGCCGATCCTCCAGGGAACAACGATGTATTTGCTACAAGCGCGAGAAAGAAAACGGGTCTCTGCATAAACCGCGCAAACGCATCAGGAAACCATTAGACGATTTAGCGTATTTTTTTCGGGAGAAGAAAAAGCCGACCAAACGAATTGTCTCGATTAAACCCCTCATACGATATAATAATATTATTATTATCGCGTGTTGCGCGCGCTGGCCGCTACGAGTCGCTGCGAAATCGCGTTGTGAAATATTAATCGTATTTCTCTATATCGCGCGCGTAATAACGACCCCCGTAACAGTGTTTACCTCTTGTCGCGACAACAGCAATAATAATAATAATAATAATAATAATAATAATAATAATAATTGTATAACTGTATAACACAGTACAATAATAATAACAGCGATTGCGGTTTCCGTAGTCGTTATTGATTCGATAAACCATCACCGCGGTCAAATCATATTACGTGACTAATTATTATTCATGCCATTCGTTTTGCGCGTAGCTCTCCAAACGGATTTTAATGTTATTCGATACGCGCCCCCGGTTAAAATATTATTGTTATTATTACTTTTATTATCAATACCGACTTAGCGATAAGATTCCGAGTAAAATACGAGGGATGGGGGTGTAAAAACCCGGAACGCACAAATCCAAAAAGTACTGAATTGTAATCAGGGGTTATAATGACATCAAAATCTGTACCGCACAAGCAGAGAACGTACAAATCAAGAATTTACATTCATTTGTAATATCTCAGTTATTTCGGATATCGAAATCTGAACAGTTTAAATCTATAAATCGAAATTTTTGAATTTCAATGAAATTATAATAGTCATCGGCAGTTTAATGTTAGTGTATGAATAACTATAATTTTGTTGAGATCGAAAAATTTGCTACACTATTACCAGTTTACTCTGCCATTATTAAATTTTTTAAATTCAATTTTTTTATTTTTATTTAACCACGTTAAGAAAAAATATATGTTGTGAAGTATTCTGTGAAAATTACAGCTCTCTTTAATATTTTTATAACCAAATTCAAAAAAAAACCAACAAAATTAAAAATAATTAAACAGTTATTGCCGTAAACCTTTTTGCATTTTCCTAATTGTAATTTAAAAAATTACAACGAATTTCAAAAAAAAACCGACCACCAAACACACCAATTAAATAAATTTTACTTTGGAAAAAATGCTACATTTTAAATTCAGAGCGAGTTTTCTGGTATAAAATAAAATCAAACGATTTAAAAATAACCAAATTTTTAACGTCATAAATATTTATCTGTTAAACTTGTATGTATTTTTTCGAGTTTCCTCGCAATTATAAAAACTACAAGAAATATCAAAAATTACTAACCATATTTATACACTACATCCCAAACGCATCAAAAATCACAATTATTTTTTTTTTTTATTTAGATGAAGATTCCTAATAGAAACAGTAAACGTAAACTTAAACGTAAATTTAGGTATTAATCGTTTTTCAATATTGTGAATTCGATTTCACGTACCTTTGTGCTATAAGTTATGGCCTGCTAATAAACCTACTACTTAAGCTGGTACTTATCACTAATATTTTTTAAACTTGAAGTTTTATCGAAAACTATATTATTACTATCTTTAATCTCTTTTGTGGTTTATTTTTCTATAAGTTTCGGGCGATAAGGAAAACCTTTTAGGTGTATCGACTTATCGTGCTTAACGATTTTAGGCACTGAATACATTAGTGTTTAGAAAAACCATAATATCTTCAAAAGTAAGTACTGTTAAAAAGATGAATAAAAAATTCCTCTAATGTGTTTTAAACGTATATTCATGATCATAATGTATTGCGGGATTTTGAGTTATTTATGGCTGTTTTAAATCTAAGACTTTTTGGTTTTCAAATTAAGGAGCGAGTAATATATTGTTTAACTAGTATGTGGTATGTTAACAATATTTCTACCAAGAAAATCACTAGTTTTTTTTTTTTTTTTGTGGTATTTTGCATATAGTTGAAATATTGAAGATACCAGTTTTTAATTTTTATTGTAATCAGTATTGTACAGTTCCAATAATAATGGAACCCCAGGAAAAACGTAGAAAAAACGACCAAGTTTACGATAATAGTAGTTTCATTATTTTCAATTATGTTGTTTTTTTTTTTTTTTTTTTTTTTTTTTTGTAATTTGGCTATAATTAATCATAGACTTGTGAAATGTTAATAGATTTTTAAAACATGCTCACGGTTTTCAAATTATTTGTATGTTTGTATGTATTATTTTAAATCGTCGAATTCGTTTTAGTTTTTGTTTGGTTATACATTTAGTTATATATTACAATTATTGTTTGAGCCTATCCAAAGCGCTTGACAATTTAACTCAAAGTTTATCATCATTTTTTTACATGCTAAAAAAATTTAGGATGAATTTTTTTATAAGCATTTTAAATTGAAATTTTGAAGGAAATCGTAAAAATCATGGTATTTTAACACATGTATAACTGAAGTTTGAATTGTCAGAAACGTATTTTGTCATCAATGATGGAATCATCAGAATTATTGGTGCGTAAATATCATATAAATTATATAGCTTTATGTATCCTACACTCCCAAATTCCCTCCTACAATAGTATAGTACACGCATCAAAAGTATTAGCTCGCTTCAGTTCAAATTTAATATAATATATTTATATGATAATTTGTATACATATGATGGAGATTTTACATACTATATGCGTTACAATAATACTATTATATTCCATATTTTGTGTGAATACGATTTTTTTAGCAACATAAAAATGATCAATAATTTCATTCAAAGTTCATTATAAATGGTAATAATTAAGCAAATAAATGGTAATGAGTAGGCAGTTAATTGTTGTGATTAGTTTTATAACAGTTATAAGTTCTAATGTGTGATTTAAAAACAGAAATACTGGAATTGTAATTTATTTTGTTTAAAGTTAATAAAATTAAAAAAATTTTCAGTTAAAAGTTATTAAAAACGATCAGTCAATCTTCGCTTAGAATCGTTTTTCGTTTTTTATGATTTATCGATCTTATGGACAATATGTATTATAAGTTAATTAAGCCTAAATATAATATGATATATAATGTCTTGTCATTCTGATTTGTTTTACCATATGAACATTGAATAAAATAATTATAATTTTTAATAATATATATACCAATAAATGTATATTTTCGAGCGTACAAAATGAAGTAGATAATATTTCTCTACTTAAAAGAATCAGTTGTATAGAATTAAAATATTAATTTTTCGAAAAAATTAACGTTGTACCTACGCGTCAATTATACATATGAGGATGCATACTAGATGGTGCCTTATTTGCATGACAACCATAATAATATTTGATATTGTGATTAATTGATGCATCTGTACGGTTATAAAATATAACAAATTAAACAACCTTTTCTAATCTGACGGCGTATCACGTAACTATGCGCATCGATCATAAAATATAAATCGAATAATATGTGTATTGTATTTATTTAAACACCCATCGAGAGAGTGCCTATACAAAACGGTTAAAAACACTAAAATGTCTGTAAAAATATTTTTGTTTTTTTTTTAATTCAACGGAAGATGATCATAATAGAGGGTACAGAAATTATTTACACATATTTAAAAATATTGGACATGTATTTTTATACTACAGTTGAGATCCCTCAATCTGCATGCGACATGTATCGTAAAATAATCCGATTACGAAATTTTTTTCTAAAAGACCAAAACTCCTTACAGGGCGGATTGAACTGGATTTTTAAAATAACATTATCAAACACTATAATTAGAGTTTGGTTATAACCATTTTTTAATACTTATTTACTTATATATTTTGTATGATTTTTTTTCGTCTAACCACGATTCAAAATCCAATTCTATATGAAGATTTCCTCTTTTCAACGAAAAACAAAATCAAAATCGGACGTTTCTACGTGGAAAGGGAAGTACCACTGTAAACCATGTATTGAGCAAAAAATCAGTCCTTAAATACAAAAATTAATATCGACTGAATTTACCAATTTGTAAAAAAAAAACACGGGCCCATAATTTCAGGTAATATAACTTAAATCGATGTTCGACATATTGTACTCGTGTAAAAATAAGAAAAACATATCAAGAGAAAATGGGAGTGATATTATTATTTTCTTCTACAAATTAGATAGGTACAAAATTGTCTTTCACAGTTCACTTTTTTAAAAATAAAAGTATTTTCCAATTTCCTCGAGATTTTTCTTGAACAATAAAATCCGGTTTTTCATTAAACATCAAAATCAATTTAATCAAAAATGTTATTATAATTTCTTAACTTTGGTTGACATTCACTACTTTAACCGTTGCAATGTACTGTAGTATAATTACTAATTAGCAATCGATCGGGCGATAAGTAAACTGGAAAAAATGTCTTTAATATTATGCATTAATGCAAAATGGTTTATTTTTATTTTCATATTTATCATTTTATATAATTTCTAGGAGCAGTCAATTATATACGACAACTATATACTGTTTTAAAATATTGAAAATAATATTTCTATAGCGGTGAAAGGATAACATTTAACAAACCGATGAATCATAATATTAATATAATGTAATTTTAAAGTTATTTTTAAGGTGATTTTTTTTTTAACTTATTAAGGGACCTCGCATTATTGTTAAATCATTTATAGTTTAAATTATGTTAAATCGAAAAACGCATTACTTGAAAAATAAAATTCTTAATCAAAATAGGATATCCATATTACGGTTATACGAATAATTTTTAGAAGAGTAACAATAATTTCATGTTTCGATTACGGAGGAAAGTGGACTGAGAAGTAAAATGGCTCCACATCCGAAAACGTAAATCAATACGGTCAAATATCGCTGAACTGATAATATTTTCAGTTGTATAATAATAAATATATAGGACTTTATTTTATTTTTTTTACTTTTTGATTAGATACTCGACGTATGAATATTGAAACAAATAATTTGTGTGTAAAAAAAAAAAGGAATGAAAAAAATGAAATAACATAAACAATCAATTTGCAGGTCGCTTGATAAAGTCCTTCAAACAAGCGTATTATACATTTATACGAGAGTTATTAATTATACCATACCTATACTGACAATGTCGGTTCGTTTTAGTGTACCTATAGGCATAATATACAAAAGCATTAATATAAACGAAAGGTTTATATACGATTCAATAACCGTTTAATATAATCGTATGGTTTTAAAACACATACACCGGTTAATGGGAATTATTATAATAATAGAACATTTATATAGGTAAGTACCGAGTGAAATCTAATTGGCGAATCGATATAATATATAAAACGAAAGAGTAAATTTAATATTATAATGACGAAACATAGAAACGATTAAAACAGCTGACAGATGTCGTTTTTATTATGTATTAATATTATTATCATATCATTTCATTCATTTAATGAAATATTTACAATCATTCTTAATATATCGTGTACAGATAGAGGCTAAGTATTTATAAATATAGTAACTAGTACTAATAAGCCTGATAATGCAGTGTCCTTTAATAATTCAAAATTCTTTAAAAATAAATAAATATTTTATGCCTTAAAAGTGACGAAATAATAATAAGAAAATGACTCACAACTCACATGTCGAAAATTGCCAAAAAATGCAAAGCAAAATTATGTGTTTACATTGAAAAATATACGAAATTAATTTGTAGCAAAACGAGCAACGCATGGCATGCTTCAGAAAACAGTGCAAAATGCACCGAAATCTCAGCCTTAATAATTACTAAAATAAGAGAATGACGCGTATAGCGTATTTTCTAACTTCAAACAGTTTTAAACTCGTAAAAAAAAAAAAACAACAAACCTTTATTATGTCGTGCGTAAAAATTTACTTTTGCGTTAAACACGGGCGCCGCGCCGCCGCAGTGACTGCCACCGGGCGATAACTGCAGATAACGCGTTTTGACCGATAGAAAAGTTTTACTGCAATAATAGTTATACGCTATATTAAAATTATAATACTGACATATTGTAAACTCCATAAATTATGGCCCGTTACACAATCGAGACTTACATATATACGTGTCTATTGAATTCGACCGACTAGACGTAAACTTATATTATTCCGTACGAAATCCCGTATTGGATATAATAATATAGGCACTTGTTCGAATTGCATACATATTATTATTATTATTATAATTCAATTCAATAAGTATTACAACGATTATATATATTTATAACAATATAGGTATATAAGTAGTATTACTTATACCGGCCCAGTGTTTACTACCGTGTTGCTATTGTGCGGTATCTCATATATTATAGTTGATGTGTATATGTATATGTATGAATTACCTATATACAGTGAGTTTTAGTATCCGACTCTTATAAATTCTCGAAGAGTTTGTTCGTCGATAAGGTATTGAAAACGTTCCGATATGAAAAAATAAATAGATCTATATGATGTAATATAATAGTACGGTATTCATAAAAAAAAAAAAAAAAAAAAAAAAAAAAAAAAAAAAATAGTAATAATAACGATTAAAATGCAGCGACATCGATTGGAAAAAAAAAAAAAACCAACTACCGAGAGAGAAATAGAACGGAAAAAAAGTCAACCTACAAACTGATAAATAACTTTTACGTTGTTCTGCACCATGTCAACTATATTCTAGTATAACATTTTTTTTTTTCTTTCGTCGTCGTCTTACGGTCATGAACGTAAACCGTAGAAATATTTTTGGAACGTCGCTTTTGATATTTTATTCATATAACTATTATAATATGTATAGTGGGCTGGCTTAGATATTCGCTCAAAACGTTATCATATCCGTTGTGCATTGTATTGTGCATAATAATGAACCTTTGTCTCAAAAGGAGTACACTGTAAGAAACAAGCTTCAATATAATATTATGAATACGGATCACACGACAGAATGATGATTTTCTATACTTGGTACATCAACGTGCCTATATCTCGTCTAAGCTGTCTATTGTATAACGTATAGAGAATTTACGAGACTAAAAAACCTCCAATTTACATTCGCCGTGTAACTAGTTTTTTTTTTTTTACTAGAAAACGAGGTTAACGATGTACTTTATACAAACTATTTAAAAAAAAAAAAAGTGAACAAAAGAAAAATAGAAACTTTCGAAACTTAGTGAATTTCTCATCTACATTTTGTCGCCTGCTCGTAGTGCGAAGTATTTCCGGCTTTGAAGAATGGCGCCAGGTATTGTAAGGCTCTGGACAAAATACCGTTTCGAGGCCTAAATATTTTACACTTCTAACCTTCTTTGACTCATTCCTTTACTCACCATATTTTTAGTCCAAGTATTCAAGAATCCAAAAAATCTGCTTTCAAAATTGTTTTTATCGTTTCACTAGTAAATTAAATAAAATGAAACAAGGCTTTTGAAAGATTTTTTCATCGAAATGACTAATAACTTGTTCATTTCTCCATTTGGAAGACTATAATAATAGAATACAATTTGAAATTTAGTCTCGTTTAAGCAATGTGAAATTTAAAACCTAGGTACAACTATAACTATTCCTTACTAATTCGGCGTAGCTAAATATATGGCCGAAACCGAGAAGAAAATTGTTTTCTGTTTTGAGATTTATATCGAGGTCTTTCGGAGACCCATGACAAACGACCAATCAACCCTACCTTTCTGTCTTATAATATTATTATTGTAATGAATTATTCTTCCTGTTGTTGTAGTGAACTTTTACTTATTCATAGAGGTGTTTGAGGTACCGGGTACGTAGGCGTACACGAGGTTAATATTATAAAATATTTTCATTATTAACGCGTTCATTGTCTATTTCGGCTATATATTCCAATATTCTAATATTTTTCGTTCAGGCTCATTTTCAACCGGCTGTAACGCATGTAACTCCTGCTTTCAGGTTCCGCCTACTCATGTGCTTTCATTAAGTGAAGTGCGGCGAGATAGGTTTATACCTGTATCTAAATGCTAGGAATGTGCACATTAATCGGTGAAATTCTCGTGTTCTCAATATTCCATCGGGTATAATATCGGGTGTAACCATAACTACCTAATGAATGAATGAATTTAATTTGATGTTCTATTATTAGATTAACATAATATAAAATGCAATGCATAAAGCCTTTAATATGAGCTCGTGGTGGGGTAGGCAGTTAATTACATACTTATAAACTAATTAATTATGATACAGATAAATAACTATGAAATTCGATTAATAAAATGACCTAATTCCTTAAATATAACATCATCGATAAAATTGTTGTAATTCATTTTTAATAAAATCGTTTTAACGTCACATAATATTTTTTCCCATACGAAATTTTCAAAATATCTGTAAAAGAAAACCTAGACATTTAATAAACAAATATTATTAAAAAAATTTGTTTAGAGAAATTCAAGTAATTGCACGTTTAAACTCAGTATAATTAAAATATAGGTCAACTCAATGGCTATATATAGTTGACTCAACTTTTTTAAACATAGACAAAATATTTGTAAAGACATGACCCCAAATCACCATGTCATATTGCATTAACACGCGGTCTAAAGGAATACTATCCTTTATTTTAAAAGCTTATACTTAGACTATAATATATTATATAGTACAATATATTATCAACCTGACGGTAATTTTTCTACTCGTTTATGCTTTGTTTTCGATCCCTACGAGGTCAGCAGTATACCTTGCCTAATGCGTAATTAGGTATTTACGAGTAGTAAATAGACAAAATACATCGAAGATGAGGTTAAACGTTCGCAAGTATTATTATTGTTATTATTATTATTATAGTCGTACGCCAGCGATCTAATGGCGATTCCTTGTAATTTCACTTTGTCGGGGTGACCATTAAAAGGGTACGAAAGTAATTCGCCCTTCGATTTATAATACGTATAATATTCAGTGTTAACGTGCGCGCGAATTTCTCTCGTTGGCCTTTCGTATATAATAATATATAAACATACCTTTATAAAAACGTTATTGGTCCTTTTGATCTCGGTGACGATAACTATGTATACGATAGTATACAATAATAATAATAATGTAACACCGGCCGAAAATGAAATCAAATATTAAAATGTACCCTTTACAGCGGTTTTAGAACTTCGACTCATTACGACAATTTCGAAGACAGAAACTACATGTATAGATAGTATTTTGCACATTATTGATTTTCGAAATAATTGAGTGAAACGATTATTGTTGAAGATTAATAATCTGTCAATTATTTGTATATATTAATATTCAACTAAACATACGCGTCATTTCCTATAGATAAAATTGTGTTTTTTGATTTTAAACGTGGTAAGACTGATCATGTTTAAAAATGCCCACACTCAATTTCAAAATATTCACATTCGCGCTATACTTAATTTCACTGAATTCACTGTTAGAAATCGGCATATTATTAAATTTGAACGGGACGATTTTTGTGTAATTTTTTTTTTAAATCAGCTAGCTGTAATTACATAAAATTTATCAGAGGGCATCGTGGTTGTACGGAAATTTAATTTTTCCTCATATCGGCCGTATGCATTCAAAACGGTTGGTATACAAACTATCGCTGCACGATGACAACGGTTTCGCCGAAGGTAGGTGTAATATATAGGTATACACAGATTTGTCCGCAACGTATAAATCAACGAGATGAGTGGACGAGAAAAAAAAGGCGTTTTTACCTTTAAGCTTAAATCCTAGGTGGTGCGCGTATATAATATATATAGGTCGAAGGATAGTGTGGTGTAGTGGGGCTACTTTCTAATGCGATATTGTCGCATAATGCGGATGTATCGATAAAACCGTATTATTTACGACCCGACCAGAAAAACCTATATCGACTAGTTTTTTTCCCCTACACGTTATTCTTTTGGCAAAAAAAAAAAAAAAAAAAAATACCGCCCAGCTAACTCGAGGCGTTATTCAAAAACTCCATTTCGCAATATTGATAGCCCATCAGCTCTCGAGTACCGTACACTATAATAATAATAATAATAAAATATCGGTATATACTACAGTTTGTAAAAAGGTATACGCCGGGCCATATACCTTCGAAGAAAAGCAATTTTTTCGTTATAATTTTATTAGTTTTTCTTAATATAAATTTAGTTCAATATGCATTATTAAAAAAAAAAAAAAAAATATCTAAATATACTAAAATAATGATACAAATCAATGATAGATTTATGAATAATAATACAAAACCAGTATTAACAAATTAATTAAAACAAAAGTGTTCCAATATAATATGTATTATATTAATATATATATTGATTACAGTGATTTTTGGCATATTTAGATGCTGAGTTTATTGAAGAATGTATTAGTTTTACAATGATGTTTATTTTTTTTTTTTTATATGAACACTTTCTACGAGAAAGCTTACTCCGAATATCAGAAGAGATAGCATCTCTTCTGAAAGGAAATATTCTCTAGGTGATACTTTAGAGAAGCCAATTTTTGAAATTCTCATTAATATTCGAGATAATGAGGAAAATTTGGTTCTTTAGGTTAAAAAAAAAATCGAATGATTAAAAAAAAAGTTGTCATTGGCAACCGTTTTTATTTAGTTTTTTTGTTATTATTAAGATTTTATTATTTTAATATTTTTTAAACAATCATTGTTGTCATGGAAACGCATATTGTTATAATTATTTTACCGATTATATATATATATTGTTGATAAAGCAACACTATCAACTTAACTCCGCTTAGAATCGTTTTTTCATTAGCAATGGTTTATCTTTGCTTACAGATATACATCAAATTTCTGTCTATATCCTACCTTCCCAACTTCCCATCTACAATAGTGATTGCACTCACGTGCCTACTTTCGTCCTTTATTTTTATAATTTTTCTTATGCAAATTTGTTCTTTTTATTTTTCGATCAACACGGCATACGTGTATTAAAATACCTAATGACACGTGTTAAACATAGAATTAATTCATCACTAAGCATTTGTGTTTCTTAAAAATATTTGAGTCATATAATTATAAAATGAATTAAGACATTTATAAACCTATATTTGGTTAGGCCATTTATTAATTTAGCTATTTAAGAATTTTCAAAATTGAATTCGCTTGTATTTAGTCAATCTGACTTAATTCCTTCTTGCTTAGGTACAAAGGTAAGCGTAGTGTTTAAGTGATGACAAACGTATGTGAAATTGTGTAATTTACCTTTAAAGCGATACAAACTTTATTGCATTATATTAAAATTATTTGTATTACCATTTTAATAAAAACAGACATTTATTTTTATATATATATAAACATATACATAATTTCAAAACCAATTATTATGATAGCTTTATATAAAACCCATATGGGGTATATGGTTCATTAAATAACGAAACTACTAAACAAAATATCATTAATAGTATATATCTAGATACCTACTGCAGTTTATTTCAAAGTTTTGAATTGTATTCCAATTTGAAAAAAAAAACGGAACTAGTAAAGTTTCAACAATGTCATTGATTCGATTATAAAATATATACGTAGTAAAAGTATTTTTTAGTAGGTACATCCATTATTGTGTTGTACAGAATAAAGACTTTGCATGCAATTTTCTTGTTTTGGAAATTAAATCCAACCGATTATTGTAATTCAAATATATGTTGGTAATAAAGTTATTTTTTTCCATAAATGCTTAGATTAATGTGTTATTCAGTTTTAAAATAAGTCAATTTTTCGATTGTTTACAACGATATATTTTTTTTAACTAATTTATTATATTCATCATGTCTAATTCATTTATTTTACAACGGCGGCTTGGCTAGCATCTAGAATGTTATCATAATTTATTATTACAAAATGTTAGAGGCATGGTTAAACACAATGTTGGTCATGGCCGCTAGGCCACAAATGCGGCCTGGGCCGATAACCATGTTAGTTTCTGAATGCCCTTGAAGCCCTAAGATGTATACAATTTTCATAATTTAACTACCTACTGGCTATCTTTTGAGCAGAGATTTTAAATGAATACATATAGTATTGTTTAAACTTTAGTTGACTAATCTTTAGCAGACTACAGTAAAACATAATAAAGAAATCATTTATTATTAATAATTGTGCGAGCGAATAAATGTAACCACGAATTACTGAAAATTTAAATGTCGCTTAAAATCGCTTTTGTGAACATACGACATAACAAATTATATGATTATAATAAACCTGTAGTCTGATTGCCACGAAATTTGCATGCATAAATAATTGCTCCAATATACCAGATTTCTAGTAAATCCATTATATTAGTCGAAAAGTATATAATATTTTACCGACTTTAAGTATTTTGTTGATTATGAAACAATTATCGTGTGTAAATAAAAATGTGTATTCATCGAAATACTATATCGTTAATAGTCAGGAGGAGAAAAATAAATGGTAAAAGATTAAAGATTAAATTGCTGATAGCTGTAGTTGGCTATAACTAATCGAGAAATTAGCTTTGAGACAGTAATGTACTCGTGTGTGCGTGGAAAAATTACACGGATTAAAAATAAAAAAAAAGGTCCAGAATTAGATTTTGCTCAATAAGCAAACGCAGTATCATTGCGTATAAAAAAAACCAATGCAAAATAATGGGTCGTATCCTAGGGATTGATTTTGAATTCCATGGTTTTATGCGCTCAACAAAATATTACATTCTCCTTAACATCTTTTTTTTTCTCTCATATTAAGTAATAAGTTCAAACATTAACATTTTAATACCAATGTAAATTGTTTAGCAAGTATTGGTTATACTGACGGAAATCGGTATAACGGAATGTGTTGTGTGTGGGAAGATAAAATGTGTAAGTACGTTCGAAATTTGTTTTGAAATGTAAAAAATGATATTGGACCATTATCATGTTTTTTTTTGGAGGGAGAAGGAAGTCGTTTTTATTCTGTACACCCCTACAGATATCCCAAATGAAGCCAGTGAAATTTTGTATAACCTTGATATAAGTATCAATTATGTGCTAACTTTTAACCATTTCCCCAATCATATTTATGCTAAAATTTCATGTTTTCATAGTAAACACCAGGCGTGTTAAATTCCCCTACAGACTAAAATGAAATGAAAGTCTGGAAACCATAAATATTTTATTTTAGATCTGTTATATAAAAAAAAAAAAATAATTAAATATTATTACGGCAGAAAGTCCACCGGGAAACATTTCGACTCAATCAACGGAACTCTGCTGCCCGGGGGTGTTTTATTATTATTTCTCTAATGGTTACAACGGAATACTTATACGGATAATATTTACCGTTTTATAGAAGAACTAAAAAATAAAACTGATCGCTGTCAATTATCAACTAAACTTTAATATTTTTAATCGTCTGCTTATGAAAGTAAATTTAAATAGCTGATATTGCCGTTGGGTGTGCCACCAGTGGTATCACACAACAAAGTGGATTAGTGTCCCGGGGCCTTAGAATACAGGGGGTCTCGGGGTCCTTGAATAATTCTGAAATTACTTTTTTAAAATAATTGAAAATTTTGATGTTTCAAATCGTATGTTGTATTTCCAGTCAAATAAAATAGAATAATATTCCGCATGATAATATGCAATGAACGGTGTCCGCCGTCCTATAGTCATTGTACCGCGGTCCGCGATTTAAAGACGACCGAAAAAACTATTAATATAATATTATATTATACATTTTACCGTATTGACTAGTTATAGCTGAAATTATAAGGTTCCATAATATTATGAAGAGGGCACGGAGTTATTAATTTGAATATCGAAATTCATAAAAACGTATGTTGCACTATTTCAATTTGATTACTCCCCAGTGATAACGTGCGAGAATCACGTATGATATGGTGAAACTCGATTCCACGGTTTATTTTAATTTCCGTAATATATAGTACTCTGGAAGGGGGGGGGGACGAGCAAGTATAAGCTCATCAAAACTGATAATTTTATTATTTTATATCACATCCTGCAGTGCGTGTTGGCAGGTTTAATAAATTGATAATATAACTGTACCATTTTAATGCGTACCTATACTATTATAATATTATAATCCCGAATTTTTTATTGTTTGCGAAATGTGTACAACACGGATTTATAAAATTATGTTTAACGAAACATTTACTCGCAATTATTATTATTCCAACGTAAAACTGAATTGCAATTTTGTATTCCTGACCTCTCCCGCCCCCTCCGACCGCTTAAATGTGCGTTCGTATATTATTCTTAATTTTTATGCGGATTCAGTAAATAAAAATATTATTATTATTATTACTATTATTTTATTATGATTTTTTTTTTTTTTTTTTGAACACTCGACGTGACAGTTTTTTCATTGTTAACGGCGTATATTATTTTTATACACTAATTGCTTTAATATAATATCATAACCGAACGACAAAGGCTGACACCTTTATCTTCATTGTACAATATAACGCATGTATTTATATATATATATATATATATAAAAAAAAAATAATCCATTTATGAAAATAGACCGAACGAAACGGAATGGAAATTTAACGAGTATTTTATGCGTGTACTCGTATGTAAAAAAAAAACCCTAGTTTTTTATGACAATATTTTCGGTCCAAACTATAAAAATAAAATTACGTATTCGGTTACCTATACGCTTTCTTTATATCATTTTCGTAGAAATTATACAGATACCTACTTGAATAACCGTGAATGTATATGATGCGTTAAGCTGAAATAATAACCATTAAAAAATATGTAAATATATATATATATATATATATTTATAGTTATTCTGTATTATAATAAAGAAGTTTCTTTAAAAATTCAATTTGTTTTGTCCATTTTGACTTACGTGTTTTATATTTACGAAACGATCACTCTGTATATTATATTATTAGTATTAAAAACTGATAGAACATTAAACCTTTTTTTTTTTCCTCTAAAATTAACGATTTGTTATTTCACTTCAAGAAAATGAGAAAATAAATATAAACTCGTTTAACTCGTATTAAAAGTTTGGCAGCTATTTTAAACCGCTTTTCGATTTCTAACCTATTTGATTGTTATTAATTACAGCACGAAAACTTTAACGTAGACACGAGTAATACGTGTCAATAATGATCTATGTACGTTGCACTATTCAACAAGTGGTGGCGTTTTATAGATGTATACAAAATTGATGTTTACTCCTTTTCGGGAAATCAGCTATAATCGTATTACTGTTAATTGGAACATACCGCTGCTTTTAAATTACACGCATAACGTGTTTCGCAATTATGTACAACGCACCTACCTCCTATCCGTTAAAAATTACCGTAAATCGGTAAATGTCATATTTATTAAACAGTGTAATTTGTACAATGGTCTATTCTATCAATAGATACGTATCTATGTTTACTTTATTTTTTTATCATATTTAGATAACTGTAGGAAAATAAGCTATTTAGGATAAATAATTCATAGTCTCTAGAGAAAAACATCTTTTAAGATTGTAATTTAATTACCTACGTATTATCGAAAGAATAAGTATTTAACTATTTAATTAATATCAGTAGTTTATAATTTAACTATTAAATTGCACAGATTACGGAACTTTAATAAAATCTATATATAGATGTGTAGCATCTTTTGTGGTACCATTTTAGCAATCAGTGTTATAATATCGATAGGTGTGTATCGTGTGGTCCATTTAATTTGGTACACTCATTACCTCGAAAAGTATTAAATTTTTTCAAACATTTTTTTTTTCAAAACTAAAGAAACAAGCAGTTTTAAAATATTTAATTTCCATAATTTTTTGTCACCCTTATTTTTGGAGGTGAAACGACTTTAAATTTTTATCACTTGCTGTCATCGTTCTTGGAATTATCGTTATATATACTTGAAATTGTATTTTCATAAACAACGCCGAAAGTAATTTATTGATTTGTAATTTTAATTTAATTATCTTGTATGTAATTATTTACAAAAAAGAAAAAAGAGTTTAATAAATTTATATACTCGTATTATATGAGAATAGAATAATTCTAACAAATCAAGATTCATAATACAAATACTCGAGATTTTGGTGTGGATCAAAAATATTTCAATTTAAATTAAATATTGAAGATATTATTTTTCTTTTACGTTTGAGATAGTGATTGCCAAATGACGGGCACAGGATAGTTGTCTGAAAAATGAAGCTCTATACAATCATAATGTTATTAATGGTGATGGCAACGTAGAAAAACCAATGGTTTCAGTTTTTCGATTTTTGTGTAATATCCGGAATTATAGGATCATATCTATAACACGGTTTTAGATGGGATAAATAAAATATTTTGAAAATGATAACTGATAAGGATCCAACAAATGATTATAGTTGTTTGTATATTGTTATTCTGTTGAAAAGTTTTTAGTTGTCTATTTTTATGCAGATACCTGTTAAAGTGTTCTAACTTGTGGGTTAGTTTTAAAAACAGCAAAGCATAAACATTAAACATGGCCGTGTAATGTATAACGTGTATTCGGTGAAAAATTTAATTTCATTTATGTTTCACTAAAATTAATTATTTCATGCAATTTTACAACCTTAGTTGTAATATACATGAAATTTGAATTGAGCTGAAGCGGATAATTAAAATTATAAAAAAAAAAAAACTAATTAATTTTTCTATAACGACAAATTTAACTGGTGTTTTAAATTAGTATAGTAATTTCCATTAACTGAAAACAAAAGTTCAAGATTTACATAAATATTGTCGCGATAAACGTCGGACACTCTTATAATATGTCGCCGAAAATACTGCAATGTCGTGCAGTTGTCGCGGTTAATGGATTTTATTTTTTATTATTATGTAGCTCGTAAATATACGCCCGCTTGATGCATTAGTATCCGCGAACTACTATAACACGGCCTTTGAAGAATTTTAGCATCGCGCTCATTTCTGCCGCCACCGTTGGCAACCTCCGCCGACGCGCTCGTTGGTTACACACATTTCGTATGTTCGGTGTGTTTTTTCTTTATTTATTTATTTATTTTTTTTTTTTTTTTTGACGACTCCGTGTCATTTTGCGCCTCGGGTTATTATTATATAGCACACAGTATAGTAATGCAAAAGCAATTTAATATCTCGCCTTATAACTTATAATAATATTATACAAATACTAAACGCGCGCTCGCGAGCTTTCTGCGCCGAGCACCATCACATTTACACTGTTACTATACCGCACCTTCAACATCACTCGCTCGTCATTTATTCCCCGCTGGTATTTTTCCCGAAGAATATTAACGCTACTCAACACCTTACCAACAGCCGTATATTTCAAACGCGACACTTCTTTGGAATTTGCCACGCGTCGAGTGTGTCACCGCCACGTGTACATTATGCCCGGCATATTCAATGGAATACCTAAAATTGAAATGCTTACACATATTTTAGACGCGTAAATTGTAAAAAAATACGCAGATAGGCCATATTTAATATTTGCGTTTTTATTTTTTTTAATTTTTTTTTTTGTTGTCATTATATACACATGTTTTTCTTTAGTCAGTTATTTCTTTCTCTAGAGTGCGAACTGTATAGTATTCGGATAAATGCGAATCCCATACGTTCATAAGTTTACTTTGTGCACCTCGTCAACCCCCTCTCACCAAAAGCGACCTCGTATGCGTATAGAAAACAATCTAAACCATAAATGAAAAAAATATATAATATGTATGTATTTGTATAATATATATATATACGTATTATTAAAGTGTAGGTATACCTATACTTTATTATACGTATGAAGAGTAAACGCGTACGAGTTGTTTTTTTTTAAATATTATACGGAGTATATTAAAGAGAAAAATAAATAATAATAATAATAAATCAACATCGGCTATAAAATGCCAACAAGCAAATATGAATTTTATAAATCCCACGTTTACTGCTACTATGTTATTACTCGTCAACCTTTTATTTATCCCTCTTAGAAAAAATCGTTTTTGATCTGTAAAATTGTTTCGAAATAATATAAATAAATAAATACAGAATATCTGTTTGTGACTAAAACTCAAAATTAATACTATACGTATAGTATGCACGTGTTATGTGCACTGTTATTATATATTTTTACATATATATATATATACATATGACCCTCCTAATAGTGATGTCGTTTTTGAAATTCTTCGACAAGAAAAAGAAAACTAAATGTATCACCGTAATTTTAAACAATAGTCTTAACTTATATTGTGGATTTTTTTTAAAATTTAAAACAGAACAATTCTATTCATGTTTAAACTTAAAATAACTACGGTGAGTCAATGTATATGTAATCTCTTTTGTAAATCTGTTGAAAAAATATTAACAGGATTGGTCAGAATTTATATATGAATATTTTCCCATTTAATTAATGTGTTGAAAACGTATAAAATAGTGTGTATTCTAAAATTGCGTCTTGGCTTAATATTTTTAGACGAACTATTTTTTTTATTTTTTTTGGGGGGGGGGAAAGAGAGGTTGAGGTCAAATTTAACATTTTATTGAAAATTAATATTATTTGGAAAACAGATATATTACAGTTATATTATTTAATGTATTTTAGGTGCGAAAAACTTAATATTTTAGGTAATGCAAAACTCTTTTCTTGAGAGCAGATGATCCTAATTTTTAATCCGGGCTGAAGTGACGGTACAACTACGCACCCTGTATTGACCTTAGGCTATTCAGGAGGCGCAGAGGTTCGGGGAAGCCTCATCTACATGACAATGCATCAGAGCGCGGTCCTAGCAACTGTTACCCAATTTACTTACCGTCTGCACACGGGTTCAGTCGTCGTCGGGTGGGTAGCCTTTGGCTTTTTAACTACTACCCAACGAAACTTGTAAGCCCGTCCGAATCCAACCGCAAGGCACCGACTATGGCACGAGACCACGGCCGACACCTGGGTCTCCGATCGGCGCCGAACATGGGTCGGCGCCGGGGCTCCGAAGTCCACCCGGACTACTTTTCATAAATTTCAAAAGTTGGACATATCTTGACAGTAAGCAATCGACGAAGCGGATGATCAGTGTCCGTACCGGAGGCATTCAAGAATCTATGGACACGCGTGTGATAATACAATCTCCGTTTCTTGGAGGTAAATGGATCTCCCGAGAATATCAGGCACTGTGACCCAACGATCGAAACGCAAAAAGACCTCCGAACGACTTTATCTTAAAGCAATTTAAAGTTTTTAATAATACTTTGAAGATTTTAATTTTATCAATCCAAAATTAAATAAATTATGATTTTATCGATTTTAGTACCTATAGCTATATTTCTGCGTATACTAAATCATGAACAGTACCAATTAGATATTTTTGTAATAATATACGAGGATATTTGTAAAATGTAGTCTGCATTATCCTCCCTCTTACTGCTGACTATATCCAATTATACAAATTTAATTGTATTCCATGTAAAAATATGTCAATATTGTAACTAATAATTATTGGCAATCGTTCAAGACTTTTAGCAAAATAACTGAAAAAAGTTTAATTTTTGTTTATTGCTCCGATTGCTGATTAATTGATATTATACACTGTATTGTTACAATCGTTTGAAAAATACAATAAAACATTTTAAAATTTAACAATATTGTAATAACGTGATGTGTTTCACTAAAATAGTAGGGAAAAAAAAGATTTCAGACAAATGGAAAGCTTAGAATGAAATGAGTTTTTCAAAGGGAAATCAAGTGGTTGTAAAATACACATTATTTTTAGTTTATATTTTCAATATTTTAATCGTTGAAAAAAATAAAACAAATATTTTTCCTTAATGAAAACGCAGGGTTAGAATTCTGATATTTTTTTTCAAGCAACTTCAATTCATACATTTGTTTGCTGTCTTACAAAAATTAAAAATTTCTGTAATGCAATATTTTAAGTAATTATATTATTATCTTTAATAAAATTGTAATTCTCTAGCTATAGTTAAATTGCATCACTTTTAAATTCATAAGTTTTAAATTTATTGATAAAGCCACAAACAAAAATCATATTTTTTAATTAATAAAAAACACACTGTTTATCATATATTTCATGACATTTACGGAAGGGATTAAATAGAATCAAAAAAATTAAACACATTCAAATTCTATGACTGTACTTATTATTTATATAATACTGATATAATTCATGTTCGATTCAAACCTTTAAATAATCAGAGATTCTTACGCTTCATGCATTGAGTATCCCAAGAGTACTCACTAATTACTATAATCCCGAAGTTTATATAAAAAAAAGAGGAATACCAATTACGATTATTCTGTTTGTCATAAATATTTGTATATATTTCAGTAGACATAAAAAAAAAAAAAAAAATAAGTATAAATATTGGTTTGTTTAATTATTACAATTAAATGTTTTAATTAATACTATGTACAACTTTTCGCGGTAGATTGATTTTTTTAAAATTTAAATTATTTTCCATCGAAAAGATCGTGTGTATAAATTTCCAGTACCCTTAAAAAAAAAATCATAACCTACTGCAGATGTTACTACACTATTGTGCCTATTTAAAGCCTAGGAGAATATCCTGTACACTGAATTGCCGTCCTGGTAGAGACTTTTGAATACTTATGAGTATGCAATAATATTTTAATGTCAAAATTCCAAAACTTTGTATCAGTTATTTTTATATTAAATTTAATACATTTTATGTTAAAAAAAAATCTGTAAAATATTTTTCCTTCTATATTTATCTCCTCCTATTCTCGCATCCAAAATCATTTTTTTTTTCTATCTACTCAACTATACTCCATAGTCATATGACCTCTTTTTATTACTTCATCATCACAACATTATATGTTATAATTTTCTTTTTTAATCACCTCTTTTCCATTTCTGGTATACACTTAACTAACTTAATATGTTCAGAAAGAATAAACAACCGGTGTATAATTATATGAATAAATGAATATCTTGCTATTTATTTTATATTCTGAGTGGAGCAAGGAAGTTTATGGTTTTACAAAGACGTTTTTTTTTTTACTTATGCCCAACTTTTCTTATCTGGATCTAGTTTTTAAGTGTAGCAAATTTTCTGAAAAAAAAAAAACAAAAAAACGGTATGTTACTTAAGGTACTTTAGGGAGTCATTTTTCGATTTTCTTAATAATTTTCTCATCAAATGTGAAAAACCGAAAAAAAAAAAACGAGGAAAAACAAGAAAATCGGTACAACATTAAAAAAAAATATATAATGCCTGTTTAATTATTTTTCAATAATATTGCATAAATATTGTTGACAAAACATCAATATCGACTTAACTCCTCTCAGAATCGTTTTTTCGTTGGTAACGGTTTACCGCGGCTTACAGGACCTGATATACATTAAATTACCTATAACTGTGGATGCATCCGTCTCCATTATCTTAGGACAGCTATTTATTTTTATCCATTATCTATAAAGTAATTAATATATTTTGGTGTTAACTATTCCAACTTGGGTCTTATGTACATCTTATAGATAAAATTTCACAGGATTTTCAAGAAAAATAAAATTAGGATTTTATTATTGATAATATTATTGACCGCTCATTTTACTCGTCTTCTTCACCGCCTACCATTATCGATGTTGTATTAACTGCAGTGACTGTTTTTTTTATTTTTAAGAAAATCAACTTCTGGTGAAGGTATTAGGTAATTATTTTATGAGTTACCTAATCGAAAAATAACGCAATTCTTATATATATATATTGTATTGTATATACTTTTTTTTTTTAAAACCGCTTGAAAGCTTTTATTGTAAACATCAAACAACAATACACTATCAAAGGTATACATAAATACTTGTGATGTATTTATATACAAAAATAATAAAAAAAAATTTTTTTTTTATATTGTATTATATTATGAATATTTTTTGATAAAAACTTAGTCACGTTTTACATTTCGACTCTGATATACCCGATGATGAATTTTTAATTCAAAACCAGTCGTATAATACACTTGTGATAATACTTCAGGCGATGCATTCATTCATTTATTTATTTTATTTTTATTTATACATTTTTTACTTATATATTTATTTACTATATGTATTAACTTTATTTATTTACGAGTATCAACCATTTTAGTAATTTTGTTTTTACTTTATTATTCTATTAAAAACATTCTTACGTCATACCTACTTAACCAAATTCGTTAAGTGAGGTACCGTTTTGAAGATTATAAGTTGGCCGCTTCTTACGAATCGTTATAGTTCACAGTTATACATTGTATCTATATTTGCACTGCAATTTTTTTGGGCTAAATTTTCGTCACGGCAGTATAGGAATGAAACGAAAATCTGTTATTGGAAAATTGTTACTCGCGTTAGTGCGGAGTATTCGCATGGGCTTTAAGTAATATATTATTTTATTAAATATACGCCAGGTATATGGTACTAGTAAATATAAGTACCTATATATTATGGTAATTCAACATACTATTTTATAACGCAATTTGACAGATTTGTATGGATATTTGAGCACATACGCATGTAACATAATAGTATTCCAACGTTACCTATACGCGTGGAAAAGCCGGGCAAAGGACACAATATAATAAATATATTTACGTATAAAAAGTAATGGAAAAAAAAAAAAAAAATAATACTGTTTTTGTATAACTCTGTTGCTAGATAACCAAACGGTCGTTGGAATTCGCCGCACGTTTCATTATACGCTTATATATATATATATAGGTATAGATTTAGATATAGGTAGATACGTAACTCAATATATTATTATTATTATCGTTGCAGGTTGTGTTTCGGTCAAAACGAATAAATTGTATAGGTAGGCATGTTCACTCTGTCAGGTTTAACGTACTGCCTATACTGAACGTTGTTCCATAATATATAATAATATAATATCGTAAATTTGGTTTTTCACAGGAAAAAGTATTTTAAAAGGCATTTTAAATACTCCGCGCGGGTCACCGAATATGCTAATTCGGATATTGTTCAAATTATTTCGATTCAATCGTCCGCCTCGCTGTACGTTTGCTATTATTGTGTGTATTTCTGCAATGCGCGTGTACAAAACCTAATGCGATGCCTACACTTTTTGAAATAGTACCTAGGTATATACAATGTCACATAAAATATTTTATCTATGTAAGCATTTTTCGATTAACCTAACCGTTAACCAATGGTCACTCGCTGTGATAATAGTATTTGTGCGTAGTTTTGAATTCACATGGTTAATATAATCATTAGTTTTACTAATAAATTATATAAACAACAAAAAATATTTTTAATGCATTATTTAGATAAAATTTACTACCTACTACTACTCACTACTATTCAAGTTGTCGATTAGAGGAAAATTTCTAAATGAAAAGTTGTTTGACAGGAAAAAAAAACTATAATAGAAGGGTACACATGAGAATTTAACTTTATAGACGCTATCGAGAAAAATTATTAATTGATTTTAGACGCAAATTCTGGTATTTCATTAATTTACTGAAAATGAACACTTTCGATTTCTGAAATTCTCGAATGGTTTTAGAAAACAGTCTGGGTAAAACTACAAAAAAACTACATCTATACGGTATTGGTCCATCAATAATAATAATTTTTTTTTTTTTTTTAAATTCATTACCGTTACATACAGAGTCCGTGTTCATGGTCACAACATTCGTATAATATTTCATTTCTTATAAATTTATAACGTCGTCGTCTTTTGAATAATTGACGAGGATGATATTGTAGTGGGACACCCTAATAAAACTGTACGACAATGATTGTCGTGCTACACGGAACAATGAAACAGTTTCAGAACTAAACCCATTAAAGGTTTCGAAATGGGTTATGATGATGTGCATAAGGAAAAGTGACAAAAGTACTAAACCAAAGTAAAAAATTCACGATTTAATAAAATGATACGTATAATATATTTTGCTTATTAATATTTGATTAGTCGAAAAAATCGTTTTTCTGTGTTTTTCGTGTTTTTCGGCGATTACTTCGTGATCAAATACTTATATTCTAAATGTATAGTTGTTAAATATGTTACAACAAAATGTTTTAGATAATTCGCTCGCGTCAAATTTAAAACTCACGAACGTTTACGTGGACAGAGAACCTATGATTGAATAATAATAGAATGCAATTTTTTGCAATTTAATAGTAAACTTGATCAGCAATGATAATAGATTCTTCTTCTCTCTTTTAAAACTCAAAAAATCCAAAATGATTTTGAATTGATAACAGTTCTCGTTGGCTATTAATCAAGCCATATTATACATATTATAATTATAATATAGATTGCGTTGCTCGTGAACAAAATTCAAGTCAAATACGCGTATCTTCGTGAATCTTTGATAAACATTAAAACTACAAATAACATTAATAAATACAATTTTGACAAAAATATACGCTTAGGTTATACGCTATGTTGTGGTCCATGATGATGATCGGAGTAGAGGAGGGGAAGTTGGATAGGATGGTAAACGGGGTGGCGAGATGGTATCATTAACACTGACCCGTCGGAAGACGATGTTTGGGTCGGATGGGGAAGAGGAGGGGGGGACTATCGATCTGCACGGCTGGCGGCGGCGGCGTTACAGTTGTATAGTAGCCTACACAACGGTTTCCGGTGCCAACAATCTCGCGGCGGAACACGAGCTGCGGTGGTGGTCGGCCCGCCGTTAATCTGTTTACGAATCGCACCGGCCAAACTTCGGAATAATAATAATAATAATAATAATAATAATAATAATAATTTGTCTCTCTCGCCCTCTCGCACTATTCCGCCGTATACCGGAGCCCGTGTCGAAAACCTTTAGCCCGCCGCCGGTCTTCCCGTCCTCCTAGTTAATTCTTCCGCCGCCCGCAGCGGCCGCGTATCGACGGGCCGGCCGTGCGAAAAACACAAACAAAACTGTGAGCATTGAACGCGACCGGACTCGGTCCGCATCGCCGAGCGGATTAGGTACGAAAATAGCCGACGAACGATTATAATATTATCCCCGACGTCGGTATAGCGAGGTTAATGAAATCATCGGATCTCTAAATTTTCGAGAGAAGAGGGGACCGTGGTTTTTAGCCGGGCTGCCTGAAACTACAATCTGGGCGCGTTTAACCATTCTAATATCCGTTCCAGCACCTGTAGGAAGCATACCCCGCTTATGATTGGTCCGTTGTAATCGTGCGCTTGCGGAACGGTTAAACTGTAGTCTTTATTCGTTTACTATAAATTAACCGGGCGATCCCTTTACTTAAGTATAAAACACGCAACGTAATAAGTACTTAAAAGTAACCAAAATAATATTATAAAAACGTAAATAACAATAACAAAACTAATTGTGATAAAGTCAAATTATCTAGGAGTGCTGGGCGTCACCAGATTATTTCATTAAACTGCATATTTAATTCATAGTGCACCTATAATAGTTAAGCGTTTTTGGTTTTGTTAGATATATATATATATAAGCGCAGTGGCGTATCAAAAAAATTTTTTTTTTTTGGTAAAGGAGATACTGATAAGGATACTGATCGCGTTTAATAAAACCTAGTACTTTCAATACTCTGCGTGTATAAAATAATCTCATCAATTCTAATATTCCTTTGTCTAGAGATTTTGGCAACTTCTATTTACTCGCTTCGTGAACTTTATAAGAATTTTATCAAAAATAATACTTTGTTATGCAAAGCCATATTAGATAGATCAGAAGAGCAGAAGTTCTCCACTACATTTATAAATTTTTGCTTTTTTGTTTTGATAACAGAATAACAGAACTACCCGAAGCCCGACAAATTCAATTATAATAAATCAGAGAAGTAAAGTCGAAATACCACACACAATATTCCTTTTATATAGATGTTGTATCTAAATATATAGTACGTCTAGCCCCTTTTCATAACTTATTTAAATGTCTTTCACTACTATTACAGACTATAACTACTACTATTCCTACTACGAAACGCGTTATAGTTATTTAATAGAGTTTTTGCGATGTAATTGCACTGCAGTGGCATTGAGTAAGTGTATGCACTGACTGCACTGCCAATTTTAGTACAGTAAAATATAACTATGAACCGTTTTTCTTTACCCAGGGGGTCGATAAAAAAAAAATGCGATACAAAAAAGATAATTAAATAATAGATATGTTTGTATTCGGTATAAAAACCCTATTGTTGTGAAAGGGTTTCCCTTGTGCAATTTTATCAAAAACGCTTTTAACTTTAACCTTAAAAGGAGATCGTAATACTATTATATGAAATGAAAAAAAAAAAAATTAAAATTGATCTTATCTTTTTAATTATAGCTTTTTAAAACATGTATAACCGAACTCTACTCAAAAATACCTCAAATATTTTGAACATTTCGTTCACGTTTAGAAAAGGCAAATATAAGTTTTATGTCAAAATTTCAAGTTTCTATGGATATTTTAAACTGAAATACATTAAAAAAATAAAATTTTAAATACTAAAATAATTATTTTCTTGATTTGTTTAGTACTTTCTACGTATTTTTCGATGTTACTCAACTTTTTTAAATACTATAAAGAAAAACAAAAAACACCCTCCTTTGTTCACCAACAAAATTACAAATTAAACATAAAAGATCTCTTATTGTATTTCTATTGGAGTAATATTTCTGTTAGAAACCGGAAGGCGTAAAAATGTAAAATAATTAAATCGTTACACCTTAAATTTTTCAATTTTCATTTTACGTTTCTTTCCGGTTTTCTCTATTACCATGGAAATAACTTTGATTAAAAAACGATTTTGTTCGTGAGTATCTAGATTCAAAATAAAACAAAAAAAATCTCTTGTCGTTTTTTCTATTGTAGTTATATATCTGGTAGAACACAGTTTACAAAAATTAAAAACGATGAAAACGGTATCTTCATAGCACGCCGTTATATTTGCCGTTTTACCTATAATGTTCTTAAATATAATAATATAATCATAATTAAGTATAATTTTATTACAAGTTCAAGATGAAAATGTATTTTTCTACGTATTAGGTAACATAGTGATTATTTTATTATGCTCTATTTACATTTAAACTGGACTGGACCGAAGAATCGGACTTAAAAATTGTAGACGGACTGGACCGGACCGAAAGAAGAATCAGACGGACCGGACTGGACCGTAGTAAATTCCAAAATAAAAAAGACCGGAAGTACCGGAGTGCAGTCCGGTTTGATCAAAGCAGGACTGGACCGTGCATAATTCTACTCGTGATACTTCAAATCTAACAAATTCAATATCATTGTAAAACCATTAGATTACTCGCTATGCTCCGAATCTAAAAATACACACTAAAAATCAAATATCTACGTCAAATGTATAATAAAAATTTCAATTTTCAATATCTGTTACATAAGTCATTGTCTTAGATCGCCCAAAACCAATGCATTTTGTTTAATATCTAGACCCTAAACTTATTATGGATCTATGTTCTTCAAAGCTTTAAGCGATTCAAACATTGGATTATTTAATTATACTGTTATAGAAAGATACGATGTCGATGTCTGTTATATTTTAATAAATGGTCGATAACTACAAATGGTTTAGTTAATATACATATGAAAAAAAGTAGTTAGAAATAAAATAGATGTATGTAAAATTAAATACAACAAATCGATTTTAAAACCTAATTTGTTTTATTCAATTCAATTACCTACACTATATATTTACATTTTACTATAAAATACTTTCAATTAAATTGTTTTGCAACTAATTTTTTTTTTTTTCTGTGTTAAAATGTTATGAAATACGAGAGGAAATATCTGCGAGCAACAGAGTTCCGTTCTACCTAGAGTGGAGTTTCTCCCTGTCTATAATATATTCTTGACATATTTTTTGTAAAAAATAAACAACTGAATACTATTATAATTAAAATGCTATAGGTACCTTTTAATGCTTAAACTATTCTACTTATATAAAAAAAAAAATAAAAATTGTAAAATTTGATCATGAAAATGTCAGGCGTGAATTTTGAAAATTGAAATCACCAAAAGGCGTTTTCCCCTTTTTTTGTTGAAGGAAATGGTTCCATCCCGTTTCATCAGTATCTCTAATATAATAATTCGTTTTATTCGTGCAGAGAACGTAAACTCAATTTTTTTATATATATATATATATATATATATATATATATATGTACTTATATAATATATATAATCCTATATAATATTATACGGCACATTGTGCAGAAATACCGTATACGAACCTAATGAACCGAATACGAACTGCTCGCAAGAATACTGAATAGACATATTCTATATTGGGCGTGTAGGTGTTTAGGTGTGCAGATACATAGAAGGTACAACAACAGAATTGTCGGGTAAAATATTCGAGTAGGTAGGTAGTAGTGATCTTTGTTTCGATTTAATATTCGGTAAAATTCGCACAAATCGCCGTCCCAAAGAGAATCAGGCTACTGTATTTAAAGGTATAGAGTTGCAATATGATAACAAGTCTGTAAATAAATTACAGATCCTATAGGTGTATGACGTTGTGCAAAATTATAATGGCTCGGTAACATGTAAATATGCTTAACCTAATAAAACTTAAGTAATATTGTCGTGTCTCGTATGATCGACAAGATGATTTACAATATTTGTATTGTGAATTTTCATATTTTGTTCACCATAAATTAAACCGTAAATACCTCTAACCATTTACCGAAAGAGTACAGTGTGTACACAACACGACGCTTGCGGTAAAGTGTGTGTGTGTGTGTGTGTATGTGTTTGTTATGTCTTAACTGATCGATTCGAAACGACTCTGAGAAATGAGGGGTAGAGCGAGCAGTGTGATGCCGCATGAATATTTATGATCGTTATAATACTTATAATAGATACAACCCGAAAACAGTATCATTAGTGGGATGTTAAACACTTAAAATTAAAAATATATATATATATGATGTTCCGAAACAAAAAATGTATATAAAATGTAATTATTCTTAATTAATAATATACTTTAATTATGAACGTAAAATACGCAGCTTTTTAGGTTGGAAAAAAAACTTTAAATATAAATTAGGGTATTATAAAATATATCGATGTGAAAAAACAAAACTGAACGTTATGAATATCAAACTGTTCGGTGTAAACTGTGTTGTGCTCCATCTAGATAGGTATAGTATTATTTTAATTTTTTTTTTACTTTAATATACCCACATAAATGAGGAAAGTTAGTTAAAAATGTTATGAACTACTATAGAAAAAATCGCATACTACCAAATTATAAACAAATACCGAAAATTGATTCCATTTTTATACCATTTTTTTTTTTTTTTGAAACGATTTATGTCGTTACTAGAAATATTAGTTGATTGTCGGCAATAAAGTTGAGCATATGAGGATATAATTGCACTAGTTGCAGAAAACTGGAGCTCATTTTAGATTTTACCGGAAAACAAGAGACAAAAATAAAGCTTAAAATAAAGATTTGATACTGGGAAAAGATGGGCCACTGTTTTAGGTGGGTAGTAGGGAAGTTTAGGTCACAGGAGAATTTTTCAAATAGTATCAAGATACGAGATTTTATATATGGTACTTATTTACTTGAAAATCTGTAAACATTTATGATGGTTTTTCTTAAAAAAAAATAAATAATAATAATAATATTATAATGTGTGTTAATAATAGTATAATACGTTGGATTTATTTTCATTTATTTCTTAGTAACCTTAGCTACAATAGACAAAAAACTACTAATGTAGTATAACCTTATCAGTTTATAGAGCTCCATGTTATTTGATTTCAATTATGTGTTTTAACTTAATTTCCTTAAATCCTATGTCCTCGAGTCTTCCACCTTCGGCAATGTGATTTACCCACGGTGCGAAGTATACCTAGATTCATTTTTTCTTGTACTGTTAATATTATCATTTTTGTTTATAAATGCGTTTATGTGAGTTTTATTTTATTTTTTTTTTTTAGATAACCGTTTATTTCTTTTTATGTTATGATGTTATGATGACAATATTTTCATAATAACAATCGTAAAATAACTAAAATTGTATAATGTCTCATATAAATTAAATTCTTCCAACTACACAACTGCGCTTTTTATAGTAATTTGTATAGAAACGAAATAAATAACGACGTGCTCTAGACTGGAAATAATATCCACGAAAAACACGGCGAAATGTCCGTTCCTTATACTGCGTAATATCCGCTTTTTGCTCGTTGTTAAAGTTAGTTTCAGGTGTATTATGGACTTTGTAAGACAAAAGTACCATTAATTTTGATTTTACGTAAAAAGCTCGAATAAGTTTTCGAACGGGCGGCGTTGTTACCTTGCCGTTATAATTAAGATAAGCGGAATTCGGTGTTGATATCGTACCAGCTACCTATAATACACACATAGTAATGATTTAATTGAGACTAGGTACATGATAAAAACCAAAAATAAAAATCAAATAATTATTATACAAACAAATGATAATTACAAAGAGGTTGTCAAATAATGAAAACTACGGACGAAATGGATAAATTTATCGATTTAAACGTGCCAGAATATTGATTTAGGTAAATACTTATTATACATAATAGACTTTTTGAAAATCTAAAACGCATCAACCACACTATTAATAATATTAATCTTCACGGGGGTGTACATTATTAAGCGCGATTACGTTAATATTATATCACATTTGTTTACTTTGATCATGAATGGGGAAGAAACTGTACTGAGATGAGTTTTTCTCGAAAACGGTTTTTCGGTTAGTAAAAATACTCAAAAAGTTTTACACGGTATCGTACTTACTTTAAAAGAAGAATATTTTTCACTCGACCGCACTTAATTTGAAGCATTTTTACATATATAATTATATATGTACATATTCTAAATATTTTTCATATTTAAGTTTTATACGTTGAATTTGAGCTTAAAAGTACACGATTTAAAAAGTACCTACCCAAAAAATCATATATTTATATAAATTTGTCTCTTTTAATTTTGTATATTTTAAGCAATTTAACAATTGAAAATATTTTTACAGTGAATTTTTATCACGATTGGTTCACGACCGGTGTCCTACACCGTGTCGAACTTGTTGAAATAATAAAACAATAAAACTGGGAAATATTATTCTGCTCGATAAAAGCAATCGTTTAAACATATAAATTCGATTAGTCCAAACCTTTTAATGCCCAATTCGTCTTGAAAATGTTTATAAATGAAAGCGTAAATTTGCAGAAAAAATAACAAAATTATTTTACTCGATAGAATGTTTTCCCTTATACACACAAAAACAATAATATTTCAGAAAAGCTTTTTTTTATTATTTATTATTATTTTAACAGTTTGTATTCTTTTTCTTGTTGTTTTATTAAGATTTGTGTGTTTTTCTTTAAAAACATTTTTTTGTATCTTAAAAGATAGATCTTGACATTTTTGTTTATTTTCTCGAATACTAAAACACTGATATCAAATGACAATATAACGGTTCAGTGGTGCTGAAGTCAATTTTATCAGTGATGGGTGGGGGAGGTAAAGCATTTATTGTGGTGCCCACCCAGGTTAGAAAAAAAGTTAATTACTCACTTAATTTTTAAACTTTTCAAACAAGATAATTTTACGTTTAATACTAACTAATAAGCAAAAAACGTTCTTAAATATAAATATATATATATATATGATGTGTATTTTTTTTTCTGTATGTATGCAACTTTTATCCTAGAAATCTTGCTCTAATCAAAACATGATGACACGATAGGTTATTTGTTGAATTTTAGCTCTAGTCGATAATTTAAAAAGGGTATTTTTTAAATTTGAGATAATGGAGAAAAATTGATTCATTAAGTTATTCTTTAAAATAAAATGATAAAAATTAAAATAATCATTAGCAATCGTTTTTATTAATATTAATATTTTATATTTTATTTTTTTAATTTTTTTTTAAACAATTAGTTTTGTACTGAAAACGCACATTGTTGAAAAAGCAAAACTATTGACCGAGCTGTGCTCATAATCGTTTTTCGTTATTAATGACTAATAGTTGCGTACAAATATAAATTAAATTTCCCTATACATCCTACCTTCCTAACTTTTTACCTACAGCAGTTGCCCACCCGTCACCATTATTAGCTCTTTTTTTTCATTTAAATATTAAGTTAAAACTTACTAAAATACTGACGTCTAAAGTTTAGTTTTATATATTTACAGTTGTCATATTTTATTTTTACTGGATATTGAGATAACTTGTCTATGTTTACAATGCACATTATATGAAAAACAGTCAATAATCGTTACTTTTATTGACTTTAAAAGGAACATAACCTTTGCTTAGTCATCCAAGATCCAAACAATTGCACACAAGGCATCCCACCCACCACCCAGCCATAAAATAACAGGAGTATTTATTTTAATTGACTCTAGTGTTCGGCGCCACTGTACAGGTTTTGTTTATGTTGATTTCAGGATTACCGAAAAAAAAACACGACTTTTTAATTTCATAGAACCTTATCGAGCTTCGCACCAAATCATTTTTTGATTGCAATGATTTATTGTTGCTTTCAGTATAAACACTATAAACTAAATTACCGAATACCCTTATGTATTATACCCTATACCTTCCCAAATTCCTTCCTATAAAAGTCCGGCTTACCCACGGTGTGAAGTATGTCTGGCGTTTGTTTTTATTCTTGACGTTTTAGAGAGAACCCGCGGTAAAATCAGTAGCAAATTAACTTTCCCGTCGATTGGACGTGTCTAACTGATTGATGCCATTACAGGACGCTGACGTAAGTATCTCATAGTACTTATTACAGGGGCGTTCTATTTTTAAGCAAATAATATAACGTAAACAGTAATAATTTTCAGTGACGTTGCATGCTCCGATTTCAAAAAGTTTCAATGCTTAATGAGTCTTTAGACAATTATGAGCGAAAGGTACCGTGAATAAAATAACCGTACATATTAGAAAAGTTACAACAGCTGCCAGTTTCAAAGAAATATATAACATATAACGTGCCTGAGAAATGGAATTGTATTAAATTACTCTTTGACTTTGTGTCTTTGTCCTTATTTATATATGTATTTCTGGAGTATTTTATTCTCCGGAGGGATACAGTCTACTGTACTATCTAAAGAATTTATGACGATATTATGTTTGGTACTATTGCTGCCATATTGTAACATATGTCATTAATATCATATGTATTTGTATAAATTAAAGACAATGTAAATCGGTAACACCGCGTTGCGTCGTAAATAATTTACATTCTTTCGGAAATTCGTTTTTCAGTTTTTCTCAATTACCTATTATGAAAACCCATTGAAAAATTATAAGATATTCTCCCAATACACCAGTCAGATTCAACATTTTTCGATCAGAGCAAGTTTTCTGTTCGAAAATTTACTCATGCATACAAGATTTAATTAACACATCATACTAAAATCAAGGGATTCCTCACTACACTTCGAATCTAAAAAAAGTCCAGTAAAAATGTTTAATATAGTATATATTTAGAAAGATGAATACGATTTCAATATTCAATAACTATATTTTAAAAAAGTAATGTAAAAGTGTATTTTAAAATACATTTTAATGTTAAATCTTGGAAGTGTATTAGTTTTTCAAAAAAGATTTTTAAAAATGTTATAATCATTTAATTCAATCGGGAGGGAACATTGTACCAGAGTTTTGCGGGAAATAATAAACCAGCACTATCGTCCGACATCACAAACGGGTTAAATTCGATTAGGTCACATCGAATTATGTCCAATTGAATAAATAGAAAAATAAACAAACCTATGTAATTTAATAAACGCATTTTTCCATCGCGTGCTCATCGAAAATAATTCAAATTCAAATTAAAAAAAAAGTACACGCTTTATTAAAAAGAGATTTAATCGCATTTAAAGAGCGTTTATATTAACCAGATTTGTATAGAAAGATAAAATTTCTACCTTATAGTATAATATTTCGAATATTGTAGAATAATCAACTGGTATTATTGCGTTATTTACACTCTGTTCCGTAAAAGTTAAACACTGTGATAATATCATTGTATACAGTTATAAACGTTTGTTTATGTACATTTGTTTCATTTTTCGTGTTGATAAACAATTAAGACTAATTTATTGTGTTTGTTTTACTGATTTTAGTGAAAGATATTTATGCATTGTGTACAATTTGAACGCAACTATTATCGTGTTCGAATAAGATTAAAAACAAAAAACAAAATATGATTACAATTATTATTATGTTTTTCTTTTCTCAGTGATTTGAACCATATTCCTTATAAAATAAAACAACTGAATATTAGTCTTTATAAATCAAATATTATACCAAATGACAGCCATATTTTAGTACATTTATTGAATTGATTATCAAATATAATATTTGTTTATGCCGTGAACTTTGTAACAAATACACGTAAATATATGAAAAATGTTTATAATGTCTTTATCACCTTAAATACTTTTATCGTCGCTTCATTCAAATTAATACAAATATTATCCGGATACAATATGCCCTATTTTGACACCAAACTTTATATTATCTCTTACGGTAATCTTTATCATTCGGACATTTAGTTGACCATCTATTTATAATTGATTTATTGTTTTCTCGTATACTCGTAGTTTATCTAAACTGACTAGAAAAAAAATTACACATATCATCGGAAACTTGAAATCGTATTATAATATAAATCACCACGTTATTCGATACGTATGTAAATTCTAAATGATTAAAATGATTACAAATTATGATAATAAAACAAAATGCTTTAGTATCCGATAAAATTTAAATATTACAAATTATTTTGTAATATATTTACCATTGAGTTAAGAAATTCGAAACACTTTTAAAAACATAATGGTAATCGTAATAATAATTACCACAGTAATAGGCACATAATGTGTAGAGTAAATTAATTCGAAACTTAGTTTGGAAACACAGTGTATAATATGATAACTGCTTTTGAATTGTTCCAAAAACTTAGGATTCATGACCTAATGTTATTAAAGATGTTAATAGTATCATTATTACTAATTATGAAATATAATATTTTATTGTACACAATGTAAAGAATCTAATTATCATACAAATGGCATAGGTCGATTCAGATGAATTATTTTGATGGAAGTATATGTGTATACTTCATAATGCAGACATTATATTGGTAAACAATGGATGGATATTCTTCTGATTGATATGTTGGCACTTGAAAATTGTTTAAAAGGAACTACAAATATTCTATTTGTTATAATTACAATATCGAAATTATAACATTTTTTTTTTTTTATTTTAATATTTTATCAACATGCCGATTAAATGTTTCACTTTTCTCATAAATTCATAATCACTGAAGTATGACGAATTATCGAACTATGAAGATACTAACATACGAATAATTTTAAATAACATTTGCAACTACATTCGATTTCGAAGAAATGTCACTCAGTGTTATAAAATGTAATCATCCATTTAGTATTCAAACATAGTTCTCACTGTAAAATAAATATATTCTACGTATGTTCAAGGTGATAAAAAAAAAAAAACTTATACGGCTTTATACATAGGCAAACTGACTGCATTACTGCAGTAATAATTTGTGTAAATAATGTATTATCACGCGATGTTAAACAGAAAAAAATAGCACAAAAATCATAGTATACAAAGGCACGTTTATTGAGAATATATTATATTGTTTTCGGATCAAATAATATGATAAAAAGAGATTTTTTGGGGGGTTAAAGAGAGTTTGACTTTGAATACGAGATTATTTTTCCATAGCCCGTCTTATATAAGTGATTCAAAAACTGAATCTGAACCTACACGTACCTCCTGCGTAGCAATTTTGGGTTGAAAAAAAAAATAATAATAATAAAAAAAATCGCACGGAAAACGTTTCTCACGTAATCGTATCGAGTGGTGAACGCGTTGAACGTGTCCGTAATAATATTATAGATTTCGTTATCGGGGTGGCGGTCGGTAGCTAGGTCGGTATAATGCGTGTGCGTTCGTATACGTTACTTGACGTATCGATTGCGTGTTGATTACGTCGGTTAGGTACGGAGTTTATAACGAACGCTGTTAATTGACGTTATAACATTATAGTATTGTTATTATTGCATACGAGTATTATGCTGTATACACAATACGCCCGACTGAACGATCCGATTATTACCTCGAGCGACTTGCCATGTGTGTGTCGGGAATCTAAAGCTATGACGATGTCTATCTAAAAGTGTTTTCTCTTAGCAGCAGTCACGTTGTAATAATTATTATCTTGAGATTTAGATTATTATATCAAAGATTAAATGATCTTAATGATGTACTGCGTATTTCACCTCCTATCTATATAAAACCAACATGTTTTATATTCATAGTTATTTTTGGTAAATACTTAGATAATACAAATTAAATTATAATATCATTCCTTAAAGTTTTTTTTTTTAACCACACATTAATCTTGGTCATTTACAAATATCTCGTAATTTACAAACACTAAAGAAATTGAATTTTAATATATATGTATATATGCAAAATATTTTACATATATTTAATATAATAGACGGCTTCACTAGTATCTGTGTTTTGAATCTGAATTGCATAATTTCTTTTTAATATATAATCTGTATTATCTTTTTACGTTACTCCCTGTTAGAGAAAATCAAAATACTCCCACGGTACCTCTGTCTGTTGTAAGAGATGACAAATTGAACGGGTTAGAAAGATAGCTGGCGTACAATTCTGTTAAACAATATGAGAAGTTTTAAACAAGACTTAAGCTGATTGTCCCATTTTGTATGTACGTGGGGATAACAGGTGAGGTGTATGATGTATGCAGATGGTTTAGTTTTAATAGCAGAAAATCTGGAAGAAGTTAGTAATAGGCTTAGGAGAGTAGCAATTGAAAGAAAGGGACTACAAATAAGTGTAAGTAAAACAGATAATATAGAGCATAGGTTTTGATAAATAGAAAAAAATACCTAACGGTACTAACGATATTGAGAAGTAAAAGTACCTAGGATATTCTGTACAAAAGAACGATGGTTTTACGAGGATGTAAAATATAAGATTATAGTTGTTACTAGATACAGTGGAGAGAGGCATCAAGATTTTATGGAACAAGCGAATTACAAAGATACATAATGGTAAGTTCTAAAAAATTTTGGTGACACCAATCATGTTTTATGTCTCAGAGTGTTGCTCTGTAGAGAAAAAAATATAACAGAGAATGAAAGAAGTAGATATTAGATGGATGAGTATTGAGTAGTGACGGGGAAGATAGAATAAAATATAAGTAGATTAGAAATAGCTTAGGTGCGGTTTCGATAGTAGACAATATGAGAGAAAATGAATCGAGATGGTTTGAGCATGTAGAAAGAGGAATCAAAAGCAGTAATAATTGTAATAAAAATAAACTTAGAAAGAGAGGAAGACCGAAAAAGAGGTTATTAGGTGTGTCTGTGGATGATATGAGAATACCCGATGTAAGTAAGGTAAGAGATCAGATCAAGTAGTAGTTTAGGATGAAGGTGGCCGATCTTAAATAGTTAGGATGAATGTGAAGAGGAAGAAGATTATATTTTTACGTTCGTTATCTATACTGGAAATTATAATTTGTTCATTATCTTATATACATTTATAATCATTGTCTTTTGTTTAAAATCATAGGTGGCCCTAAGTATTTAATAAAATATGACTTGTCTAAGAAAAATTTGAGTGGAAATTTATAATTTCTATTTATTAATAATACTAAAATTTTATTTGAGGACAATTTATTGACAATTCGTAAGTGATATTTGTTTAACCTTAAAATGACATGTATTGTTTATGTTGTTATCAATCATAATATTTATATTTGAAACAAAATGTAAAGAAGATATATTGTGAAACGTGGTTAGAAACCTATAATTTGTAGTCGTCATGTCAAAATCAAAATCAAAAGTTTTCATCACTGATAAAATTACATGTTTAGAAAAATTATTTTTAAAATATAAAAACGTTATAACAAAAAAGAAAAGTAATTCGTCCACAGACGCAATGAAGCAAAAGACTTGAATGCCGGTTGAAAAAAAATGCAATGCTTTGCACTGAATTATTTTTCTTATTTGTAAATGTAAGTAGGATATCTGAAATAGCAACTCAAGTATTTTTATTTTAACATAACTAATGTATAACATAATGCTGATCGACTAAAAAAAATATGAATCAAATAATACATGTAGGTAGGTAAAGCCTTTACGGTATAGGTAGTAACATACATATACTTATTTTATAATTGTATAAATTCTTGATATTTGCTTACTGAACACTTTTATATTTTATTAGTATCATTGTTATAAACGAATGTAAATAACTTACATTTCAAAAAGTTTTTCTGCATCCGGTACATACCGTTTAAACACACGAACTAAGTAGTCGTCAATCTAGTCAAAAATATCACAAATATCTTCTAAATACGTACACATAATTGTCAAAATAATCAATTATATTAATTTAGGTAATTTGTAAAAATCTAAATGTGATGATGATAAATAAACGGTAGTTATAATAGTTTTAAATGAAATAATGTGAAATATCAAAACAGATTACACTTGATTCTTATTTAAGTGTCCTCGAGAGGTATCTTAACTTTTCCTTACTTCAGACTAACAAATATCTAAACATTTTTTTAAAATCTGTCTATAAATACCAGAATATAGGACTTATTAAGGATTTTATTTTTCTCAAGAAAAACTTAGGAAATTTTCTAAATGATATTTATAAATACCAATTTCTAGTTGTACTTAAAATAAATCTCAACATTTTCTTTTAGTTGTTTATGAATTTGGTTAATTATCTTTGAATAAATAAAAATATTGGTGATATTTTCTAATACTAATTATCTAAGATAAAAATAATTATCTTTTTGGTAACTATCTTAAAAAATATATTAAAATTATAAGTCTTTTTTTTTTTTTTTTATGATTTTCACTAGCCATGACCGCTTTAATTTGGACGATACGTACGATTTATATAATATAATTAAGAAAAACAATAATATTGTAATATCGGTAGATTTCAATGATCATGCAGTTATCAAGCTTATACCATTATTTTTACTCGATAATAATATAAATATTTAATTATCAAATAAATTGTATTTTTTTATAAATCTGTGCAAACCATAAAACTTTTTAATATATCATTTTAAATGATATTAGTTATTTCTTCTGATATTGTCTGTATTATGGTAAATTTAAGAGAAAACAGTTTTTTTTTTACTATCATATTATTGCGTAATTAATTCGAAAGAAAAACTAAGTTATCCTTTTGTTCAGGTATTGTTTTAAAACGAGTGCTTAAAATAAAATACCAATTAAAAAAAATAAATAAAAATAATTTTAACTAACCGAAATGAAAAATAATATTACAAAGTACATCGCACGGGCTTTTTAACAACGGTTTTTTTAATATTATTATAGCGTTTATTTCTAAAAATGTTTATGAGGAAATTAAATACTTTGCTGTTTCGTTTTAAACTTTCGTTTTTAAACGCATTTAATATTATTTAAAATAAAAATATGACAAAAAAAAAAAGATCATCAAGATAGAGATAAAGATAAATATTAAATTGTTGAGCATTTAATAGCAGGACAATTGAAATTTAAACTATTAAAATTAATTTGGATGTGTTAATGATATAAATCAATAGCTATAATATAGTTACTTTGAATTTTTAACTAAATAGTAAAAATCCAATTTATAAAGTTAATTAATATTTTATAGTACAGCACTTTTATAAATTACTGCAAAAAGCATTTCATAAAAATAATACAACAAATAGTAGAATATCCCCTGTCTAACGGCTCTAAAATCTAAATGATTGAGCACAGTTCTCTAACACGATACAAATGATAAACAATAAGTAATTATGTTTTAAAAAAATTATACGCATTATAAAAAAAAATAAAAAGTTAATAATTTATGTAATTATTAATAATTATATTTAATAGGTTTTTAATATTCGTTAAAAATTGAACTTTTAACTTTCAACTTTAAAACAATATTTGTATCAAGGTTAAATTAGGCTAGGTTACCTTTTTTTAAGTATTTTTTAATGGTTTAAACGCTTTTTTTTTGATTTTATACAGCAATAAATCTTGAGCCCTAATAAATAGTCAATTAGCAATAATTAAATGTAATATTATTATGAATTTAAAATATTAAACAAAAACTGATTGTTTTAATGATATATTGAGATGTAGTTTTTTCTACATCAAAGTGAATAGAAATTATTTATTTATTGTTATATAGATATTTTAAAATATAAAAAACTCCATATATTCTTGGTACCATTGGCAGAGTACTAAATGTTATAATTGTATAGTTGGGAAGGTGAAAAGGATAAGCAGGATATGTCGGGAAAAATTTAGATCAATGTGATGTGAATGTAAGGCAATATAATCTATGGCAATGATAAATCAATAGAACCAATTCTGATGAAAAATGTGCCTATTAGTCGCGGTTTTTCCCCTGTTGCAACATAGAAATCAGAAAAAAAAAATAAAAATTTCAAAACAATGTCCTATAGAAGCCAAATAATTGAATAATATAATAACTGTTTAAACAAATTCTCATCCATAATGATTATTGGAGGAATGGCATGAAAAAATTAAATACTTATATACTAAAAATTAGAATTGTAATGCAAGAATAAAATACCGAACTAGTGTTGAAATTTGAGGAGAAAACTCCTGTTCATGTTTTTGGCAAAACATTTTATAAATAAACATTTCTTGGTATATTTTTGCCGTGTATCTTTTGGGAATAACGCCAAGTCCATAATTATTCGGAAGGATAAAGAACGTCGAAATTTATTTTCAGAGCAATCTATACATTTTCATTGTTAAATAGGTATGGTTAGGTACCGGCATTTTATTCGAAACAAGAATACCGAGTAATAGTGCGTTTGTTCGTGAATGTTATATTTCCTTTTGGTGAGCAGTACGACTCGATAACATTTATTTTGTCCAATACTAATTAATAACATTTTATCCATACTTTTAACAGACTTACACTTAATTAATTTTTACAGCATTTCAACATTTTCAAGGAAAGCAAATCAAGCGTTAAACAAACACAATCTCATCTTCAAGTGTTTGTTGAACGTTAATTACGTATCTTAAAATTCGCATATTAATTAGGTGAATCATTTTGAGACGTTGCCGTCGTTGTGACAGATGGTAGTGGATTTCTCAAAGTTTAGTATGAGAGAAATACTACTACTATTTTAAATTTAATTTTTTAAATATTTTTTTTAATTACGTTTGAAGTAATGTTCAATCAAAATAAAAACTGTCGACACATAACTATTACAACTTATGCAGTAGACAATAAAGAGAGACGGACGTAATTCGCACGGGAGTGGGCCATTGTTATAGTGGGGAAGTTAGGAAGATAGTATATTGGTAATTTAATATATATCTGCACTCAACGATTAACCCTTGCTAACGAAAAAATGATTCTGAGCGAATTGAAACTGTGTTGCTTTTTCAACAATTTATATGTCATATTATGGTAAAATATTTATATTGCATTATATATTTTCTTTTATAATATTTATTTAATATTGTACCTATTTACCCGTTTTTCTACGTTTCTTGCCGTTATTCCCATTTATTAGAAAAACTCCTAGGGAAATTGAAAAATTACCATCCCAAAGTAATTCTTTAGGCCGATTTCATTTCAGAAAAAGTGCTTCCATAGTAAATCGGAGAAAAATTGAGGGTAGAAAAGTTATCCTCAGAAAATATAATAATAACAAACATCATTGTAAAACCAATACACTCCTCGCTGCACTCAGAATCTAAAATATACCATTACGTCGTTAAATTTGAGAATTAAAAAACAAGTTGCATGTTGTATTTTTAAAAAGTTATTATTAAAACAAATAATTGTTTGTTTCAATAATATTACAATTTAAATATTTTCTGGAGTTGTTAAACTGAATGTCAAATTGAGGTATACTGAGTTCTAATATAAAAATCCTGAAGAATATTAATTGAGTATATCTGAGTTCCGTAAGTTCAAAAACGGAAATACAAATATTCTTGCATATTTTTCTTCTCGCACATACATAATTGATTCGTAAATAAATCGTTTATACTCACTTTATCTAACACATTTCAATTACGGACTCAGTTTACCGGTGATTTATATAGTTATTTTTGAGCTCCAAATGATTTACGTGTCTTCATATTTTTTTATTACTTTTCGTTTTAAATTTCAACCGGCTGTCAAAATCTAGTATACAAGAATGCTATTGACAATACATAAATTACAAAAAAAAAAATTTAATTTATACAATTTTTATTTTAACTAAAATGATTGTTACGGACGGGAGTTAGAAAGTTAATTATACCTATCTGTTTGAGTAAGTTAGTAGGTAATCAAACATAGGAATAATAAAAATAAAAATTATTGAAATATGCTAATGAGAACTCTATTTTAAAAACGAAAAGTTTCCAAACTTTTAAATTAAAAGTAAGGTAGGAGACTGCTCTGTATATAAGAAGATATTTTAATGGAATTAAAACTGTACGCTATAATATCGGAGGTGAAATAAATCCAAAGACAGATTTGTGTGTTGTGTTTATCATTTACAGCATAGTGCATATTTTTGTTTTTCAAACCACGAAACCAAAATGAATTTGTGCAACTTTTTATTTTTCAATTAAAATGAAATATTTATATTGTATAAGGTGTAGTACAGTTGAAAAACAAAATACAAAAACTTAACTAGTAGTATCCGCTGATCGCTACTAAACTTGACTATTGAATACTTACTTAAAATTATATAAATGATGAATTATATATTATGTTGAGAAAGCCTTATTTAGGTACAAAGCACAAAAGCCTTTAAATAAAATGTTTTAATTTTTTGCAATTTTTGGTTTAAGAAATATTTCTAGAAAAAACATTGTTATTTGCTAAAATTGAATACGTATACATACTATTGAACCATGGCGCGTTGTAAACCATTTGTATTTTACGTACAATTTTGCTTCCGTTTTCCCTAATTATTTTGAAAATCCCATTATTTTTAACCCATGGAAAATCAAAATATGACCTCTCTAATACACCAATTAAGTACAATTTTCTTTCAAAAAAGGCTTTACATTTGATTAATTGGATCAAATTTTCTATTCGAAAAGTTGTTTATTGCATTCGGAAAATATTTTGTTAAAAAAACACATCATAGTAAAACCAATAAATCTCTCGTTACACTTCAAATCTAAAATATTAATTATGTATTAGTTGAAGACGAAATTAATGAATAGACTATTATAATACGAAAAGGATAGTTGAAATTAATTATAGAAAGGAGCACAAAAAAGAAAAACCATAGAGGATGACCTAGACTAGAATGCATTCAATAATTAATAAAAGACCAAGGATACGGATAAAAAATTAAACAGATAATTGAGAAGATTAACAAGATGATAACCAATCTACAGATTTAAACTGTATAAATATTATGTTACGCGGAAAATGGTGCGGTGAAAATGATTGTTGTATCTGTAATGCGGGAAATATAGTTTTGGGAATTTATATTTGGATATTGTTTTTGTCAAGTTCAAATGGTACCAAAAAAGAATTCACACATTTTATAAAACTCATACGTGTCGGATTCGTTCTCAAATATCGATGAGAGTTCGTTGTGTATAAAATCGTTATCATTTACGACGTACCCGTCGCCATTTTTGGAGCATTTGGCTCGGGCATCACGTGATTTTTGGCAAACTTTTAATGAACGTCGTCGTCGGTACAAACATTGAAGCGAATAACACAATGCGTACTTCGATAACAATAGTATATTGGTTGTACCTACCCTTGAAAATACGACTAAAAATAAATACATTTTGGAACCAAGCTCGGCTTGGCTCGAGATAACTCGAGATGACTCGAGACTCCGCCTCCATTCGATTACATATATTATAGTAACGTGAAATATATAGTGAGATAACTAATTTTGATGGAAAAAATCAACACCATTTTATTATATAGCATGATGGCACAATTATGAATCAAGCATTAACAAGGAAACAAATATTTTTGAGAGTCGAGAACTACAAAAATGCGTTAAAACAAACTATACATTGAATGATTTATTAGGAATAAACGTTTAAAATAGTTTTTCCCATCTTAAAAGCAGATTTTTTATCAGTAAATGCTTAGTGAAACAAATAAAAAGAACGAGATGCACGGGGAGACCCAGACTTCGATGGGTTGAATCGTCGATTACAAAAACCGTAGATCGATGGATCAGAATATAACACAATATAAATAGTTAGCTGGTGTTTAAAAACAAAATAAATTTTATATGCGAGGCATAAAATCCATAATGAAAAAAATGTATGTATTGTTTGGCATTCGCTCATTTCTTCGGCGGGCTTTAAATCCCTGCAGTAGAAATGCATTCAAATAAGAAACTTGAACTTTAAAAAAAGATAGGTTTAAAAGCTGATGATCAAACGTTCACTATTTTTTATTTTATTTATCAATGTTTATTATTTAATCTGAATACTGTTAAAATAAAACTTAAACGATTTCGTAATGATTCAAAAAAATTCACTTAAAATCCTCAGAAAAAATCTCTGGTAATCACACGAGATCATGTAATCAATCTATATACGCGTCAGTAATGTTCTTACAGTTTGCTGCATATAATATTAAACATTTTTTTATTTTCAATGAGAATTACATTGTATTAACTTGGTTTTAAAAATGTATGTAAATTTTATAATTTTATAAAATAATAATGCGATTAAAATAACGTTACAAATAATTGCAAATTCACGAAGCGTATAATAAAATATTTTAAATAAAAAATCTAATATTCTTCTTTAAATGTATAGGTAATGCATACAAAATTCTATTATAAAGCGAATAAAATAATTGTTCTGTTCGTTTTAAACGGGCGGGTTGTCGCTTATCTTTAACTTTTTATTATACAAAATAAAAAAAAAATAAAATAAACTGTTATTTTATTTTACGATTAACCATTTTGCAATTTAAAATAATATTCAACATAGTCCTATTAGCTGAATTTTATTTGGACTTTTATGAGAGCTGACGGTGTGTAATCTAAAACATATATATGAGTTTAAACTCGAGGCGCCCGACAAATGGATAATAATAATTATTATTTCAATCGAACGGTTATTCGGAGACGTTTAAATGAAAGTCACGTACCCAATCAAAATGGCTTTCCTTCACAGATTTTATTTACGTTATATAATAATATATTATATGGTTTTTATATTTGCAATCCTATAGCCGTATTATCGCGATGTTTCGAATCTGATCCGTGTACAATAAAACGCCCTTCACCTTATTTTATGATATGCAAACAACGTATATATAAGTTAAATAATAAGTATATATTTGTGTATTTAAAAACGTAATTGTTTTGATTAAAACAAAAATCTGTTGGGCTTACCATCATTGTATATAAGCGAGGTATTGGGAAGGTTCGGAATATAAGGTAAATTTAGTTTAATAATATACTGAAAACAACGATAAATATGAAATTTGTTGCATTTTTAACAATAGAAAAAAAATTTTGTGAAAAACAGATCACAATATAGATAAGAATCAAGATAGTTGGCTATAGTAAACGAATATTATGGTCAAATGATGCATTACACCTGAAGCAGTAAATATTATCAAACAAATAGACTAGAAATACTAAAAAGAAATATCTGCTCATCTGGTCTTTGAAAATATCGTTTTTATACCACCAAATAATTCTAGAAAATAAAAGGGTTTTCTATAATATATAAATATAAGTATGTATTCATTTAATATGAAACAATTTCCATAATTCACTCAGAAACAATGTGGAAAATAAATATTGTTTCCATAATGAAAAACGGCATTGACTGTTTTTTCTTTTCATTTCTACTGTTAAATTAGTTACGGGTAGGCCACTGTTGTATGTGAGAAATTATAAAGGTGAGAAAGACAAATGTATTTAATTTATATCTGTAAACAACGATAAAATAGTTCTAACGAAAAACGATTCGGAGCAAAGATCGATTATATATATTTTTTAAAAGGCCATAATATTTACGATTTAAATCCGACATTATACTCGATTTCTTTTTTATTATGTGAACAACTTTTCTACCAGAAATCTTGTTCAAATGTGTTAAGTATACTATCTTTTATGAAAGAAAATTTTATTCACTTGATACTTAAAGTATCAAGGAAATCAATATTTTGATTTTCCAGTAGGTTTTCATAATAATTGAGAAAACCCGGGAAAATTTACGAAATGTAATATTTCAATTTTATGTTTTTTATTAGTTGGACATGGACATGGTAAAATTTAAAAAAATAATTAAGCCTTTTTTTTAACTATTTCTAGAAATGTATAGTTAAGATTTTTTACGTAATTTTTATTTGGCTGGTACTCTTACAAAATGTTTAGACTAAACAGAAATGCTTGAAAATTTAACAAGTTCAATTTAAATTGTTATAAGTCATTGTAATTTTAAAGTTGAGAGAAATGTAGTATTTTTTTTTTTTTTTTTTTGATGAAATTTGTAAATATTATAACTTTTCAAAACACGTACAACCGAACTTATATCCTCATCGTTATTTGTTAGCAATATTCGTTAGCAATTCGTTAACATGTGTATCGTTGCGTACAGATATAAATTAAATTTCCTTCTTTACCTACCTTCCCAACTTCTCACCTACAACAGTGGTTCACCCGTAATGTGATATATACCCGTATTTTTTTTTAATTCCAATTTTTGAAATGGACATATTTTTACTCGTTCTGTGAAACGGGCTACAAATTTCTTATATCATGAATTGAATATATTTACTTATTGTGTGCTTTATATTTATATACAAACCGATCAAATGCATGCGTATTCGAATTTATCCGTAACCGACATCATTTTAGGTACGTAATAGCACGATGACGGTGACGGTGAAATAGTTTAATTCATTTCCACAATTTTACACAGAAAGAATATTAAACGGTTGTAGTAATAGTAGTAGTGTTGGAAGCCTATATGAAGAACACGTTGAACCGGGTTGACAAATGGATATGCTGCAATGACATGTAGATCTCTGTAAGCAAGACAGTCGCTATGACGATGACATCCAAGTTATACCACAAACATCCTTATTTTGTTTTTCTAGGCGAGACCTTAGAGCTCCAAGACCACATTGGGTATCTCAGCGTTGAACTTAGCTCGAAGCTCAATTTCAAAGAGCATATAAAATAAGTGCGGGAGAAGGCCATTAATACGACTACTGCTCTATCAAGGATAATGCCGAATACTAAAGATCCTAAACCGGTAAATAGGATATTTCTTGCGTCAGTGGTACACAGCCAGTGGCTGTATGTAACCCCTGTGCTGTGTTCGTCGCTGGTTTTTCAAAACCACAGGCAGTTGCTAATTGGCCCTCAGTACACAATGGCTTTAAGGGTAGCTAGCGTCTATAGAATAGTATCTACTAGAGCTATCCTGGTAGTGGCTGGTATTATCCCAGTTCACTTGATGGCACGTGGTCGATGTGAGCTACGGCGGCTTTAAAATAACGGATGAGAAAATTCTAGGAGAACAGTGAACAACAAATATGTGGGGCTAGTAGCAGCAAAAATGAGAGGAGGTATCCACCATTTGAGCGTGGATGAGGCGGCTAATACCGGACGTGTGCTGCTGGCCAAGTCGTACCCAACTTGCAACGGGCTATTACATGACCCAGTTCTTGACGGGGCACGATTGCTTTCAAGCCTACCTGTACAGATTTTTGCGGATAACATGTGGACATGCGTTGGGCGATTCTGAAGATACGTCCTTCAATTGCGATCGATGGACGAGAAGACACTTGGGACTAGAGACTTAGGTGGACGAGGAAGTCACGTCAGAATCTATTATAGATATTATGTTAAGTAGCCGGAATAAGTGGTATACGTATACAGTGGAGCAGTACATCATGCATATAATGAGCATAAAGACAAAGGAGGATCAGCAGAGGCACAGCGAACAAAATGGGCAGCCATAGCACACGAACCGATAGCAGATCGTTGCCAGAGCGCTGAGCGCAACCGCTTCTAATATTATTACTAATTTTTATCAACTATTATTGTTTAATTCTTCTGTGTTGCTATTATTTAAATCATGCATAATGTTAATAAACAATGATGGCCCGGTGGGAAAGCAGAGCATAGGCAGTTCACCCCCGGGTCGACGATTCAGGATAAAAAAAAATAAAGTAGTAGTAATAGTAGTCATATTAGAAGTTTGATTTAGGCTAAAAAATAAAAATAAAAGAAGTACTATTGTACTACTGTGTTCACATATATTAATTTATTACATGAAATAATAATAATATCACCGTCGAATGAAAAATTCTCAAAATAACAGTGATCGTATAGCTCGTATATTCCACCGCTACCGCCACCGCGAGATAAGACACTTAATATTTTTAAAGGTCTTGGTGATTTATATTTTATAAAGGGGTTTGAAAAGTTTGGTAGGGGGGGGAGGAAATTGGGCGGAATACAAAAAAACGAGAACGTCCGTAATCTGTTTGATTGATAGCGAATAATGATTGCGTAGACGTTCGTCGTCGTCACCGCCGCGCCGCCGTGCACTAGTCGCCAAAATTATACGAATTTCGTTTTACACAGTTATTTTATTTCGTTGGTCGGTCTGCATGTTTCGCGATTTCTATCTATCTATCTCTCTTTGTATACGAATGATAACGACAGCAACATATTTTATAATATTATAATAATATTTTGTATAATAATCGAGTGTTTGTTCATGATTTTACAGGTATCGTGGATGCGAAAACGGGACTTGCATATACTGACGTCCAGCATTCACACGTACACCGGCGACGGTCGATTCGGGGTTGTACATCCGGAAAACAGCGAACAGTGGGACCTAAAAGTAGAGTTTGTGCAAAAAAGAGATGCCGGTATATACGAGTGTCAGGTGAACACTGAACCCAAGATCAATTTGGCTGTGCAACTGAACGTCGAAGGTAGTACGTATAACATCATCAGAGCATTGCATTTTTGTTTACCTAGGTATTTTTATTTTCAAAATCAATGGGTTTCTATAAGTATAACCTAATACCGACAATAAGTACCTCTATATTCTTATGGAATTACAGAAATTAGTAAATTTCGAACTGCGAGGTGTGGCTATTAAACAACGAGACTGGTTACGAAAAAATGTTGTATTATAAAAATTATTCTACATTCAAATGCTCCCCTTCAATATACTCCCCTCCCCTCGCCACACACCTTTCCATACGTTTTTTCCATTGATCAAAGCAGTGCTGGAAGTCTTCTTTGGTGAGGGCTTTTAGGAGCTCTGCCGTTTTTTGCTTTACCGCTTCCATCGACTCAAATCGGGTCCCTTTCAATGCAGATTTTATCTTTAGAAACAAAAAATGTCGCATGGTGCCAAATCTGGCGAGTACGGCGCGTGTTCGAGCACTGGAGTGCGCTTACCGGCCAAATATTGCTTCACAGATAGCACGTTATGGGCAGGTGCATTGTCCTGGTGCAAAATCCACGAGTTGTTCTTCCACAACTCGGGCCGTTTCTTACGAACTCTTTCTCGCAATGTTGCCAAAACTGATAAATAGTAAATCTTGTTGACAGTCTGACCCTCTGGAACCCATTCATTCATCACGATACCGTTAATGTCAAAAAAAACGATCAACATTGCCTTAAATTTTGATTTGGACCTCCTTGCTTTTTTGATTCTGGGCAATTCAGGTGTCTTCCAATGCATCGATTGTCACTTTGTTTCAACATCGTATTGAAAAATCCATGTTTCGTCTCAAGTTATAATGTTTTTCATCAGTCCGGGATCTTCTTTTAACTTTTCAAGGAAATCTGAGCAGACCTGTTGACGCAAGAACTTTTGGTCAGGAGTCAGGTTTTTTGGCACCAACTTCGCACAGACTTTTGTCATATGTAATTCCTCATGTAAAATTTGTCTAACCGTTTCTTTATCGGCGTTTACAGCCTCAGCAATCATCCGGATGCTCATTCGACGATCTGCACGCACAATCTGGTTGATTTTGGTCACTGTTTCCGGAGTTTAAACAGTGACAGGGCGACCTGGGCTCTGGTAATCTTCAGTGCTCTCTCGGCCCACACTGAAGCGCTTATACCACTCAAAAACACGTGCACGAGATAGAGAATTGCCTCCATAGGCCCCTTGCAACAATTTATAGCACTCAGTTGGAGTTTTTTTTTAATTTAACGAGAAATTTGAGATTTATACGTTGCTCCTGTTTTTCGTCACACATGGTTTTCGGCACGAGAAAAAAACACGTTCGTTTCAAACCCCTACTGCACAAATACTATAATAGGGACGAAAACGTGTTTTGGTACGTGCATAGATAAGATATCTAGATACTCAACGCATTACTCGTTTTTTTCACTACCCATCTAGGGCGCCCTCTAGGCGAGCAGTCTCGTTATTTAATAGCCACATCTCGTATAATGGTATAAGTTGGTACTGGTTTTTTCGCCGGTTGCCTTATTACGATATTAATAAAGGTCCTAAAAAAAAAAAGGAAAGTAACTGTAGCTACTTATACTCTGTTGGTGTCGAAGAATTTGCTCAGCTCTACTTTAGATCGATCGGTGGCCTTCCGTTGAAAAATGACCTCACGGTATTTATTTAGTTGGTATTTTTTTCTTTATATATATATAAATCCATTTGTTATTTCCGAATCGTCGACATTCATACTTAAGACCATATAACTACACCTTCGTCTTGTTTTGTGACATTATCTAAACCGTCTATAATATAATTCACTTTCGCGTATCGTCTTAGTCCAGTCCGCGAGCTTAAACTTTATCATCCAACGCACATGTGCATAATAAATTATCGGTTTATTGAAAAATTAATAAATAAATACATGATGTATAATGCAGGTATATAAAAACCGTTTTCGTCAAAAAAAAAAAAAATAAATATTTATATCGATTTAAAACATTTCAAAGAATTATAACAATATACACTGTAATAATAATAATAATATTAATAATTCTATACTTTATAACGATAAATATTATTTTATTTAACTTTTTTATATACTAACGTAAATATTTTTTGAGTTCAAAATGTAAGCTGGAACAACCCAAATATACCTATATACTGTTGTAGTTGATGAAAATAGCAGCGTAAAACGTGCACAAAAGGTTAAGGAATCACTACTTTAGACGATAATATTATGTACTATATTTGAGCGGGACAAAATAATAATAAAAACGAACCGAACTGCAAATATAGTGGAGAGAGCGATGACAAAAAGACGCGATTATGTGTAGCAGGTAGTATATTATGTGTGTATACTGTATACTGTATACGAGTATATGTATTTTTTCCCTGTTGACGAAAAAGTCCATTTTGTACCGATTGAGATGCACGATAAACACGCGTTGACACGTTATTATTCAGTGACTTCGTCGATATAAATAACGATTTAAATAAATTTCACGCGTTGGTCGGAACAGCCGTGAAATAAACTATATATTATAATAATACACTCGGTTCGTGGCGACGGCGACGACGACGATATACTAACACCATAAGTCGGTGATAATAAACTATTCCAATAGCACGTCCAGAAATATTTTCGAAATTAGAGAAAGGGGAGGGTGAGAATAAATTAACAATCCAGTAATGCCTAACCAAAAAATTATTTAAACAAAATTTTAAAAAATGTAGGTAGTAGCCATTATATAGAAAAATCGGTTGTGATTTCGAAAAATGTTTTAAATTAAGTGCCTAAAAATACATAGCTTAGTGAAATAATAACTTTTTTGCAATATGTTTGTAATAATGGTTAACGTCATATTAGTGATCTGAATAATACCCTGTGTTTCTTAAATCGGTTACAAAAAAAATGAGCCTTATAGATAAATAAACACGCGTTATGAGGGCCTTGTGGCCCCCTCCTTGGTAGAGTTTGAGTTACGCTCTTCTTATATACAAGTATTATTTAAAATTACCGTGTAACACTTATAGAACAGATGTTATAAAATAAAATACTTTTTAAATTTTAAAAAACTGTCGAAACAAAACAAACTTTCCTACTAATTATATGTTTTTATGATCTGTGAAAACGATATTTAAGTACGTATTAAGATTATTATTGCCAGGCTAAAACATGAACGGATCTCGTCCTTTCGAGCAATTCAATTTTTTAATGTAAAAATCATTATAAGGTATACATAAACAAAAGATAACTTGTTTTCTTCATCTGAAAAAATTAATTATTGTAAATTTGTAAATTTATTGTATTGCCCGAATCCCTCTGTATTACTACTCCTATATCTTTATATCCTCTGTATTAAACACGCTATACTGCATCCAGTCAGCCGTATGCCGTATACCCGCCGACTGTATCCGCTATATCCTCTGTTTACTGGAATACTGTATCCTGTATCACTTGAGGACCTGGAGCCTAGGAGCGGAACCGTGGAGCCCTGTAAAAACCGATGTCTAAACGTTTTTACCTGTTCTCGTATCTCAGCTAACTTCTCTTGTATCCTTATTCCTTCAAGATCCTATTACCGCATACACTAAATCTTCAGTATCCTGTTCAAGGGTTGAAGCCTCTTGAGAAGAACGCACGCAATAACTTCGACCAGCAACTCGTTTATTGAATAAAATCAAGTTGAAAATTATTATATTACTGACTAATAACCGATTTTAATAACATTTAACAGAGAGACTGCATTCTAAAAACGGACATTGGCTAGTTTTTATACTGGACATATACTTATATATAAGTTTATTTATTGGTCTTATATTTCAAAATGTATATCATATTTTTTTCATTTCTAGTTTCCATTAGTTGAAAGTTGAATGTAAATAGTTGCTTTACATAAAATTGTATTGTCTAAAATATATAAAACCATCTGTGAATAGCATAGTTCCATCAATAAAGTAAAATTTTCGGGATAAAGATAAAAATAAATTTTATAAAAAAAGACAAGATGACAAAGATTTAAAAAGAATCTTTTTTTTTTCTTCTTCACTTAAAAGTCTATGATTTAAGTATACACCCTCCTTAAGTTTTTACAGTCTTCATCATTATATCTATACATAAGCTTAAAATACTTTTTGCATTCTTATGCGTAACTCTTAGAGTTTTAAGGTTCCTTCTACTATATCAACCTATCTCTACGTGGTCTGACTTGGGGTATCTTCAATTCCAATTTATATCCTAAGACTACTCTGATAACCTCATCACCGCTCTTTCTCATTGCATGTACCAGTCTTAATGAATTCTTTGATCTTTTATGTAACTAGTAAGCGAAAATAAATCCATTTGTTTTGGCAGTTCATTATTGAATTTTCTTCTCCGTTCTTTGATCTAATATCATGAACTGGTCCAAATATCATTTTCTGTAATTTGTTCTCAAAGCTTCCTTTATACTACACTTCTCGTTGTCTAAGCTTCACATTCATATGTGAGTGAATCTAGATATTGATGTATATAATATCTTGATTTATTAAATATTTAAATTTAATTTAAAACTATGTATAAAATCGTAGGTAAAAAAGCAGCCATTTTATCCTGGTAAAGGGGGTTTCAACCGCGGGCATTTTGCATTTATTTGTAATACATACTTAGGGAAAAAATCCCTTTTATTCTAAATTTTGAAAACAATTCTTAGTTGCACGTAGCTCTCTTAAACGAAAAATGAAATGAAATTTCATTGATACAATAATATTTAAAAACAACAAAAGTAATAGATATTATGATTGCGATTACGAAAGCATTTTTTGTTTACTTAAATTTACTGCGGTTAACACCAATAATATTCCACGTCGTACACAATTCTTAGAATAACACGATAACTAACAAGGGAATTTTCGATTGAGTATATTTGTCGTTTAATGAAAGAAAATAATATTCTCTTGTTCTCTATTATTACTATGCATAATCGAATTCCATAGAAATACACCAATATGTACTTATCGTAAAAACAATACTCGTTCCAATCAAAATTGAATTGTATTGAGAAAATAATCGTCTTAATAAAATTATAGACTGAATTAAAAATCATCATAAATAAAATAAACACCAGCTCGTTTTTTACCACTTACCTAAATCAAAAGGATCAATTTTTTTTATTTTATAGTTTTCCAACTATTAAAAGTTACAAATTTGTTCAATATTATGATATTTAATAATTGTGTACGAGTGGATATTGAAAACTTAATAAAATTCATATTCTATAGACACTCAATGCGAGTCGTCAAAATTTAATTTCGCAACCGATCGAAGTAGAACACGCTAACCAAACTATCTAAACCTAACAATATACCATTGTTGTTTCAGCGGCACAAGCCAATATCCACGGACCCGCCGAAGTGTACGTGAAGAAGGGCAGCACCATCAGTCTGACGTGTTCGGTGAACGTGCACTCGACGCCACCCAGTTCGGTAGTGTGGTTGCAAGGCACCAAGGTGGTGGATTTTGACTCACCCCGTGGCCGCGGCGGCATCAGCCTGGAGACGGAGAAAACCGAATCGGGCACTACTAGCCGACTGCTGGTCACCAAAGCCGGATTGTCCGACACCGGCAACTACACATGTCAACCCAGCAATGCCAACACGGCCACTGTGTTCGTCCACGTGCTTAACGGTAAGTGCGGTCTTAACCGTTATCGAGGTAGATTGGCGGCGATGACCGAGGTTACCACGTAACCACAGCTGACAGCTCGCGTTCATAGACATCTATCATCGACAGTTAAAAGATATCGGTCCTCTATTGTCTCAACAGCATATTTTAGCTTATTAATATATAAATGACATTATATCGCCATCGTCGGCTCTTTAACTAACGAAATCTAAGCAATTTTTATGTCCTTAGAAATTGCCGAAATTTAAAATGATTAGCGATGATTTTTATTGTACAAAAAAATTAATCGATTATTCCCATTTATATTACATTTCACTATCAGATACTCATTTGAATCAAAATTTATATCAATTTTGATTTTAAAATTTCTTTAGACATTTTGTTTCATTTCATGCTCGATTTTGAAGTATTTCCGAATGCATGTAGTTCTGACCTGATCTGTACTGAGTAATGTAAATGATTTATGTGTTTCCATCTAATTCGTCTTTAAAATAATTAAAAACGGCCGAGAAAGATTGACATTTTTAATTGACGAGTTCAGATGTTTACACCGAATTTTCGTACTTCAGTTGATAACCGGTTAGGTTACGTCTATCTGATTTACAGTCCTAACCACGTGACGGAAGTTTGGAAATATCGTTAACGTTGTGTTCGAGTGGAAGTCACGTCCAAGAGTAAATTCCGTTATGTTTACCTTGTCAGTATTTATTTTGATTTACTTTGACCCATCTTTTTGGATTCAAGTCAAACATAACTGTAGTTTAGTTAGAATTCGTTCGTTTGTTTATTTTTTCAATTTGTTTTTTTTTTTTTTTAAATCCCTGATTGAGCGTTCATTAATAATTGATATAATAGATTCGCTATCAACATATTAATAGCTAGATATCTACAAATAATTACAGATAACGTTGTTCGACAAGATATATAAATATTTCAAATAATTTTTGATGAGGGTAAAATATTGAATTTTGTAATATTTATAACACAGGTGGGTCAACGAAAACTTTAAAACGTCAAGTGTTCAAATATTATATTCAACTGAAATAAATACACTCAAGATAACTAAAGATTAACTTGAATTAAAAAAAAAAAAAAAAATCATAAGAATTTAGATTCTATCAATGCTATTAGTATTAAAAATTTAAAAAGCAAACATGTGCATTAATTTTCATTGTAATGTTTGAAATCACATCGTCGGATCATCATATATTATATAATATAAGTTAAAACCTAAAATTTAATCGTTGAACAACCAGATGCTGATAAATCATAGAAAATAAAAATTTAAAAACCACGCTGGGTAGGCACTGCGGGAATAAGATTATCATTATTTTTATTATTGTCTTGTCTAAATACTAAATATAATTTCAAATGTGCACCCATTTGTGCAACGGAAATTATTATTGGACTGGGGAAAACAACTACTGAGATGACAGATTTCCATACAAAACAACAGTAATTTTATAAAAAATAATTAGGTAATTTACTTTTTAATCTAAAAAATAAGCTACACAATTATGATAACTTGAGAATAAAATATTAACGAATGTAAATAATACCTTATTAAAATCAAAAATTACACGAAAAACATAATATTCCATGATCATATTTGCAAGTAAAACATTTAATAGTTTTTGGTGAAAGCAACTAATTTTTCTTTTGACCATTTCTAAGATAAATCTATTTATATGACATTCGAGTAAATAATATCATTACATACTATGTTTAACATTGTACGTTCCTATTAACAATTTTTTCTGGTTGTCTGAGAAGTGAATTTGACACGTTCTGAAATTGTAAATCGCTAAGTGTGTCATTTACATTCGTTTTATCGTGTCTGATTGTAAATCTCAAAAATAAACTCCATACCATAGCATTATATTATACTATTGTCATTTAATGTTTGAAAATAAAAAAATGAACAAACACCCAGAACTACGATAGGCAAAATACTACAGAAGAAACCAACCCTTTTTTTTTTTACATACATTTTAATACTTTGTATTTATTTTAATCGCGGATATGTTCATTTTGCATATTAATATACGTTATTGGATCGGCCATTTGTCCACTCGTTAAGTCATATCTAATACTGTTACTGGATATTTCGATTCTCTATTCGTGTTAGCCTTATATATATATATATACTCACTGATTAAACTAAACAAATTTTATTTTTTTTTTTAATTTTGTGTTTAAACAGTAATTTTATTTTATGTCATCGACAGATTATCTAACTGGGTAATAGTTAGACTCAACATTTTACAGATAAATTTCATAGATAAACGACCACTCAATAAAAAAGTGATTAGTTCCGAATGATTGATTATATTACATAAATATATATTATACATAAAATTCTCGTATCACGTGTATGTTGTTACACTTTTCCGAACCGGCTTGACCGATTTTCATGAAATTTTTTGTGTACATTAAGTAGATCTGAGAATAGGTCATAAAGTATTTTTCACTCTCCTACCCACCATCTACTATTTTTTTAATCGCGATTTTAGTATTTTCGCTTTTATAAATATTTATACACGAGCAACATCAAACAATTTTTTTTTTGATTTGTGTCACCTTGGTAACAGGGATGAAAACTATGGTGATGAAATATTATTAGAAATTAGTCGGAAAATATCATATGATCATCAAAATCTAAGGCTTGTAGATGAATTGTCCTCAGAAAAAAAAAATAAACATCCTTGTAAAGCAAAAACATTCCTCGCTCCAATCAGAATCTAAATGAAATAATGGAATTCTTACTCTATGTTTATATCTTTTATCAAAGTTATTTAATTTTTGTAAGAGAAAAAACCTTTTTTGGAATCGTTATATTTATTTTTCTTTAACTTTCAACATTTACTTTGAGTTTTTTTTAACTTTTAACTTAATTAAGTTAATTATTTCCATTAACTTGCCCGTCACCGTCGCTATACTATATGGTCTACCTTATTTTATAAGAATCCCTCGGGATAAAACACCGAAAACAAAAAACACAATAACGAAAAGATGTCCAGAAGGATATAATATCGATGGAAACACTCGTGGAGGGATTTATTTTTTTTCTTTCGTTGTTTCAAACAATAAAAATTAGACGATCGAAAAGATATATTTCATATGAATCGGTATGTATTGTCCAATGACGCTGTTAAAACATATTTTTATCGGACGGATTTTGGTGGGTAATTTTCATCTAGTGATCTATTTTAGTGTTCCAATTTGAACAACTATGTTGTAATAATTTAGACGCGGTCATAGGTAAATAAAAGAATAAAGAACATTTCGGTTATGGACACGCCAGATGTTTGATAGTGTGCAGCAGTTTTTCTTTCACTGACCGGAACTGTTCGATTCATTTTCGAGTAAACAATCCAAATAACGGTTAAAATATCCACACTTTAACATAAATAATTTTGCTAAAAATATATGTCCTTATAAAACAAAAAAAAAACAAACTATAAAACTCGAAACCATAAAATGGCTTTAAATATTTAAGTAATTTTACTACGCTAAGGATGAGATCATATAAGTATTCTGTGGAAATTTCAGATAAATGTATACATTTAGATCGGAACAAGTTTTCTGTTAGAAAAGTTGTTTACAGGTAGAAAAAACACATACGTATACAGTTATAAACACGCCACTGCATAAATTATTTAACCGAATATTATGTGTAGAGTAATTTGTATGATTTCAATAATTGGTATGTTTAAAAATGCATAAGCAGATTTCTGAAAATTCAATAGTAAAATCTATCGCAAAAAGTAATTTATTATGAGAGTGTTATGTTGGTTAACGTTTTTAAATTTCGTAAATTGTCAAACCGACATGCAATATTGCCCGAATCGACCCAAACCGTAATTTACAGTTTTTAGCGTTTGAACTGTTTCTATGACTTCTTAATATTTTCCTTTAAAAAAAAAAAAAAAAAACCATTAGTATACGTCACTTTTTTTCGAACTCTTCGCTTGCCGTTGACCATACGTTGAACATACAAAATACATTTTCTACGTCATCGTACGAATGGCGCTTTTTTTTTTTTATGTAGATAAATTTTAAACCGAAAACACTAGAAAACTTTTTAAAAATTAGTAAATCGAATATTTATTTATGAAAATCGAGTAAACGCGTTAGATTCACGCGGTTAGTTCTGTAATAATAAATACGGTAAATTATTAGCAGATACCAGTGGTAATAAGTTATATTATTATAATTATTTCAATAAATACAATTTAAACGATTATGTTTATTATCATGAGATTTCTTGTTTGATGTTACGTAAATTGTTGTGTAGTGTGTTTAGGCATATTCTCAATAATTTCCCATTACTAAACACAAAAAAATAATACGTATGTGTATATAAATAAAATAAAATATATATTTATATATATACTATAAGTACTTTATATATATTTTGCGTACTATTTTCCTATTTATGATGACACAATTGTTTTTAGCTCTATTCAAGATGCTCAAAAGTTTAAGACAAAAAAAAAAAGTGGGTTATTATTTTAATTTATTTGGTAATTCAAAGTAATTAAAAAAACGTTTAACCGATTTTCGCTCAGAACTGCTTTCCTCTATAACAGTGACCCACCCATAGTGTGAAGTATGACCTTATTTATTTTTTTTAAATTCAATTATATTCTAATCCGGCAAACTTTTTTTATTTACATAGAAATAACAATATAAAATTGGAAAATTAATGGCCAAGCGCCAACCGCACTATAGGCCCGGTAGTCAGTAACTCTTGAAAAACTTCGAAACTCGATTCGTATCCGGGGATCAAAGTTATTCTTATTATACCGAGGAACGGAAAACAAATACGTGAATATAAGTGAATATATTATTATTATTAAAAGGGCGTCTCTGTAGTATTTTGCGTTTCTGTCTTTCTAACGACCAATTTTTCCAAAAATAAATATATGCAAATTAAACGAAAAGGGATTTAAAATATTCTATAAATACATAACACACATTTTCAAATTTAAAAATGGCAATATTTGGCAGAATACCTCGTCAACGTTTTACAGTATTTTTTAAATATTTAACTCATTATCGAAGCCACAAAGAGTCAGATTTAAATTTTTTTATGGATATACATATATGCACGAATATAACTGAATTTTTTACTAAGTGATATATTTTAAACAAATGAAGACAAAGCCGTCTTAAAAATATTGTCTTTGCAAATAACATTATGGTTTTTTTTTTATTTTTACATTTATCCGTCATAGAAACGAAAACCTTAAATTCTAACGCGGTGGCTTATTTTAAATATGTCAAATTGAATATAATTGATATTTATAACTCGATGGAAACTGTTAACAATACGCTTTTAATCTAACAATTGTACTCGATTGTCGATAAGTGGTAGCTCGTGAACCATATAATTGATGAGGCAAATATTTTGAAATTTACAAGGGATGAGAACTATTATACAAAATAGAGAAACAAAATTAAACTACCACAAACAGAAAACATTGTGCTGTTATGATCAATTATTCTTTGTTGATTTTAAGTTGAAGCATTCAGTGCCTAGGTATTATTTTGAAAATGTAAACATATTTAGTTCTTACTACTAAATATTTTTCTGACATCGTTCAATGCAATCATTTACTAGATAAAACACTAATTTTAAGATTTTGAATAATAACATTACAACAAATTAAGGGAGCCCACCCTAAAACGAACTAAGTTTCTGATTTCTAACAGTATTTTTAACAAAAAACTATAGTTTCGTATACAGTTAGGTACTACTTATATTATTAATTTATATTTTTAATATTCTCTAGTATGAATGTATAAGTTATTCTTTTATTTAAAAAAATAATGATAATGTCATAATAATTACGATTATAATATGACATATTTAAAGTAAAATATATAATAATAATATTTATAACAACAACGGAAATATAAAGTGTCTAGAGTAATATTTAAAAACCTAAAAGCTCATATTTAATAACCGAATAATCTAAGTGCTTACATCTATTTAAATAAGAAAATCGCAAATATGAATTTCCATCACTGGACCCTCGATATATTTCGCTCCGATAATTTTATATGTTTACAATAGATTCAAAAATGCATAAATATATATGATGTTATCAGACTATTTTTACAATTTAATACCCAATTGATAATTGCAATCACTTAGTTATACTTAAAAAAAAAAAAGTAATACTTTAAATGAACAAATTTATCATTATAAAATAGAGATAATTTTTTTCAAAACTAATAAAACACTGGTATACTGGTATTATATGCTACAAATATACTACTTCAAAAAAACTAGTAGGGACGGAATTTGAAAGTTAAAACTCACAAAAGACAAATCCTTGATATTAAAAACGCTATGTACATGCCTAACGACATTTAGTCTGTAGGGGTGAGTAAAGCTAAAAGACAAACTTTTTCCACAAAACCACGGTGAAATTCACATTGATATTCATTTTAACTTCTATAATTTCAATTTGTCCAAAAAACGACTGTAATTTCCAAATTTGAGCTCTTTTATTCTAGATGGAACCGCTATAAAAGTGTACAAATGTAGTGAGAAAAGTTTTAAACATCACTCCTACGGAAAATACTACAGTACATAAATCAATATATTATATGGCTACATTTTCCCCCAAATTATGTAGATTAAGAAAAAAAAAAAAAAAAATTCCACATTGTCTTTGTATCAAAAATAATGTTATTTTTCAATAGTATTTTTGCTTGAAAAAAAAATTGACAAAAGACATGATTATAAATATTTTATTTAAATTCCAGCTGTGGTGTTTATTACAATTATAATCAATAGTAACAAAATAAAACCGATGGTTAATGATTACGATATAATTTTCGAAACCGTATAGTTACCCGTTCACGGTGAAAACATTAAGTATTACATTTCGGTGTCTATATATTTTTTTTCTTTCCGAAAAAAACAAGATTTCCAACCTTAGTATAAAGACTATAGGAACTTCACTTAAAAAACAATAACCTCGAGGGAAAAAATTCCCATAATCCATACAATGTCGATTTATATTCAACGGTTCCCAAGAAGTATTATAATATGTATTCTATGTACAGGTATGTAAAAAAAAAAAAACTGGCAGACCGTATATCTCCGTTCACTTATATGCATATATATATATAATATTCAGGTATACACGGGATGTATTTGAGTATTGTTTGAAAACGAATATCGTAATATCGATAAGACAGATAGTATTTTTTTTCCAATACAATTTTTATATCTCATTAGGATAAGTACCTATACAGAATTGTAAAAGACTTTTTCTTCAGTAGAAATACAGATAATATATCATTTAAGAATGCATTGAATAGTTACGTATTTAAAAAAAAAAAAAATACAGCTACTTATGAAAAACATTTATAAATACCTACTTGTAAATACTTTTATTTTACATTATACTATTACTGATTAAAATATGACACTTAGATAGTTAACACCCAAAAATTCAACAAGCCCCCCCCCTCACAAAATCAAGACCTAATCAATTATTTACCAATTATTTACTTGATCAGAACTTGATACTAAGTATATCTAATATATCGAATAAACAATATTTTTGCTTTTTATACCTGTCCATATTATCTCATAATAAGTAAAGTCGTTAATACTCAGTTTAAAACTTATATTTAAGTGATATGTTGAATTACTACCGAAAATTAACGATGATTAAACAATTTTTTTTTTTTGTTGATTTCTAAAAAATAAATCTTAAATTTGATAATCAACGGTTATTCTGGTTAGTTGAATAACTTTGAATTTTATAAATTTAAAATATTATACACATCTCTAGAAAAATTATTTTAATTATAAACCGTAATACCCAAATAATTACAATATGTATGTATACGTATAACAAGTTAGAGTTAGTAACACAACATAAATATTTACAAATATTTTTAAAAATTAACATAGGCGTATATGAATATTGAATATAATAGACAAAATAGATTGTATGGGATAAATTTAATTGTTATAGCTCTGAGATATATGGAACTATAAAATTAATAGCCAGGTTTTATATCAAGTGCATCCTTATTGGATGTGTTGCTATATGAAAGATCTTTTGTATCGACATTCGTAGGAAAGAGTAGCATGTCGTTTCCATGTATATATTATGTGATTACACCATCCATGGTCTGTCCACAAACGATTTCAATTCACCCAATTTTTCTTGAAAGATCTAATTTTTGTTGCGCTTGGTCATTGGACTGGTAACAATATTATGTTCATCAGGGTTTTCTAATATTCAATCTATATGCCATTTGAAATTTCCTTCAAAGTTTTCTTGTAATAACTCTTTTACGGTTAACCAAGGTGATTTACGAAAATTAAGTCCCAGTCTTCACCCAATTGTTATCAAACCCACATGGCTCGGAAAGTTCATCTTATTGGTGATCTTAATCGACTCGTGGATGGGGACTTGTTCTTTTCGGATCTTTGGGGGAACGATGTTACTTAGTACTGGTAACCATTTTAAAAGGATAGAGTTTAATGTTCCTCCTATAATCCTCATCGCTGAGTTGAATTGGGCATCCAGTTTATTAGTGTGCACCTTGTTTATCTACACAGTCGAACAGTATTCCGCTGCCAAATATACCAGTGCCAGCGTACTTATAAACAATGTATTTGTATCTGCTCCTACTCAATCTAGCAATTATACTGTGACAATTCTTTATTTTCTTAACTTTTCTTAACTTAATTAGATGTCCCTTTCGGTCTAGCGCTACTCCTAAATATGTATGGTAGGAAATATTTTTTACTATCCGATTTCCAAACTGTAACTGTATGTCTTGATTTGTTCTTCTTTTATTTAGGTGAACGAGGTTATATATATATATATATATACATTAAAGTTTGACAATTTGAAATTGGAACTTATAAATTTAAATTTTGAGTCTATACTTGTATAGTAACGTTAAAAACGGAGAGAAGTAATTTAAAATATAAGGAAAACAATGTTTAAAATATAATAGAAGTATTTGAAATATTATGTTTTTAAGTAGATAAAAATGTATAAACGTTTTAACTCAAAACTAATGCTCGACAATTCGACAAAAGATTAATTATAATAAGTTGTACTTAGAGGTGAAAACAAAAATGTTGATCATTATGCGGTCGTTGTTCAAAATATTTCGATGGAAATTATAAAAATCATGACATTTCTTATATTATTTTCGAACTAGTATATTTAAAACGTGTTTGTTCCTACAAAAATGCCGGTGTGTAGAATAAAATATTATATTGTGCCACATTATTACGTCGGGTTTGTTGTTTTCTCGGTTAAGCGAGAAATAAAAGACCGTCAAAACGTGGAGGTTTTACCAAATGTTACGAAATATACATTAGCTAGACATTTGGTATTTTCTGGCTTTCTATCTTTTTTTATTCAAGTTGTTTTTGTTTTTTGTTCTTTTTTAGGTGAACATCCCGCCGCCATGCAACACGGTGAACACGGTGCTGGGTCCAAATTGGCCGCTTGGTCTTGGACACTGACGATGGCCGCGTTCGCTCTGTCTTACAGATGATATTGTTAAACACACTGTGGTTACGAATGCTCACATATATATTATATTATATATATTATACATTTTATAAATTATAATATATGTTACACTCCCGCGAGATAAGTAGAGCAGACGACTTTCGTGGACAAAATATCTTATTATTATTATTACTTAATGTTTTATATTCGTTCTGTGTTATTTTTAAAATTATTATTATTATTATTTACAATTTGTTTTTTTTTTATATATATATTCGCGTTTCCCCGTTTGGATTTTGCCATCTGGCATTCGTAGTACGGTTAACCGAGAAATGTTTACAATAACGATTGAGCGGCTTACGCAGTTTTACGTGCCATAACATAACGGTTTTTCGATCATAAAATTACGAACGTCATAATAATAATTATTATTGATTCGTAAACCGCGAACCGCGGTCATCGTGGATCGTTCAATAACGTGCAAATCAATAATATTTGCCGGTCATTTTAATTCAAATTAATACGATCATTGTACCGTCGTGTTAATCGAATTGACCAGAGAATTCACGGTGAAAATTTATCGGTCGTAATATAATTTAGTTCTAATGCGTCTACTACTATAACACGCTGTTATTTTATACGTTAACGCACCGAGGAGAGCGCGGGGAAGAGTTAATAAATTTATCGCACGGCCGTCGGGTGTTTTTTATAAACTGGCGAAAGTGTCCCATGGGAAAGTGTACAAAGATTTGGAGGTTTTTTTTTTTTATGCGCCAATATCACCACGTTCCGTTGTCAAAACTTATATGAAAAACGATAAAATCGAAACGGTTTTTAGCCGGTTTGTCGATAAAATCTGAAATGGTGGCACACGGCGAGCTGGCGTGCTGTATAATAGGTGTAATAAAATTTATTTTTTTTATTCCACGACCGTTCGAAAAACTCAGAACTCCTTAAGATGACGTGTGATACCCGAATTTTTTACTCTCTCAGTCCGACTAAGGTGCGACGTAGTAAAATTACGTGACTTGGAATTAAAATAGTGTTAAATTCAGTGTAAACGTGGTACGCGATATTTAAAGAGGAGAATAATATTATATTCGAGAGGGCACAGAGTTGCTTTTTGTGTGAAATCTAAGACTACTTATTTTTAATAAACGAAAACTTACAAGATAACTGCAGCAATTACTTTTTCGTGACAATATTTGAAGAGAAAAAACAACACAGTATTTAAAAAAATATTTGTTTCTATTTTAAATTTAATAATTTCGACCTTAATACCACAATTTTAATTCTAATTCACGTAATCTTGCTGTGATATTTGTTTGGTAGAGTGAAACAATAAAACATGTGGATATCACGTCATATAAAAAACGCAACAGTAGAATTTGACGTTTCTGTCTTACAGACGGATCGACAATATAATAAAAATGTGTTCACGTAAAACAAACTGAAATAACTTTAAAATCTGTTTTAAAGAAAAGCGTCTAGTATTCAATATGTAGATAACTACATTTTGGACATTACCTTATCGTTGTTTTTAAAATATTAATTATTTTAAAAATGTACAGTTAATTTAAAAAAATGTATATTTTACAATTTTTTTGTACCTTTGATAATGAGTTGAGTAAATATAAAATTGTAAAATGCCGACCAGGCATACTTCACCAAATTGTTATCTGCAAATTTTGATGATTTATGAACAGATGTTTTATCTTTAAAACCAAGTTGAAAGACTTTTTTGTTTATTTCAGGTGAACACATTTTTCTCTTATCGCTCGTTAGAAAAACGAGATAGACAATGATACTGTGTCGGCTTCTTAAACCCGATTGCAATACGATATTTAGTTTTTTTTCCGGCCGTTACGAATAAACATCTATTACTGGTGTTGTTGGATTTCAATACTCTTGATTATATTTACCTCTCTCGATATAAATATCTTAGGGTCATTTATACTACCCCTGCCTTGTGAGAGGTTGAAATATCCTATTAATAATGTACTCGCCCTGAGAAATTTTTATTGAGTACGCGAAAATAATTTAGGATATTATATAATTATATTATTTAACATTCTCAGTGTATTTTTACCACAGATTTAAGAATAATAAAAGTTATTTTTGTCCCTTGGTGGGCACATTTTTAGCAGAGGATAAAAATATACTAGTATTTTAATTTCTTCTACACCTGTTGATTGAAAACTAATATTGTTCCCTCTCCCTGCCCTTTTCCAACTAGGGCCTTAACCATAATTTATCGAGACAGGTACACAGGTTAAGTTTAGCGTTTTAACATCCACGTTGTGAATATCATTATTGATTGATTACGTTTTTATTTATTTATAATACTAAACACTCCCTAGAAGTGAATAATATTATGTAGTATTATTGTGTATATGTGTTTTTAGTTTTGACATTGTACGACATGTAAAATTTAAAAATATTATGTTACTAGCAATTAATTAATATAATAAAGTACTAAATAATAATTTATTAACAAACCGACAATGTATAAAATTAAATCAATTCTGCGAACCCTCGTATAAAAATATTTCAAAACGAATGGTTTAGACGTATTAAACTACTTGATTTAAAATTTAAAATTGGTGTTTAAATTAAAATATTTACAATTGCCCGTTTATACCTTGTTAACATATATTTTATTATTATTATTATTATATGTAATTTCATTGGTAAATTGGACGGTTTTTATGAGAAGGGCATAAGTCAATATTGGTTATATTTGATTCAGGTATGTACATAAACTTTTTGTGTGGAATTGCGAATCTCATTGAATGGTATCACAGATATAGGTTTGTTATCGAAATATTATGAAATAAGTCTTATTTAATTTGATTTATTTTATTTTACGATAATATAGAGCTTAAGTCAATCAATTTCCATATATCAAGTCAAAATTAGAAATGGCACGATAATCATAAATACAAATTAATAAGACTCGTAAAATAATACTGAAGTCATAAATATAGGTTTTCGTCTTTCGTGTAATACAAGTTTTTTTGACATAAGTCCATTTTCTTAAATATCGTCCAATTTTTCAGTTTATTAAAATAATCAACAATTGTTCTTAGTTATTAAATTGTTTATTTTTTGGTTTTTTTGTAAATAATACAAGTTACGTTTATTTATATATATAATACACGTTTATAGATTATTAAACTTTTAGACAAAAAAAAGAGAGCCTATATAATTAGAGAGTAAGGACTACTGCGTTTCATGGCTTGGAGGTACGCACCATTTTGCGATTGCACAGTATATTACTAAATAAATGACGACTTAATGAACTAATAGCGCAAGCGATACGCACCCAGCAATTACATGGTAGACAATAATATAATACTGGAAAATGGTGGCACTCGTGACAAAGAGTTAATAGAAAACGATTCCCTAGTTTTCCACCTCTGATTATACAGGCTCTCAATATAAAACCATGAAAACGTATATCAGTTACCTTTGTATTTATAGTGACATTATTATTATTATAATTGCATATACGTTAAAAAAAAAAATTAAAAAATTGTACATAAATTTATTTGTAAATAATAAACTTTTATGTCAAAATATGTTGTTGTAATATAAATTAAACTAATAGTGCGATTATAATATAATATTATAATTATTGTTCTCCAGATTCAATCCTGTTCCTCGACTTCTATGTAAATTTAGTATAAATGTAATTTGAAATTAAATAATATTATTATTATATTATGTAATATTTTGTTTTATTTCTCATGGTACTATGTGTTTCCTACGTAGACATAATGATAAGATAATTTCACGCACTAAAATAATCTCAAAACTCTGAATTCGTGATGAGAACGCCGAAAAGAATACACTGAAGTTTTGTAAAAGACTATACTATCTTAAAGTACAGTAACGTAATACAACAATTATTTATGCTTGTCAGACCAATAAAATACCGTAATACCGCATCTCATGATGTGATAATTCTTATCCGTCATGCCCAAGGCTGATGACTTGTAAATCTAAAAAAAGGTAATTTATTATAAACGCAATAATATTTTAAATAAAAAGCATGTATAAAAACGCTCAAATATTCACAAAAAATTATAAAATATGCATTATGAATATTACTGATACCGGTAAACTTAGAAACAATAAAATACTAATGAACGTGATATAATTACATAGGTTTCCTTATGGAGTTGCTGAGTTTTAGTGAACGCTAATAAAAACAAATAACCATAAAGATATTCAAGACTATATAAATTATTTTTTTTTACATTAAGTAGTATACTTTGAATCTTACTGTATTGAAGAAGTGCTAAACATATAAAAAAAAAGAAAAATATCACTTAAACTTCGAAATATACACTTTAATCTTTCATGGTTCCCTGTATCAAATGTATACCTCACAAAGATAAGGTGAGGATCTTTAACATCATCCAAAACAAATATGCAAATGCTTAAGATTATAAGCCCTGGTCGTGACAAATCGAATCAATTGCCGATTTGGTAGTTTTTATTTTATATTACCTGGTATTATTACATAATTTATTGCATTGGGTAAAAACCAGTTTTCTATTTGAATAAATAAATAATTATCGTGGAAAGAAAACATAAATGTTTGTCTTGCACAGAAACCCCACACCCCGTCTGTGTCACTTGCACATTATGTTGGTTTAAATGTGTTTCATTATATAGGTACAATAGCCATCATTTCTGGTTACCCTCATTGTACGGTTGTCGGCTAAATTAATTTAGTTACAATTTCCAAATATAACGCTTTCGAATTGGAAGATAAAATTAAATCAAAACAAACGTCCACTGAGTCTTAAACCAATACACGTTTACGAACTGTTAAAATTGTTTTTTTTTTTTTTTTATTCTATAATTTACCATATTATTGTAAAAAGTATACTTAATATATAAGTCTACGTATACGCATACTTATTGTACTTTAATCGAGAGTTTTGGTGGTAGTAATACTAATCTCACCGTATATACTTTATCATTTCAACCTTTTATAGTTATATATTTTCGATTTTTCATAATTTTCAAAAAAAAAACTGGCTCCAATCCGTTTAAGTTTGCAATTAAAATGAATCATAATCATTGAGGCGTACTCACAAATCATTCCACGACTGAAGAACAAGTCAAGACAATGTCTTTTTAAGTCATTCTTCGTTATTCTTTCTGTATTCGACGTGCACAGGCTTAAGTGCGGATCACGTTTCGAGTGTGTTTACAATAAGCAATGCGGTTATTACTCTAACATCGGAATAATTATTACTGCCGAAGGTGCACTCCGAAAATGTAATCGGATTTATCAAACGATCAGAAAATTATATTTACGTTTACTGGGCTTTTTTCAATTTAACCGACGTCAGTTGGTTAAAAACTATAGAAATGCACAAGATACTTAATACAAGTATCTATATAATAATATTCATGGGCATTTCCCGGTCTGCCATTTCTCCGTGAAACGTTTTCCCGTAACCACTACCTCGTCCATATTATATTTATATTATCTTGTAAGAATAATAAAATTAATTTAAAGAAGTATAAAAAATTGAATCTATACCTAAATCACATAAATATAATAACTATAAATGCATAATAAAATTAATAAATAAAAAAAAAATACTCTGATGAAGTACTCCAGTAAATTAAGTTCATCGTATTATGTAGCCACAATATCTTCTACACATCAACATCTCGATATTTCTCAGCCCATTACACTAAATTAAATCAGTTTCAATGTTTTTACAACAAAACATTTGTTATATATTTTTCGTTTTCGGTACAAAACCCAAATAATACGCCGATAAACTAATAGTCAACAAAAATTATGGATTATCTGTAATATTATCTACGATTTAGATGGCGACGGAGATATATATTATATTTACGTGATCTATAGATTAATTTTTTTAATATTTTTTTTAAATAAATTTACTGTTCTTACAAGATGATATAACTATATAATTCTATAGATATAATACAGTATATAGTATAAAATCAAATTATTTTTTCTCGATTTCGATATTTCATTATGAGATGAAATATTGATTTTGTTATATAGCTTAATTATTAGGGAAAATCGCTTTCAAAATGTATAATCAAATACATCCCATACTCGCTGCGTTCGGAAATTTAAAAATAAAATAAAATTTTGAACAACGATGATGTATAACACACATCTAGTATCTATGATCTACGTATTTACTAAAAGTAATTTAGAAAATAGTGACTGAGACAAGACATTTTAGTTTTATCTAAATAATCTTTCTGATGATAATGTCTATTTTAACTACACGGATAATCCATCGCTGAATATCACTACTTGTGTATAACATGGATACCTAGAGTAGATATTAACTATACCTATTATAATAATTATATGGTAAAACGTCACACAGTGGGGCAAAAGGGACAATTTATATACATTAATTTAAAAACAATCCATGTTTTAAAAAAATGGTATTCGCAATGATCATACTTATCTACCTGTAGAATTTTATCGCGAGTAATTAGATTAGAAATATTGAACTCACTTCACTTCACGCTCATTAATCCAAACTAATAACACGTCACGAAAACATACGAGTTTAAATCATTAAATATTTTAAATATTTTTTTGGGCTATTTACAATTTTAGCTTCATAAAATAAAATATAGATTCATCTAGCTCAGGTATGTTTCTGATTCTTAAAAATTTAAGATTTAGAGTTTGTGTTTGTTTTATTTTCTACTGTAAATTGTATGTATTTATATGGAGCACATATAGACGTTTTCAAATAAAAACTAACATTTAGAGATTTAATTATGTTCCGTAATTGATCCGGCTTTTATTAAAACATATTTAGAAGCAGTAGATATTGCCATCGGTGATGACAATTTCATTTTTATTATCATTTTATTATTTTTGTTTAATTTTAGTTCATGAGCGTCTCCGAAAGAGGGGCAATAAGGGTCATTTGTCCCCTCTATATTTTCAATACTTATATTCTGTAGCCTCAAGTTCATCTTTCTTGATTTCTATGATTACTGTGACGAAATACAGAGCTATTTTAGAACCTGTAACATATATATTACAAGGTAAAGCGATAGATCTCTATCAAGTCTGCAAACACATTGATTTGTTACTAAAAACGTTCGATAATTACCAAAAGAACGCCAATACAATTTTTTTAAACGTTATTCATCGAAGCTAAATTAATCACCACTCCTATAGATATTTGTACTAAATGTTCAAAGTAATGAATTTAAATAAAAATACCTATAGTGATTATGATGTATTCAAATTAAGAATTTATTTTATAAAAAAAATTGTCATTTGTTTTTTAAATTATGTTTTCCCTCTCCCCCCTGGAAAAAAGTCTGTGGACGCGCATGTCTTAGTCCGTAGTCAATGAATAAGAGAAACTTAAAATCTAAAAACTAATTTTTTTTGTTTAAACCTAACCTTACTTATCTATAAAAACGAAAAATTTACCAACCATTATAATATTATTACACGTTTTTTGGATAATAATTTACGTAAATACAAAGGTTAGTTTTATTGTATACTGAACCAAACTAATTGTTTGCTAAAGGAAAGTTCTATTGTCATCATATAGAACAAAAAAAATTTACGTAAAGTATAATATATAAATGTATATATAAATGTATGTATAGAATAATTGTTCATAATTATTCCTTCTTATTTTGTCGTAGTTAAAAGTTAAAAATAACTTTAATATTGTATCTACCGCGAATGACTTGAAACCGTAATTTATAAATTAATCAACATATTTTATTACTTTTAAACTTTGGCATATAATATTTTAATGTATCTCCACAAACCTAACTACGTTATCATTTATCCATTGTACTCTATTCAATAATATAATTATTATAACAATATTTTTTTTTTGTATATACCTACCAAAATATTTTTTGAATATTGTAATTTTTTTTTTTTTTTAAGATGACTGCTTAATTCAAGGATTCATATACCAATTAATCATCTTGGACTAATATTTCACAGAGCGACCCCTCCAAAATTATAAAAGACTCCGCATCATTAACTGATTCAATAAAAACTAACCCAAAAAATGTAGTTCTATGACAAAAATTTGAGTAAATTAAAACAAATCTGATGAAAACTTATCTACTTCACTTTTAAAAATAACAAATGAAAACACCATATTACAAATTCACCAAACTTCGTGATAAAGTTCAGATTTTTGGGGAAAAACTAACCATTGTGATTTAAATGATATCATAAAGGAATTACAAATGAGATTTCTAAAGGCTCGTAGTATTATTTTATGTATAATGCCTATATACCTAATACAATCCAGTCGACGTTGCTAAATCTATGTTAAATACTTAAGGTTTAAACTTACTAATTTCCACAGCTAAATGGATTGGAAACTCACCGAAACGTCATCTATTTATCGTCAAATTTGAAAATAATCCAAATGTTGCTGCATTTTTAAAAATCAAATCAATATTACTTAACTTTGATAAATATCAA